CTCTGCCACCTCCATTCCCTCTTCCCCTTCAGAGCTCCCAGGTTGCCCTGATGCTGATCCTGACTCCCACGCCTCCTCCTCTTCCTCCTCCTCCTCTGATTCAGCAGCCGGAGAGTCCGCAGCCGAGAGGCCACAACACATCCCCATGACGGCTGTAGTGTCCCGGAGTCACGTGATCCCCTTCTGACAAGCAAAGTCAATGGAGAAGCTGGATTCGCTTAACAACCGTGTGACTAACTGCAGTGATTCAGTTAACCAGATTCATTTAAAAACCGTGTTACTCACTTAACGACTGGAAGTGATTCACTTAACAAACGTGGCAATAAAAAAATCGTAAAATGGGGCAAAACTCACTTAACAAATTTCTTACTGAGCAACATAAATTCTGGGCTCAATTGTGCTGTAATCTCACAGCAGTAATCATATACAAGAAGTCCTTGACTTACGACCTCAGTTAAGCCCAAACTTTATGTTATTAAGTGAGACATTCGTTAAGTGATTTGCTTATTTTATGACTTTTCTTGCCACGTTTGCTAAGGGAATCCCTGCCAGCTGTTAAGTGAGTAACACGGTTTTTAAATGAATTTGGTTTCCCCATTAACTTTGCTTGTCAGAAGGTTACAAAAGCGGATCACACATGACCTGGGACATAGCAACGGTCATAAGTATGAGCCAGTTGCCAAGAATCTGAATTTTGATCCTGTGATTACGGGGATGCTATAAGATTCACATCAGTATGAAAAATAGTCATTTTTTTTCCCAGTTGTAACTTTGAACAGTCACTAAATGAACTGTTGTAAGTTGAGAACTACCTGTAGTCATAGAATCATAGAAACTTAGCGCTGGAAGGGAACTTGGAGGTCTTCTAGTCCACCCCCTTGCCCACAGCAGAAGTCCTCATACTTGTCTTACTTCCTTGTCTTTTATGACTAGGCCACCACAAAAAAATGTAATAAAGTCAGGTCAGTCACATGACCAACTCATTTTACAACTTAAAGCCTTAATAGTCGTAAGTGGTGGATTACTTGCATTTGAAGGGCCTTGATAAATTGTAGATCATTTCTCTGGGGTCCATACCCCAATGACGCATTGTTGGATAAAACTCCTTGCTAAGATCGTACGGTGAAATAAATTTCAGCCCTTTGAAGTTAGATAGATAAATAGATGATAGATACTGTACAAGATAGAGATAGATAGATGATAGATACTGTAGAAGGTAGAGATAGACAGACAGACAGAAAGACAGATGATAGATATTGTAGAAGATAGAGATAGACAGACAGACAGATAGATAGACAGATAGACGATAGATACTGTAGAAGATAGAGATAGATAGATAGAAAGAAAGATAGAAAGATAGATAGATGATAGATACTGTAGAAGGTAGAGATAGACAGAGACAGACAGACAGATGATAGATATTGTAGAAGATAGAGATAGACAGACAGATAGACGATAGATACTGTAGAAGATAGAGATAGATAGATAGAAAGATAGAAAGATAGATAGATGATAGATACTGTAGAAGATAGAGATAGACAGACAGACAGATGATAGATACTGTAGAAGATAGATAGATAGATAGATAGATAGATAGATAGATAGATACTGTAGAAGATAGAGACAGACAGATAGACAGACAGACAGATGATAGATACTGTAGAAGAGATAGATAGATGATAGATACTGTAGAAGATAGAGATAGACAGACAGACAGACAGATGATAGATACTGTAGAAGATAGAGACAGACAGACAGAAAGACAGATAGAAAGATAGATAGATGATAGATAGATAGATAGATAGAAAGATAGAAGATAGAGATATGATAGATAGAGAGATAGATGATAGATAGACAGACAGATGATAGATAGATAGATAGATAGATAGATAGATAGATAGATAGATAGATAGATAGATAGATAGATACAGTTGTTGTGGTCCGCCAGCAGCCTGCAAAGTTGGCAGCAGAGTCAGACAGCGATGAGGCTGAGGAAGAACATGGGCCAGTCCTGGAGGCTGAGGAAGGCCCAGACGAGGGCTCTGCGTCAGAGGCAGAGATGGGGCCAGGGAGTTACGTGCGGACTCCGGAGCCTCCAGAGTTAGACATCAGAGAGGCAGAGGAACAGGGGGAGCCTGTTCCTAGTGCATGCATGCACAGAGCTGCCAGAAGGCAAGAACAGTTAAAACAAAAGGGACGACTCGGGAGTAAGGCTTGGAGATGATTGGCCCCTCCCATAAGACATAAAGGACGAGCAAAGGCACGTAGGCCTTTGCAGGAAGCAACGTTGTCGATGGTGTCATTTTGTACTTTGAAGCTCCATTTTTGACTCTGTGTTTCCATGTGGCCTTGCCAAGATAATTACCAATTAGGTCTTTGGCAACATGTCGAAGAAGATAAAGGTGGGTGTTTACCAGCCTTATCCAAAGGTCTGTGGCAGACTTCTGTTGGACTATCCATAAACTCTTGGTGATTCAGCACGTGCTGTGAATGAAAGGAATTCACAGCCGTTAAAATTTTAAAAAAAAGGTTTTTGGGACTAATTGTGTGCTTTTTACTATATCAGGAAGCCTAGGTCAGAACAGTTTGAACCACAAATTTTCCCACCAATCCAATGGTGGGTTGCTCCCGGTTCGCACCGGTTCGCAAGAACTGGTAGTAAAAATTTGTAGTAGTTTGGAGAACTGGTAATAACATTGGCTGGCCACGCCCCCAAACCAGTCCCCAGCCTGGTCGCCACTCACTTACCCTGCCCACCTCATCAGAGGCTTTTTTTTAAACTTTTATATGCATTTTTTCTACGGCCTCTTTGGCTGAAAAAAAATGCCTTTAAAAGCCTCTGGCGGAGATGTGAATGTTTGGATGCTACGTATTATCATGTTTGGTGGACCTGTAGGAAAGTTAAGGCTTTTTGGATAAAAATTTGGTGGGTCATGCAGAATGTTTTGAAGAAAAAAATTCAATTTTCTCCACAACTGTTTTTATTGGGTATAGTTAAGGGTTTTACATTGGGTGAAACAAAATTGATATTGTATATGATAACAGCAGCAAGATTGTTGATAGGTAAATACTGGAAGAATGAAGCTTTGCCCACTATCGAGGAATGGACTTTGAAGATGGCCAGTTTTGCAGAGATGGCGAAGATTTCAGCATATTTAAAAGATTGTTCACAAGAGACTTATGAATGGGAATGGAAAAGGTGGATAGAATATGTTCAGAACAAATATCAAACTAGAAAGTATCAAATAGCTTTTATTTGAAAATAATGTATTGGAAATTTTTTAATGTAATGAGGTAAAGAGAAAAATTATACAGGGGAGGGAGGGGTTCAAGTTTATATATAAGTGTTATATTAGGGTTCTTTATGAGTATGAGTATATTATAGGGAAGTCTGGGGGGAGGGGAGGGTTAGGGAGGGTTAGGGAGGTTGGGAAGTTTGGGGGGGTGGGGGGGGAAAAAAGGGGTGAAAATGTAATTGTAAAACTTTTGCAATAATAAAAAAAAAAGCCTCTGGCAATCCCAGCTGAGTTGCCTGATCATCAGAGGCTTTTAAAAGCATTTTTTTCTGCAACCTCTTAAGGTTGTAGAAAAAATGCTTTTAAAAGTAAAAAAAAAAAAAGTTGACCACGCCCACCCAGTCACATTACCCACCCACCCACCAAGCCACGCCCACAGAACCGGTAGTAACAAATTTTTAGAACCCACCCCTGCACCGATCCATCTGCATATTATAACCAATATCCTTCGCCCACTTTATTGTACATTCTTCAACCGGATCTTCTTCCTTTTCAAATTTTATTATGAAAAACTGCAGACTCTCTTCCAAGCAAGAGATTAACCATGTTTCCTAAAAGCTCCTCAACCTACATCTACATCAGGGGTGTCCAATCTTGGCTTGTGGACTTAAATGCCCAGAATTCCCCCAGCCAGTATGGTTGGCTGGGGAATTCTGGGATTTGAAGTCCCCAAGTCTTGTGGACTTCTTTGGTGGACTCGTGGACTTCAAACTCTCAGAATCTGCTGGACCTCAACTCCCAGAATTTTGAGAGTTGAAGTCCACAGGTCTTAAGGTTGCCAAGGTTGGACACTTCTGATCTTCATCCTGCCCCACAATGTCCAGAAGTGAAGGGTATTCATCGCCATGGAAACACCCCAGCTTTGCATTTCAATCAGGGATGGGTTCTAAAACTTTTTACTACCGGTTCTGTGGGCGTGGCTTATTTTGCGGGCATGGCTTGGTGGGGGGGTAATGTGACTGTGTGGGCATGGCCTACTTTTTTTATTTTTTTACTTTTAAAAGCATTTTTTCTACAACCTTGAGAGGGTTTTTTTTTTTTTTTTTAAATTTGACTTATATGCCGTCCTTCTCTGGAGACTCAGGGCGGCTTACAATGTGCTCAGCAATAGCCTTCATCCTTTGTATAAATATATTTATAGCTTATTGCCCCCACAAACTGGGTCCTCAATTTACCTACCTTAGAAAGGATGGAAGGCTGAGTCAACCTTGAGCCTTGGCGAGATTCGAACCTGCAGTAATTGCAGGCAGCTGATCTTAATAACCAGCTTAATAACAGGGTGCCTTAGACCACTGTACTACCAAGGCTCTTGGTAGTACTTCTCCAAGAGGTTGTAGAAAAAATGCTTTGAAAAGCCTCTGACGTTCCCAGCTGAGCCGCACGATTATCAGAGGCTTTTTTTTTTACTTTTAAAAGCATTTTTTCCGCTGAAGAGGAAATGCTTTTAAAAGTAAAAAAAAAAAAAAAAGCCTCTGATGAGGTGGGCAGGGTAAGCGAGCGGCGACCAGACCAGGGACCGGTTCGGGGGCGTGGCCAGCCAATGTTATTACTGGTTCTCGGAACTACTACAAATTTTTACTACCAGTTCTTGCGAACCGGTGCGAACCAGGAGCAACCCACCACTGATTTCAACACTTTTGGAAATAGGGGTGGGTGGGCTGGTGGAATCAACTAAAAAGAGAGCTGGCTTATGTCCCCTTGCAGGTGTGTTGTGTGGCCTCAGTACCCCTGGATGAGGCTGAAGATGGCTCCCACCAGAAGAAGTCAAAACAGTGGCACACCCTTGACTGTTTTTCTGTTCCCGGCCACCGATGTGGACTAAGGTACCCTCCCCCTTTCGCCATGGAGACCCAGCATCCCAAATAAAGAATGATATCTTCCAAGTAGGACATCTTTCTGGTGGGAGACCAAAGTCAACTTGACCTCCTGAATCACTACCAGCTTTAAGAAGGACTCCTATCAGATGATCTCCTCAGCTATGTCTGAGTAGGAAGCCATGTCCTCCTGCTTCTTCCAAGCTCTTCGAAAAGTAGGACTTCCCAGAGAACCAGAGGGGACCCTTCCTGGGTGGGAGGCCCTGGTCCAGCTGATGGACCTCTCTGGCGAAGGATGCTCTTCCTTTCTTGGGAAGCCTTGACGTTGGCCGAGCCAATGAACGCCACTCTCTGGGACCATGGCAGATCCAACAGCGTGGATGAGATCTTCAGCCCGAGCGAGGTTCCCAGGACCAGCTCCCAACTGCCCACGTTCTCCACGGCAGCCAAAATCCGCGTAGCCCTCACCGTGGTCCTCTTCCTCTGCTCCACCAGCATCAACGTCTCCATGTTGTGGAGCGTCACCAAGAGGTTTCAACGCAAGCCGCATCTCCGCATCCTTCTCATGAATCTGGCCGCTGCTGACCTCCTGGTCACCTTCGTGGTGATGCCGCTGGATGCCGTGTGGAATGTGACGGTTCAGTGGTATGCCGGCGACCTGGCCTGCCGGCTCTTGATGTTCCTCAAGCTGGTGGCCATGTACGCCTGCTCCTTTGTGACGGTAGTGATCAGCTTGGACCGCTGGGCAGCCATCTTGCACCCGCTGAGGGTCAGCAGAGCCAAGAGGAAGAACAAGGCAATGCTCTGTGTGGCCTGGGCCCTCAGTTTCCTCCTAGCAGTACCTCAGGTAAGTAGAACCCATATCTATCTAACAAAACGAAATTCAATAGCAATAGCACTTAGACTTATATACCACTTCATAGTGCTTTTACAGTCTTCTCTAAGCAGTTTACAGAGTCAGCTTCTTGCCCCTAACAATCTGGGTCCTCATTTTACCCACCTCGGAAGGAGGGAAGGAAGGCTGAGTTAACCTTGAGCCGGTCAGAATCGAACTGTTGAACTGCAGCTAGCAGTCAGCCGAAGTAGCCTGCAGTACTGCACTCTAACCACTGCGCCACCTTGGCTCTTCAGTGTAGAGAAAAGGAAAGTCTTAAACTTAGGCAAGAAAAATGCGAAGTACCCACACAAACTGAGTTAAACCAGGCTTAATAGCAGGGACTATGAGAGGGATCTTGGAGTCTTAGTGGACAACCAGCTAAATATGACCCAACAGTGTGTGGTGGCAGCAAAAAAAGCCAATGCGATCCTAAGCTGCATTAACAGAGGGATACAACCAAGATCAAGGGAGGTACTAATCCCACTCTATAAATCCTTAGTGAGGCCACACCTAGAGTCCTGCATCCAGTTTTGGTCACCACACTATAAAAAAGAGGTTGAGGCTCTAGAAAGAGTGCAGAGAAGAGCAACCAGGATGATGAGGGGACTGGAGGCTAAAACAGATGATGAACGGTTGCAGGAACTGGGCCTGGCTGGTCCAGTGAAGAGAAGGACCAGCGGAGACAGGAGAGCATCTTCCAATATTTGAGGGGCTGCCCCAGAGAGGAGGAAGGGGGTCAAGCTATTCTCCAAGGCACCTGAAGGCCAGACAAGGAAGAATGGATGGAAACTGAACAAGGAGAGATTCAACCTGGAAATAAGGAGGAATTTTCTGACAGAGAGAACAATCAACCCATGGAACAGAAGTTGCCTTCAGAAGTTGTGGGAGCTTCATCCCTGGAGGCTTCCAAGAAGAGCCTGGACTGCCATCTGTCAGAAATGGTGTAGGCCATGGTATCTTTCTCTCTTTCTCGTATCTATCATCCTATCTCTATCTGTCTCTCTCTCTCTCTCCCTCCCTCCCTCCACGTATCTCTCAATCTATCCTTCCATCTCTCCCTCCGTCTTGTCTGCCTGCCTGTCTTTCCCTCCCTCTATCCATCCATGCTTCTATCAATCCATCTATCCTTCCATCCTTTCTCTGTCTCTCTATCTTTCTCTCTTTCTGGTGTTTCACTCTCCGCCTGTCTCTCTGTATTTGTCTCTCTGACATCTACATGTATCTAATTTAGAAATCTCCCTCAGAGGGACTCCAGCATTTGATGAGGAAGATGCAGTTTAGGCAACCATATTTTAAGGCAGTGTTTCTGAAGCGTGGCCCCTTTAAGACGGGTGGACTTCAACTCCCAGAATTCCCCAGCCAGCTATGCTATGCTGGCTGGGGAATTCTGGGAGTTGAAGTCCACCCGTCTTAAAGGGGCCACACTTCAGAAACACTACTCTACCTCAAGGCTTGCTCTAACCAGAACTGAAATCTAGACCTTAATGTTGTGTTTGTGTGTGTGTGTCTTGTGTGGGAAACGGCCTTTCTTTTTTTTTGCAGATGTTTGTCTTCCACACGGCCAGCCGGTCCCAGCCCACCCATTTCATCCAATGTGCCACGGTGGGCAGCTTTGGGGCACACTGGCAGGAAACCCTCTACAACATGTTCACCTTTTCTTGCCTCTTCCTGGTGCCCCTGCTGGTTATGGTGCTCTGTTACTCCCGCATCCTGATCGAGATGTCAAGGATGATGACCCAAGCGCCAGGTGAGGCTTCTCGGCATGCACCGGCGGGCAGGGGGGCTTCCCTGGAAAGGGCAGAGGGTGGCATGGTCAGCTGCAAGGAGAAGGTTTTTTACAAATAGCTCAAGATGGTAAATATTGTTCTCCATCTTCCTTTTTTTTATCCACAACAACCCTGTGAGGTAGGCTGAGAGAAAAGGAATGGCCCAAAGTCACCTAGTTGGCTTTCATGCCCAAGGCGGGACTAGAACTCACGTCACCTAGTGATTAACCCAAAATCATCCAGCCAGCTTTCATGCCCAAGGCGAGACTAGAACTCACCGTCTGCTAGTGATTGGCCCAAAGTCACCCAGCTGCCTTTTATGCCCAAGGCAGGATTAGAACTCACGTTTCCTAGTGATTGGCCCAAAGTCACCCAGTTGGCTTTCATGCCCAAGGCGGGACTAGAACTCACGTCACCTAGTGATTAACCCAAAATCATCCAGCCAGCTTTCATGCCCAAGGCGAGACTAGAACTCAGCATCTCCTGGTGGCTGGCCCAAAGTCACCCAGCTGCCTTTTATGCCCAAGGCAGGACTAGAACTCACGTTTCCTAGTGATTGGCCCAAAGTCACCCAGTTGGCTTTCATGCCCAAGGCGGGACTAGAACTCACGTCACCTAGTGATTAACCCAAAATCATCCAGCCAGCTTTCATGCCCAAGGCGAGACTAGAACTCAGCATCTCCTGGTGGCTGGCCCAAAGTCACCCAGCTGCCTTTTATGCCCAAGGCAGGACTAGAACTCACGTTTCCTAGTGATTGGCCCAAAGTCACCCAGTTGGCTTTCATGCCCAAGGCGGAAGTAGAACTCCTGTCTTCCAATTTCTATCTTGGCATCTTTACCATTAGGCTCTTGAAGGACATAGCATCCAGATACAGCTGGCTTCCTTGGGGCACGGGATCCTTTCCGAATGGAACCAATTCTGGTTTGTTCAGGAACCCATCATTAACCTGTTCTGACCCAGCTCCCCATACAAACCCTCTGTAGTCGAAGCAATGATTCCTTTATTAGGAGCGCCAGCAGCCCCGACAAAAAGTTTCTCTCCCACCACAGGCTAACAAGTCCATCCGGCCGAGAGATGAATAGTTGTCTGCCCCATCTATTCATCTCCGCCCCCTGCCTTTTATCCCCAGAGCTAGGGTGGGGCTTCACTAGCAGCGGTGGCTCTTCCGTCCCAAGGACCGGCCCATAGATTTCCACTGCTCTCCTCTCCTCTGCCTTCTGCACATCTACGTGTCAGGCACTGGACCCAGCTGCTCCTCCTCTTCCTCATCAGCCACCTCCAGACCTTTGACTCTCCATCTGAGGGCTGACGGACGGCCCAGGCTCCACCTCTGTCTCTCTCTCTCTGCCTACTCCATTCCCTCTTCCCCCTCGGAGCTCTCAGGTTGCCCTGATGCTGACCCTGACTCCCTCACCTCCTTCTCCGATTCGGCTGCTGGATGGGCCGGCGGCCAACAGGCCACAACATAACCCTAAAACATGGCTCTATCGTTGTCTCCTTCTTTCTCTCGCAGCGTCGCCAAAATCCAGGGAGGTCCACCTGCGCTGTTCACGCAATAACATCCCCCAAATCCGGATCCGCGCCTTGAAGATGTCGGCCATCACCGTCCTGACGTTTGTGGCCTGCTGGACGCCCTACTACCTACTGGGCCTCTGGTACTGGTTCTCGCCCGAGATGCTGACCCGGGAGCAGGTGCCCCCTTCGCTCGGCCACATCTTCTTCCTCTTCGGCCTCCTCAGCACCTGCCTCGACCCGCTCGTCTATTGCTTCTGCTCTTCACGCTACCGGACCAGCAAGAAGTTGGCCAAAGCGCTGTCTCTCCGCATGGCCTCTGGACAGGCGTCCAGCATGAGCAACGGCCCCAGGCCAGAGATGGTAGTCCACTGGGCATGCAAACCAGGATCTCCCCGTAGTCCAAAACTGGCCTGGGCCAGAAAGGAGAAAGTGACCGAGAGCTGCGTCTGAAACGGCCAACTCTCAAACCGCTGGCCCACTTTTCCTTTCCGATAAATTCCGATTCAGGAATATTTCCAGAAAGAGGAGGGGAAAAAATCAAATTATGACCCATATCTGAGTTGAAAGCAATGCAGAAATGAGTTTGAGGCTCAGATTAAATGATCCTGTGAGATTTAACCTGTGACTTTTGAATCAATTGGGAAAAATACAGGCAGTCCTCGATTTACAACCATTCGCTTAGTGACCGAAGTTACCACAGCACTGAAAAAAAGTTGTCTTTAAAAAATATTTTTCACATTTATGATCGTCGATTCTAAATTCAAACACTTGGCAACTGACTCATATTTATGACGGTTAGCGTCCTGGGATCATGTGATCCCCTTTTTGCAACTTTCTGACAAGCCAAGTTAGTGAGGAAGCCAGATTCACTTAACAACCGTGGCAAGAAAAGTCGTAAAAAGGGGCAGAACTCCCTTAACAAATTTTGGACTCCATTATGGTCATAAGACAAGGACTAGCTGTCATTGTCTGTGGCCATCTTCCGAGGCAATCTGAGCATCCTTGTTGATTCAGAAGTGTCTCATCTGATGAATTAGAGACATCCTTGAGATGGGCATCCATACACATTTGATAAATAAAAATAAAAAAAATTCCATGACAGTGTGACTGAACTGGCCTTGAACTGTATTTCCAGACTTGAGTATTTTAATAAAAAAAATTTTGGGACGAGGGGGAGCCAGAAATATTTTCACCCTTCTGTGACTCTTTTTTGTTTTTCACCTTTGCAGCCAGGGAAAAACTTTCTTAAATGCAACACAGACAACAGATTAACAGAGTTGGGAGGGAGCTTGGAGGTCATCTAGTCCAACCCCCCACCCAAGCAGAAGACCCTACACCATTTCTGATAGATGGCAGTCCAGTCTCTTCTTGAAAGCCTCCAGTGATGAAACTCTCACAACTTCTGAAGGCAACTTGGGTTGATTGTTCTCCCTGACAGAAAATTCCTCCTTATTTCCAGGTTGAATCTCTCCTTGATCAGTTTCCATCCATTATTCCTTGTCTGGCCTTCAAAGGTGCTTTGGAGAACAGCTTTCCCCCTTCCTCCTCTCTGGGGCAGCCCCTCAAGTATTGGAAAGCTGCTATCCTGTCTCCCCTGGTCCTTCTTTTCACGAGTGCTTGTTTCCAAACTGAGACCATTAAATGCCAGAGATCCTAAACAGAAGCCCCTAGATAAACACCTGAATACGTTGCAGAAAAAAACCCAATACTAAATAGCTAAATAAAACATGGTTAAACTATCATTGTCAAATGTTAGTTTGTTAAGGATGTTTGCACAGGGAAGTTTTTTTACACTACACGGACGTGTACTAACATTCTTAACAACCATTATCTGACAATGATAGTTTGATCATGTTTTATTTAGCATTGGTTTGAGTATGGTCACATGATGAAATTTTGGGAGGCTTGGCAACTGGCTTGTACTTATGACGGTTGCAGTGTCCCACGCGATCCCCTTTTGCTACTTTCGGACAAGCAAAGTCAATGGGGAAGATTCACTTAACAACCGTGTTACTAAGTGAACAACTGCAGTGATTCACTTAACAACGGTGGCAAGAAAGTGGGGCAAAACTCACTTAACCACTGTCTCACTTAGCAACAGAAATTTTGGGCTCAACTGTGCATGAGATGATCAAGTGAGCACCTTGCTTAACGACTGTCTTGACTTGCGCCCATAATGGGCAGGCTCCATTACAGTCATAAGTCTAGAACTACCTGTAACAGGTCCTGAATTTACTCTTGAAATGGCTGCTTTAAAAGGTTTGTTTCCTAATAGTGCATCTCGGAAATAAATTGATTTGCCACTGATATTATATTTTGGTTGGCTGGATGATTCTTAATAAAAATAAAGAGTTTAAAAACTCCTCAATGTCAGTTCTTTCTTTTAATATTCATGACAAACGCCTGGCCTTTAAAGGGGTGAGTTGAAATTAATTTTCACCTTCCTTCTCCCTTCCTATTTTCCTTCCTTCCTTCCTTCGTTCTTCTCATTCCCGTCTTCTCCCCTTCCTTCCTTCCCTCTCCTTTTCCCATCTTTTCCTTTCCTCGTTCCCCTCCCCTTCTCTTCCCTATATTCCTTCCTTCCTTTCATTCCCATCTCCTCCCCTTCCCTTCCTATCCTACCTTCCTTCTTCTCATTGCCATCTTTTCCTCTTTCCTCCTTCCTATTTTCCCTTCCTTCTTCTCATTCCCATCTCCTTCCTATCTTCCTTCGATTCCCATCTCCTACCCTTCCCTCCTTCCTATCTTCCTTCTTCTCCTTCCCATCTTCTCCTTTCCTCCCTTCTTCCTATTTTCCTTCCTTCCCTCCTTCCTACCTTCGCTCTTCTCCTTCCCATCTCCTTCCTTCCTTATTCCCATCTCCTGCCTTTCTCTCTTTCCTATCTTCCTTCTACTTCCTTCCTTCTCATTCCCATCTCCCCTTCCCTCCCTTCCTTCTTCTCATTCCCATCTCCTTCCTTCCTTCTCCCCTTCCCTCTTTCCTATCTTCCTTCCTTCCCATCTTCTCCTCTTCCCTCCTTCCTATTTTCCCTCCTTCCTACCTTCGTTCTTCTCATTCCCATCTTCTCCTCTTTCCTCCCTCCTTCCTATCTTCCTTCTTCTCCTTCCCATCTTCTCCTCTTTCCTCCCTTCTTCCTATTTTCCTTCCTTCCCTCCTTCCTACCTTCGCTCTTCTCCTTCCCATCTCCTTCCTTCCTTATTCCCATCTCCTGCCTTTCTCTCTTTCCTATCTTCCTTCTTCTTCCTTCCTTCTCATTCCCATCTCCCCTTCCCTCCCTTCCTTCTTCTCATTCCCATCTCCTTCCTTCCTTCTCCCCTTCCCTCTTTCCTATCTTCCTTCCTTCCCATCTTCTCCTCTTCCCTCCTTCCTATTTTCCCTCCTTCCTACCTTCGTTCTTCTCATTCCCATCTCCTTCCTTCCTTATTCCCATCTCCTGCCTTTCTCTCTTTCCTATCTTCCTTCTTCTTCCTTCCTTCTCATTCCCATCTCCCCTTCCCTCCCTTCCTTCTTCTCATTCCCATCTCCTTCCTTCCTTCTCCCCTTCCCTCTTTCCTATCTTCCTTCCTTCCCATCTTCTCCTCTTCCCTCCTTCCTATTTCCCTCCTTCCTACCTTCGTTCTTCTCATTCCCGTCTTCTCCCCTTCCTTCCTTCGTATCTTCCTTCCTTCCTTCTTCTCATTCCCATCTTTTCCTCTTTCCTCATTCCCCTCCCCTCCCCTCCTTCCTAACTTCCTTCCTTCTTCTGCTTCCCATCTTCTCCTCTTTCCTCCCTTCTTCCTATTTTCCTTCCTACCTTCGTTCTTCTCATTCCCATCTCCTCCCTTTCCCTCTTTCCTATCTTCCTTCTCCTTCCTTCCTTCCTTCTCCTTCCCATCTTCTCCCCCTCCCTATCTTCCTTCCTTCTTCTGCTTCCTTCCTTTTCATTCCCCCACCTCCTGCCCTTCCCTCCCTCCCTCTCAGAATCTTCTAGTATTTCTCAGCTTCGGTCACTTTAAGAGGCCGGAGAATTCTGGGAGTTGAAGTCCACCCAACTTCCAGGTGGCCAAGCTTGATAACCTGTAGGACCTCCTCCTCCTCCTCCTCCTCTTCTTCTTTTTGTGGCTCCTTTTCTCCGGGGCCCCCACCCCCAGGACCCCCCCCGGTGGGCGGAGGAGGGGAGGGGGGGTTTCCTCTTCTTTGCACTTATTGGGGTCTCCCCCCCCCTTTCTTCCTCGTGCAACCTTCTCCCCCCGCCCTCCCCCCCCCGCTTGCAAATCCTCCCCCCCTTCTTGCCAGCAAACCCCGTGTCTGCGTGTGGAAATGCAACACGCATCCCCGGGGGCCACGTTCACACAACCACCCCCCAAGAAAAAAAAAAGGGGGGGTCAGCAAAGGGGCTGCCGCTTGCATCGCCCCTGTGTGCAAGACGCGCGTCGCTCCCCGCGCACGTGTGCACGCGGAATGCACTCTGCACGCGCTCGGGGGCGCCCTTGTTTTTCCTTCCCAACCACTTCCGGAGGTTTGCCGGGAGGATCCGGGGCTGAGCCGCTTCCTCCGCCTCGCATTGCACAAAAAAGAAGAGGTGACGTTGCCCGGGCTGCGCTGGGCGCTCCTGCAAGCGGCCCCCCCAATTCGCCCCCCCCCGGCTCCACGATGTGGTTCTTCGCCCGGGACCCGATCCGAGACTTCCCCTTCGAGGCCGCCTCCCCGCCGGAGCCCCCGCTGGCCCAACCGGGGGGCGTCTGGCAGCTGCACCGCGGGCGGAGGAAGGTGGGCCCGGGCTGGGGGGGGGTCTTTGCAAAGGAGGAGCCTCGGTCGGGGAGGAGGGGAGGGGGCTGCGCAGGGGGGGAGGGAGGGGAGCAAGGTGTGTGTTGGGAGGGGTCTCCCCTTCCTTTGGGTCAGGAGGGGGAGGGAGGGGAGCAAGGTGTGGGGAGGGGTCTCCTTCCTTTGGGGCAGGAGGGGGAGGGAGGGGAGCAAGGTGTGGGGAAGGGTCTCCTTCCTTTGGGTCAGGAGGGGGAGGGAGGGGAGCAAGGTGTGGGGAAGGGTCTCCTTCCTTTGGGGCAGGAGAGGGAGGGAGGGGAGCAAGGTGTGGGGAGGGGTCTCCCCTTCCTTTGGGTCAGGAGGGGGAGGGAGGGGAGCAAGCTGTGGGGAGGGGTCTCCCCTTCCTTTGGGTCAGGAGGGGGAGGGAGGGGAGCAAGCTGTGGGGAGGAGTCTCCCCTTCCTTTGGGGCAGGAGAGGGAGGGAGGGAAGCAAGGTGTGGGGAGGGGTCTCCCCTTCCTTTGGGGCAGGAGGGGGAGGGAGGGTAGCAAGGTGTGGGGAGGGGTCTCCCCTTCCTTTGGGGCAGGAGGGGGAGGGAGGGGAGCAGGGTGTGGGGAGGGGTCTCCTTCCTTTGGGGCAGGAGGGGGAAGGAGGGGAGCAAGGTGTGGGGACTCCTGCCTGGGTCGACCTGCCTCCTTGCGGGATCTCTCGAAGGCTCCTATTTCACTGGTTGTCCACTAAGACTCCAAGGTCCCTCTCACAGTCACTGCTCTTAAACCTGGTTTGACCCCACTCTGTATGTGCAGAGTGGGTCAAACCCACTCCCCATGTTTTTGGGGAAACACTGATTCCATGTCTTCTTCCCCGATCCTGTAAATCCCACTCATTTTCTGACTTGAGTTTCCATATTACAGATCCTGGTTTGTTTTTTCAATAACCAGGTTTAACAGAGTTGTGTTAACACTGGGAAGAAGGTCCTAGCTGGGTTTTTGCACTGTTCAGGGCTTTTCAGCCTGGGTAACGTGATGATGGGTTCAAAAATTCTCCACCCACCGTGCTTTTAAGATGTATGGTAGGGCTTGAAGGGACCCTAGAGGTCTTCTAGTCCAGCCCCCCCTGTTCAAGGCAGGAGGGACCTCATAGCATCCCGATTCAATTTATCTTTTGAAAATAACCTCCAGCGATGGAACCCCCAAAAGCCCAAGAGGCAAGCTAATCCATGGATGAATTGTCAGTTGTCGTAAAATGACAATCTAAAGTCAATAAAACAGAAATGACAGAGATAAAAAGATGCTCAGCACAAGCGAGCGAGAGGCCTCCTTCCCCTTAGTGACTAGCTAGGATTTCATGGCTCTTCTTAAACCTAGGCGAGTGGGGGGGGCACTTGGATCCGGAGAACTGACAAATTGATCATGGCCTGATTGTGGCCATTCCCTCTCACCCCTTGTTCGTTTTCATTTCCGCAGACCACGGGCGAATCGGTCTCCCTTTTCGTACACGAGGTGAAGCCGAGTTCCGAAGAGCAGATCCAGCTTGCCAAAACGGCCTTCAAATTCCTGAAGACGCTCCGGCACCCCAATATCCTGTCCTACATTGATGGCTTAGAGGTAGCTTCAAGATGCGGTTTGAGCAACAGGCGTTTGGAACCTCTTGGGGTGCAAATGCTGAGTCTTCCGTTGTAGATGTATTTTATTATTATTATTATTGTTGTTGTTGTTGTTGTTGTTGTTGTTGTTGTTGTTATTATTATTATTATTATTATTATTATTATCAAGCTCAGAGAGCATCACGGAACGCCTCGTTTCCACCCTCAGCTACAAGTATTTTGCTTTATTGCAGGGGTGTCAAACTCGATTTCATTGTGGGTTGCATCAGGATTGTGTTTGACTTGGGGGGGGGGTGGCGGAGTGGACGTGGCCAAGGTGGGCGTGGCCAGCTCAACATCACTTGTGTCAGGGGCACCTGTGGTGGCCAAATGCTAAGGCAGGACTTCTTTCCCTCCTTCCCTCCTTCCCTCCCTCCTTCCTTCCTTCCTCCCTCCCTCCTTCTTCCCTCCCTCCCTCCTCCCTCCTTCCTCCTTCTTCCTTCCTTCCTTTCCCCTTCCTTCCCTCCCTCCCTCCCTTCCTCCCTCCCTCCCTCCTTCTTCCTTCCTTTCTCCTTCCTTCCTCCCTCCCTCCCTCCCTCCCTCCTTCCTTCTTCCCTCCCTCCCTCCTCCCTCCTCCCTTTCTTTCTCCTTCCTTCCCTCCCTCCCTCGTTCCTTCTTCCCTCCCTCCCTCCTTCCTTCCTCCCTCCTTCCTTCCTCCCTCCTTCCTCCTTCCTTCCTTTCGCCTTCCCTCCCTCCCTCCCTCCTTCCTTCCTTCCTTCCTCCTTTCCTCATTTTTCCTTCCTTGCTCTCTTCCCATCTCCCCTTCTTTGCCTTTCCCTTTTCCCTTTCTCCTTTCCTGTCCCTTCTTGCATGCTCAAATGCAAAAGGGGAAGAAACACTTCTCCTTCTGTTTTGTTTTTAATTTGTTTTGTTAGCCCTCTCGCCAGTGAAAATAGCCCCGGGGGGTGGATCTGCTGGCAGGGGCATCACAGGCTGGTCCTTTGCTGATTCCAGGGCAGCCCCCCAGGCCAGATCTAGGCACCCTGCAGGCCGGATCCGGCCCGCAGGCCTTGAGTTTGACACCCCTACTTTATTGAGACGTTTCATTGTCTAAGTAGGTAACATCATCAGTTGGAAGTGAGTGTGGAGTTTGCTCAGTTTATATAAAATCTCTTGCTTGTTTTGACAGGGAGAGAGTTTTCTCCTGGGTGGTTCCTTGATTAGGGTATTGTTTTCTGCTTCCTTGTTTGGTGTAAATCCCTGCTTATCTGGCTTTCTCTTTCTGGGGGTCCCTTGGAGTTCTCCTTGCAAACATTTCATGAGCCAAGATCATTGGTATGTGTGAATGTGGAATTTGTTCCCTGTTTATATATACTCGCTTGGTTCAAGTGATTTTCTCCTTGGTGGTTCCCGGATCAAGGAAATGTTTTCTGCTTAATTGTTTGTCTGGTGTTAATCCCTGCTTATCTGGCTGTTGCCTCCTATTTCCTGGTCCTGTTGTTGCCTTCTTAGCTTTTTTATTGTGTGTAAATGTGATTTATCCCTGTGAAAGATCTGCAAGAAAACTAACCAAACTCAGAGAGCGCCAGGGACCCCGCAGGTCAACCCCGAGCTACAGATATTCTCTTCTATTGAAACCAGCACATTGGCAACTCGCTGTTGTAGCCGGTCAGCTGCCGGCCCCTCCAGCAGCCAAATCGGAGGAAGAGGAGGAGGCGTGGGAGTCGGGGTCACCATCAGGCCAACCTGAGAGCTCCGAGGGGGAAGAGGGAATGGAGCTGGCAGAGAGAGAGAGGGGGACAGAAGCAGAGCCTAGGCCAGTGATGGCTAAACCTTTTTGCCATCGCGTGCCAGGAGAGGGGGGGGCGGGGGACGGTCACGCGCACACGTGCCCACGCGCATGTGTGCGCAACCCCCTCCCCCCTGCTCCTGGCACATGATGGCCTGGTAGGCCCATTTTTCTTTCTTACCTGGTTCCAGATCCTCTCTGTGTATCTGGGAAGGGCGAAAACAGCCTTTCCCACTCCCTTGGAGGCCCTACGGAGGCTGAAAGGGCCCATTTCCCAACTCCCGGTGGGACAGGAAGTGACGTTTTTTGCTGTCCCCAGCCTCCAGAACCTCTCTAGGAGTCTCTAGGAGCCTCTCTAGGAGCCTCTCTAGGAGTCTCTGGAGGCTGGGGACAGGAAAAAACGTCACTTCCTGTCCCACCGGGAGTGGGGAAATGGGCCCTTTCAGCCTCCATAGGGCCTCCAAGGGAGTGGGAAAGGCTGTTTTCGCCCTTCCCAGATACACAGAGAGGATCTGGAACCAGGTAAGAAAGAAAAACGGGCCTTACCCCCCCCCCAGGCCCTCCAGAGTCAGGAAACAGCCTGTTTCCCTACTTCTGATGGGCCCAGAAGGCCCGAAAATCAGCTGGCCGGCGCGCGCATGCGCCCCAGAGCTGAGCTGGCGTGCCCACTAATATGGCTCCGCGTGCCACAGGTTCGCCATCACGGGCCTAGACCGTCCGTCAACCCTCAGATGGAGAGTCAACAGCCCCCAGGTCTGGAGGTGACTGTTGAAGAAGAGGAGGAACAGCTGGGTCCAGTGCCTGACGCATGGATACACAGAAGGCAGAGGAGAGGAGAGCAGTGGAAATCTATGGGCCGGTCCTTGGGACGGAAGAGCCACCGCTGCTAGCGAAGCCCCTCCCTAGCTCTGGGGATAAAAGGCAGGGGGCGGAGATGAATAGACGTGTCAGACAACTATTCCTCTCCCTGCCAGACGAACTTGTTAGCTTGTGGTGAGAGAGAAACTGTTTTTCCGGGGCTGCTGGCGCTCCTAATAAAGGAATATTTTGATTTAACTAAAGAGGGTTTGTCGTGTTTGGGGAGCTCGGTCAGAACACTAGCAAATGTCCATTTGTCCAACCACTTGTGACGGTTTTTACGACACGCTCTCCTGCCGTTCCCCACTTGCCTCCCCACCCCCACCCCCCATATTCCTCCATGGTGAGAATGACCTTTTCTTCTTTGGTTTTGCAGACAGAGAAAAGTTTACACGTGGTCACCGAGCCGGTGACGCCATTGCCGGCTTACCTGGAGTCGCGGGGGGACGGGAAGGGTTTGAGCGAGCCGGAGATTTCCTGGGGTCTTCATCAGATTGCGGTGAGTGCTGGGGAGACCTGTATCAGGGCCAGGGAGTGGGGGGGGGGAGCTGGGTTAGACTCCTTCACACAAGTAGTCCTCTACTTATGACTGTTCGCTTAGTGACCGTTCCAAGTTACGACCTATCTGAAAAAGTATTCTGCCCCAGCTCCGGATTCCGGGAGGATATTGACACACACCAACGGTCCTTATCAAATTTATTAAGTAGCAAGAATAAACAAGACCGGCAAAGGTTGGCAACCAGCCCAGAAATCAGGATATGATAAACCAAAATACTCTGATTATAAATACAAGTTGTTTCCAGCAAAAAAGCACTAGCTGCGTGTGACTTAAATAGGCTAAGGGAGTGGCCAATTATCCTCAAGCCTTACTCTCGAGGAGACCTCCTCCTCCTCCTCCTGAGTAGCCACTCCTGCCTTTTGGCAGCCCTGCATGCTCGAGCATTGAGGAGAGGCTCCTCCACTTCACTCTCTCCACTTGACGGAGCCTCTGGAGATTCTGAAGGCCCTGGCTGAGTCTCTGCCTCTGGCACCACATCCTCTTCGGCCTCCTCGCTGTCTGACGCAAGTGTGGGCTGCTGGCGCGACACCACACCAGCCTCCTCTTCGTCGGGATCAGCCACAATCCGCGTAGGCCGCTGGCGGGCCACAACAAAAAGGGATTACTGGTATATTCCCAAATATATATTCTCGACTAATGACCGCCATTAAGCCCAACATTTCTGCTGCTAAACGAAACATTTGTTAATTGAATTCTGCCCCATTTTACAATCTCTCTTGCCACCGTTGTTAAGTGAATCAGTGCAGTTGATAAGTTAGAAACACGGCTGTTAAGTGAATCTGGCATCCCCACTGACTTTTGGCTTGTCAGAAGGTTGCAAAAGGGAGATCACATCAGGTGTGAAATGCTCCCGGTTCGGACCGGATCGGGCGATCTGGTAGCAATTGTGGCAGGTGGTTCGGAGAACCGGTAGTGATGGTGGCGCAAGGCTCCGCCCACCCGCCCGGGTGCCGTTACTTCCTGCTTTTGAAAAGTAAAAAAAAGGCTCTGACGATCGTCCAGCACAGCTGTGATCGTCAGAGTCTTTTTTTAAACCTTTTAAAAGCATTTTTTACAACCTATTTGGCCACGCCCACCCAGTCACATTACCTTCCCCCCCAAGCCACACCTACAGAACCGGTAGTAAAAGTTTACATTTCACCACTGGATCACGTGACCCTGGGGGGAGGGGACACGGCAACGGTCATAAATATGAGCCAGTGGCCAAGCCTCTGAATTTGGATTGCGTGACCCTGGGGATGCTTCAAAGGCCGTAACTGTGAAAAATGGTCGTAAGTCACTTTTTGCAAGTTCTGTTGTAACTTTCAATGGTCACTCAATGAACTGTTGTAAGTTGGGGACTATTTATTTATTTATTTATTCATTCATTCATTCGTTTATTTCATTTATTTATTTATTTATTTTATTTATTTATTTATTTCATTTATTTATTTATTCCCTTCATTCATTCATTCAGTATATAAATAACTAGTATTTATATACTGCTTATTTATGTATTTATTAGGTGTATATCCGGTGTTTCCCTCAGGGATCAAGCAGGTTGTGTGAATTCAGCCCCCTTGACCAGGCTAAGGGTCAAGATATGTCAGATCCTTGGCCGTGACCTGTGACCCCTTCCTTGACCGTCTTCTGTCCCCTCTCCCCTTTCCTTCCTTAGAAAGCCCTCAGTTTCCTGGTCAACGACTGTCATCTCGTCCATAACAACGTCTGCCTGGGCGTGGTTTACGTGGACCGTGCTGGCGAGTGGAAGCTGGGTGGCTTGGATTACATGTGCTCGGCCCAGGGAGACGTCACCGTGCCACAGAAGGGGGTCCCCGAGCTGGAGAAATACAACCCCCCCGAATTATCCGACAGCACCAAAAACGTTGGCGAGAAATGGTGGGTTTACCTCTCTTTCTCTCTCCATGTTTTAAATCAGTATTTTTAAAATACAGGGAGTCCTCGACTTATGACAGTTCGTTTAGTGGCCGTTCAACATTACAACGGCACTGCAAAAAGTGACTTATGACCGTTTCTCACACTTACGGCCATTGCAGCATCCCTGTGAGCGTGTGGATCAAAATTCAGACTTTGGCAACCATCTAATATTTATGACGGTCTCAATGTCCCGGGGTCATGTGATCCCCTTTGGCCACCTTCTGACCAGCAAAGTAACACTGTAACAGAGTTGGAAGGGACCTCGGAGGTCATCTAGTCCAACCCCCTGCTCACGCAGGAGGAGACCTGTACTAGGGATTCGAACCGCCGAACTGCCGACCTTTCTGATCGACAAGCTCAGTGTCTTAGCCACTGAGCCACCTAGTCAGGCTAGGATTCAGTGGGGAAGCCCGATTCGCTTAACACCCGTGTGACTAATTTAACAACTCCGACAATTCAATTAGGTCATAAAATGGGCAAATTTCACTTAACGGCTGTTTTGTTTAGCAGCAGAAATTTTGGGCTCATTTGCTCAAAGAGGAAGATCTGCCAGAAGAGATGAAAGAATTATTGGTGGGGGCCCTTGAGACCAGAAAGCGAGACGTAGATGTGGAGGCAGATGAAATACTCAAATTAATGAGTGATGTAAGGAGACATTAAGGTCCCACGGGAGGAACAAGTGAGCTTTGTTAAAAAGTCAATGAGAGTCGAAATACTAAAAAGGGCAAGAGATGATGGATAGATAACAGAATACTTCTATTTAGTATACTTCTTTAATACTTTATACTTTAATACTTCTTAGGCCGGGCTATCAACATAATAATTTTAAATTGGGTGTTTTAAATTTCTGGGGTTTTAAATTGAGCCGAATTATTTAATAATTTTAAATAATTTTAATTGATGTTTGTCTTGTGCTTTTAATAGGCTGTACACCGCCCTGAGTCCTTCGGGAGAAGGGCGGTATAGAAATAAAATTATTATTATTATTATTATTATTATTATTATTATTATTGTTGTTGTTGTTGTTGTTGTTGTTGTTGTTGTTGTTGTTGTTGAGATTTTTTTTTAATTTTTAAACAAATATACATAAAAGCCTTATTACATTGCAAACAGTGTGTCGGTTGGTTACAAGCCTTTTGTGCCTCTTCACCAAATTCATAGCTTACAATTTACAGTTTATCTAAATTCTCATGTCATCGATCTAGTATATATCTATATATTATTATCCTCTGAAATGAGTAAATTGACATTTGAAATTAGAGAACAAGAAGATAAACAATACTATAAGATATGGGACTTATTTTATCAGTGGTTAGACAAAAAAATATGGAAATGAAATATGGTAGAGATCTTCACAATACACGAAGTGTAGAATGATGTGAAATAAAATATAAATATATATTAGTAGACAGAGTTAGGAGGAATGAAATGAATGTTATAATAAAAATTAACTCAAAATTTAAGAATATTTTGAATAATAACGAGGGAAGAAATAGCCATAATTAAATAAATGATTAATGAGGAACAGAATACTTCTTAATATGGGATTTGTTTTACTAATGGTTAGAAAATAGAAGTAGAAATTAGAAATTGGGAAAATACTACCGTGTATACTGCTACATAATACAATACATTATTATTATGTATGTGTAAATATTAGAAGTTGAAAGATTATTATGCGTAAATAATAATAATAATAATAATAATAATAATAATAATAATAATAATAATAATAATATTAATGATAATGATGATGATGATGATGATGATGATGATGTGAATTGACCCGGAGAATACACTCTTCACCAAACACCTATGGATGTTAAAGAAAAAATATATAATTGTGGTCATAAGTTGAGGACTACCTTTACCGTGTTTCTCAACCCTCGGTCACTGTGCTGGCTGGGGAATTCTGGGAGTTGAAATCCACCCGTTTTAAAGTGGCCAAGGTTGAAAAATACCGTTTTTTTAATCAGTGGATTTGTGGATCTCGTATCTGCACATATGAGTAGCATCTTAGTTGGGGGAGGGGTTTGACCCGAGCCCCCAAATGAAGATTTTGGGGTTTGCAAGGGAGCAGGGGTGGGGAAGGACAGGAGAGCTGAGAAGACACTGAGCTTGTCGATCGGAAAGGTCGGCAGTTTGGCGGTTCGAATCCCTAGTACAGGTCTCCTGCGTGAGCAGGGGGTTAGACTAGATGACCTCCAAGGTCCCTTCCAACTCTGTTACAAGCACCAAGCGACGCATACAAAATGCAGTCGCTTCAAGTCGGATTCGGATCCAATGGGGTTCAATGTCAGCCCTTCAGCCATTTTTCTCCCTGGCGCCTTCAGGACTGGCACAGTGGAGACGAATCAAGCTGTGGGAACGTAAAGGGGGGGAGGTAGAGATAGCTGGGGGATTGTAGCCAAAATAAAATTCTTTCCTCTGAGAACCAAGGACGTTCCCACCAGGTGCTAAGGAGGTGGGATTCTGAGACCAACTGACCCCTTGGACTGTGGCCTGATTGGACCATGTGATCAGAGGTGGAATTCAGCCGGTTCGTACCGGTTCGGGCGAATCGGTAGTGGCGACTGCAGGTGGGCCTGCCCGCCACCCGCCCCGGTGTAATGCCATCCTATTTAGCCCGGTTTTTGCGGCCAGGTGCATGCATGGAAGGCACGCGCATGAGAGGCAAACCAGATGTCAGCGTTGCAACGCTGGCATAGAGAGAGAGCAGAGGAGAGCGAAAGATAAACTCTGAAACTTTTGCCTGCTAAATCCCTTTGAAGCTTGGTTGTCGTGGAAATGAGGGGAGGGGGCACATTCCTGAGAAATGACGAAGAAAAGAAGTCTGAAGAATGTCTTGGAAGACAGCTAATGAGAAGCAGAGATTTGGGGATCGGAAAGGGAGGGATTGGGAGGCAAAAGGTCAGTCTTGTCCGCGTGGAGTCATGATCCGGTGGCTGAGCTTAATTAAAGAAAGATTTCCTGAAAGATTGGCAGTTTGGAAATTCATTTAATTTTGAGATAGCACCGCAGTCTGACAGACGGACAAGACTGACACCAGTCTGACACCAATGGTAAGAATATGTGAAACCTACTGCTGCATGTGATGAATTGCATGAACATAAACTTTGCTTTTAGCTGGGGGGGAAATAAAACTTTGCTTTTAGCTGGGAGGGAACCCGAGGGGGGTTTAGAGTCGGGTTTCCTCAGATGTGCCAATAAAAAGGTAAAGGTGAAGGTTCCTGTTCTGCCCCAGCTCCGGATTCCGGGAGGATATTGACACACACCAACGGTCCTTATCAAATTTATTAAGTAGCAAGAATAAACAAGACCGGCAAAGGTTGGCAACCAGCCCAGAAAGCAAGATATGATAAACCAAAATACTCTGATTATAAATACAAGTTGTTTCCAGCAAAAAAGCACTAGCTGCGTGTGACTTAAATAGGCTAAGGGAGTGGCCAATTATCCTCAAGCCTTACTCTCGAGGAGACCTCCTCCTCCTCCTCCTGAGTAGCCACTCCTGCCTTTTGGCAGCCCTGCGTGCCCGAGCATTGAGGAGAGGCTCCTCCACTTCGCTCTCTCCACTGGAAGGAGCCTCTGGAGGTTCTGAAGGCCCTGGCTGAGTCTCTGCCTCTGGCACCACATCCTCTTCGGCCTCCTCGCTGTCCGACGCGAGCGCCGGCTGCTGGCGCGACACCACACCAGCCTCCTCGTCAGGATCAGCCACGATCCGCACAGGCCGCTGGTGGGCCACAACAGTTCCCCTCGCACATATGTGCTAGTCGTTCCCGACTCTAGGGGGCGGTGCTCATCTCCGTTTCAAAGCCGAAGAGCCAGCGCTGTCCGAAGACGTCTCCGTGGTCATGTGGCCGGCATGACTCAATGCCAAAGGCGCACAGAACGCTGTTCCCTTCCCACCAAAGGTGGTCCCTATTTTTCCACTTGCATTTTTTACCTGCTTTCGAACTGCTAGGTTGGCAGAAGCTGGGACAAGTCACGGGAGCTCACCCCGTTACGCGGCACTAGGGATTCGAACCGCTGAACTGCCGACCTATCGATCGACAAGCTCAGCATCTGATCCACTGAGCCACCACGTCAATATGACATGACTAATTAATCTATACTTTGAGGAACATGCCTGCCTTGGAGTTTTGATTCCTTTGGGTGTGTTCTTGGAACTCTGACACCCAATTACCACCCAATTTCGAAAATCCATTCGAATGAGAAAAATCAATCCAATTTCTGAATGGGTTGCGGGAGGAATCCTTTTCAGGAATGCTTAAAAGTATCTGCACCGATTGGAGGCCTACTATGCAAGTGGGATCCTTACTTGCCAAGGGCTACACCGGACAGCCCTGAAAGCTTTGGGGCGCCCCTTGGAGACTGTCTTATCGGTTTCTGCCCCAGGGTCATTTTCATTACAAAGTAAGAAATTATTAACCACTTTCCAGGGATCTAATCAATAAAAGTTAAGCTCAATGAAAAGTGTTTAAATTTAGTTTTGGCTTCTCTAACTCTGGCGAGGGCAGCAGGTCAAAGTCAAAGGTAAAAATCAGTTTTGCTGATTTTCTAGCTGCCAGTCAGGATATGCCACTCATGTCTCCTATATCTACAGATGTTGAGACTCTGGAAAAAGTGGAGAGATGATTAGGGGATTGGAGGCTAAAATATGTGAAGGACATTTGCAGGAATTGGTTATGGTTAGTCTAGAGAAAAGAAGGACTAGGGATGACATGGTAGCAGTCTTCCAGTATTTGAGGGGCTGCCACAAAGAAGAGGAGGCCCAACCTATTCTCCCAAGCACCCAAAGGCTGAATAAGAAGCAAAGGATGGAAACCAATCAAGGGGAGAAGCAACCTGGAACTAAGGAGAAATTTCCTTAGGTTCTCCTGCTTGAGCAGGGGGCTGGACTAGAAGATCTCCAAGGTCCCCTCCAGCTCTATTTCTATTCCTATTCCTATCCCTATTCCTATTTCTTCTATTTCTATTATTTCCATTCGTATTCCATTTCATTCCATTCCATTATTCTATTCTAATTTCTGTTTCTATTTCTATTTCTATTCCATTCCATATTTTCTGTTCTGTTCTATTCTATTCTATTCTATTCTATTCTATTCTATTCTATTCTATTCTATTCTATTCTATTCTATTCTATTCTATTCTATTCTATTCTATACTATTCTATTCTATTCTATTCTATTCCATTCCATTCCATTCCATTCCATTCCATTCCATTCCATTATTCTATTCTAATTTCTACTTCTATTTCCATTCTATTCCATTCCATTCCATTCTATATTTATTCCATTCTATTTCATATATTATTCTATTCTATTCTATTCTAATTTCTGTTTCTATTCCATTCCATTCCATTCCATTCCATATTTATCCTATCCTATCCTATCCCATCCCATCCCATCCCATTCCATTCCATTCTATATTTATTCCATTCCATTCCATTCTATTCCTATTCCTATTCCTATTCCTATTCCTATTCCTATTCCTATTCCTATCTCTACTCTACTCTACTCTACACCTATTCCTATTCCTGTTCTACTCTACTCTACTCTACTCTACTCTACTCTACTCTACTCTATTCCTAACAGTGAGAAGAATTAATCAGTGGAACAGAAGTTGCCTCCAGAAGTTGGGGGTGCTCCATCACTGGAGGCTTTTAAGAAGAGTGTGGACAGCCACTTGTCTGAAATGGGACAGGGTCTCCTGCTTGTGCAGGGGGTTGGACTAGAAGACCTCCAAGGTCCCTTCCAACTCTTTGTTATTCTGTAAATTCTTTCCCATAGCTGGTACCTTGCCTTGGAAACAAGGCAGGCTCACACAGTGCAAATGCGAAGCTTTGTGTTAACATAACTAAAGGCTGAATGCACACATCTGTATACAGTGAAGACATCCAGGTTTCAAAGGGATGGCTCGATTCACACGCAGCTCTTTATTTGGAATAAGGCCCTCCGCAAAGTACAAACCTGTTTTTAACCTGGTTTTGTCTTTTGTGGGAATCCCTTCAAGCATAGATCGGTCTGTGTCGTATTTTGGAGGGGTGGGTTGGTTTAAATCTGTCTTGGAAAGAAACTATCCACTGGGGGGGGCATGGAGCTAGTCCTCATGATTCTGACTTGACTCGAACTTGCTTCCTGTGTGTGGTCTTAGGTCAGCAGACATGTGGCGATTGGGCTGCCTCATCTGGGAGGTTTTCAACGGCCCCCTGACCCGATCGTCCTCCCTGCGGTCCCTCAACAAAGTGAGTCTGTTTGGCGACCCTTTCCCAACAGTTCGTTGAATGGGGGTTGACTGAGCTGACCCCGTTTCCTGGGTTCACACAACCCCATCAACTGTAACCGAGATTGACAGTTCGCACCGTTGGTTGGTTGGTGGTGAGAATACAGGTTTTCTCTGATGCATGAAGTGGGCTGGGTACAGAGGGACAAAATGGTCTTCCAGGGCGGACACGGAGTGGACCGAATGGAGGTAGCTAGCTTTGTAAATCACATGGTGGTGTGAATTCCCTTTCTTTCTTTCTTTCTTTCTTTCTTTCTTTCTTTCTTTCTTTCTTTCTTTCTTTCTTTCTTTCTTTCTTTCTTTCTTTCTTTCTTTCTTTCCTTCCTTCCTTCCTTCTCTTCCTTCCTTCCTTCCTTCCTTCCTTCCTTCCTTCCTTCCTTCCTCCCTCCCTCCCTTCATTTCTTCCTTACTTTTTCTTCAGTCTAATTCCTCCCCTACTATTTCTTTTGTCCTTCCTTCCTTCCTTCCTTCCTTCCTTCCTTCCTTCCTTCCTTCCTTCCTTCCTTTCTTTCTTTCTTTCTTTCTTTCTTTCTTTCTTTCTTTCTCTCTTTTTTTCTTTCCTCCCTCCCTCCCTCCATTTCTTCCTTCCTTTTTCTTCAGTCTAATTCCTCCCTTCCTCTTTCTTTTGTTCTTTCTTTCTTTCTTTCCTTCCTTCCTTCCTTCCTTCATTTCTTCCTTACTTCTTCTTCAATCTAATTCCTCCCCTCCTATTTCTTCCTTCCTTCCTTCCTTCCTTCCTTCCTTCCTTCCTTCCTTCCTTCCTTCCTTCCTTCCTTCCTTCTCTCTCTCTCTTTCTTTCTCTCTCTCTTTCTTTCTCTCTCTCTTTTCTCTCTCTCTCTCTCTCTTCCCCTAGATGTAAAAAGAGTGGGCTGGCATATTAGGAGTAAAAGATAGATGAATACCCAGAAATGGGTTAGACCAGTTTTCTCAACCTTGATAACTTTAAGACTTCAAGTCCACCCATCTTAAAGTTGCCAATGTGGTGAATCTGTGCCCTAAAATGAAGTGTGTTTTGTCTACTCCATAAAGTTGCAAAGTGAAAAAGGCCGCAGGTTGCACAGTTGACATTGGAACTGCACGAGACATGAACGGTGCCCATCTTGTCTTCCCTCTCCTGCTTCTGGGTAGACTGGCTTTCTGTTGGAAACCACCATCTCCTTCTTCTGACCTATCTGCCTCCTTCCTTCTCTTCCAGATCCCCAAGTCCTTGGTGCCCCATTACTGCGAGCTGGTTTGTGCCAATCCCAAGCTACGACCCAGCCCATCCAAATTCCTGCAGAATTGCTCTCGGATGGGCGGTTTCATGGACAACAAGTTTGTGGAGACCAACCTCTTTCTGGAGGAGATCCAGGTGAGCGCAGGGGAGCACCAAAGGCTCCTGGCCTGTGTCCGGTTGATTTTACGGCTGTCCATGGGGCTAAAGTGTAGGAAGAAGTCCTGGTTGTGGGTCAAAGAACTTGGTTGAACCTTGGAACATTTGAGATTTCAATCTCCATATCTGGAGGTGTTTGCCATTCACACATTATTGCAATAAAATATAGGAATTTTTTTACTGATTTTTTTTTTACTGATCCCTTTTACTAAAATACGACGTGAATGTGCTGATAGATAGATAGATAGATAGATAGATAGATAGATAGATAGATAGATAGATAGATAGATATAGGTAGGTAGGTAGATAGGCAGACAGACAGGCAGATAGTTGATAGATAGATAGATGATAGATAAATAGATGATATATAGATGATATATAAATAGATAGATGATAGATAGATGATAGATAGAGGTAGGTAGATAGGCAGACAGATAGATGATAGATAGATAGATAGATAGATAGATAGATAGATAGATAGATAGATACTGGATGTCATAAGGCAGCGTTTCCGATACCTGGTAAAATCACACCAAGTTGTGTAAAAGTCCCATCACATCAGGAGCATTGAAATGGCCTTCAAGATTGCCACATATCCTAAAAAATATATATAAATCTCCCAAATTTTCCTACGAAGCCAAGAATCATTGAAATTACCAATGTAATTTGTTGAAAAGTTATAATAGCAATAGCACTTAGACTTATATACTGCTTCACAGTGCTTTGCAGCTCTAAGTGGTTTACAGTGTCAGCCTCTTGCCCCCAACAATCCAAGTCCTCATTTTACCGACCTCGAAAGGATGGAAGGCTAAGTCAACCTTGAGCTGGTGAGGATCGAATCCTGGCAGTCGGCAGAGTTAGCTTGTAATACTGCACTCTAACCACTGGGAGGGAGGGAAGGAGGGAAGGGAAGGGAAGGGAAGGAAAGGAAAGGAAAGGAAAGGAAAGGAAAGGAAAGGAAAGGAAAGGAAAGGAAAGGAAAGGAAGATACCACTTAGCACTTAGACTTATATAGTGCTTTACAGTGCTTTACAGCCCTCTCTAAGCAGTTTACAGAGTCAGCCTCTTGCCCCCAACAATCTGGGTCCTCATTTTACTGACCATGGAGGGCTGAGTCAACCTTGAGCTGGTCAGGATCGAACTCCTGGCAGTGGGCAGAGTTAGCCTGCAATCCTGTATTCTACCTACCGTGCCACGATAAAAGACAGTTCAGTGGTATTGTTCTTATAATACACGTTGTCCTTGTGTTATGACTGTTTATCCATTTGACCATTTGAAGTTCCAATGGTGTTGAAGAAAGGGATGGACAGCTGGTCCCTGAAGTTTGATAAGATTTTTTTGATAAGTGGCTTTGGATAATGAAGGAAAAAAAAAATAGGGAAGAGCTGCCCGAAAGAAAAATGTTCCTGTACAACAGTGATTTTCAAGCACTGTCACTTTAAGACGTGTGGACTTCAGCTCCCAGAATTCCGTAGCTAGCTATACACTTAGATGTCCACATGTCTTAAAAGTGGCGAAGTTTAAAAAACACTGCTATGGAATATACAAGCATGAACCATCAACCATTAATCTGTAAAAAGGTTATCAAATATCCTGACCCCCTTGTTGAGGGCTGGCTAGATCATGGGGTCTTTGCCACATGATATCTCTGCAGTGGGAATCCTTCTGCAGAACCTGGCTCCAGGTTCTGGAGCCAGAACCTCCAGAGTTCTGGTTGGAGATCTAGTCTGAATGACCCCCACCTCCCAATGAATTTCATGCCTGCCCCTTCTCCTAGCTGGAAAAGGTGGGTGGGGCAGATTTGAACCCATAACTCTTGGTTACTGCTTTTTTTCCTGCAGATTAAGGAGCCGGCCGAGCGGCAGAAGTTTTTCCAAGAACTCAGTGACAACCTAGATAATTTCCCTGAGGACTTCTGTCGCCACAAGGTCCTTCCCCAATTGCTGATGGCTTTTGAGTTTGGGAGTGCAGGGGCCATCATCCTCACCCCACTCTTTAAGGTAAGCCGCTCTGTGGAACAAGGAAGGAGACATGGATTGTGATGAGCCGGGACATGGCACAGAGATAACACAAACAGCTGGCGGTTCAAACCGCCTCTTTATTGCTCCAAATTTCCCCAAACGCTCCCACGTTTCTGGCAAGTCCCAGAGCAAAGTGATAACAAACCCCCACGCATACCTCAAGCAGCCTCTGGCTGCAAATAATCCAGCCCAACTCTGTGGGCACCACGGCTGCAAAGCAATAAACCCAGCAGGGCAAATCAAGGAGTTCAGGAAGCCAAGGATCCAGGGAATTAGTCCAGAAGGGCAGAAAGAATGCAAGGACTCTTGGGAAATCCAAACGTCGGCACTCCACACTTCAGGAATTCAGCGTTTGTTCCCAACAAATGCTCCTCCCCATAGCGTCTCCTTAAGTCTCATTCCCCAGGTGTGCCTTGTGAAGAGGGGCTGGGCGCTCTCCTCCCGAGTAGTCTGCTCAGTCTGTGCTACTCTTGCCTTCTCTCCACTCTCCGTGCTCTTGGATCAGGAGGGGGCGGTCCTTGCCTCAGTTCTGTCTTTCTTGGTTATCCTGCCTCTGTTCCTCCCTGCCTACAAACTGTCCTAATCTTGAAAGACCCTGGCCTGACTGGCCCTGCCCTTCCCCATTTTCCTCTGAAGCCAACAAAGCCCATCCCTCCATCTCTGTGAGCTCAGGTTCCAGCTGGTCTCCCCCACCCCACCCCACCCCAGATTCATGCTCCTACGGGGCTTGGGAAAAAAACCCAGAACGGATTCCCCAAAGTTGGAGAAGGATGGAGATTGTGGCTCAGGGTACTGAGGCTTTCTTCGTTTCCATTAAACCTGGCACACTTGTTGTGTGTCTGCTTGTTTCTGCTTTTTGCGATTGTGGTGACATGCAGACAACAACACATAGGAATGCCTGCTCTTTGTGCTCCAATCAATGTATCCTTTTTTTTTAAAAAAATGATTTTCTATTAAATACATTTCTTAGTGATTAAACGTCGGGTAGTCTGGATATTTCATTTGCTTAACAATACAATTTTTTTTGGTTTTTGTAAAACAAGTTTTATTAAATTTTTCTTTTACATAGTGTTCATAATCTTATTCACAACTTACTCATCTTGTAACATAGTTATATATTGATTTTTATCGTCTATTCCAATCTTCCTTTTTGTTTTTTCCAAATACAATTTACATATTTCAGTTTCAGCCAAAATATTCTTTTTCCCTACTTCTTTATTTTATCTTAATCTCTTCTTAATACAAAATGTATAAACAATATCATCATCCGCCCTTCAACTCCTAGTTTCTTAGCATAACATCAGTTAATTATCTTATTTCTCCATTTATAAAATACATTTCTCAGAATCCCCATCACACTTTTTGTCTATAAACAATGCGCTTCATTGTATTCAATTCTTACATTGAAGCCCTTTAACTTAATTAACCTTCCACATCTTATCTTAATCTCTTCTTAGTACATAACCAGCAATATCACTATCCGCCTTTAATTCCTAATTTCTTACTAGAGCATCAATTAATTATTTTATTTCATCATTTACAGCATGTTTTTTTCAAAATCCCTATCACACTTTTTATCATTTCAATTTTGTCTCTTGATTTCAGTTATTTTCATAATTGAACCAAATTGCCACTTCATATTTCATCTGCTGTTCTGTTTTACAATAAACAATATACATCATCATATTCGCTTCTTACATTCACAATTGCTAATATTAATACAGTTCCCTTAGATCTACTCATATATACCTTATTTCCCTTCCTCCTTTCCACTATTCTTCCCCTTTTAACCGTTTTCTCTTGGTCTCTCCAGAATTCCACTTCTTAATAATTTTCTCCCTTCATCCCATTCTCTTTTCTTCTTCTTTTTTTTATTTTTATATTTATTATATCTTTTCTCCTGAATCCTTTAACTTTTGAGTCTATTACTCGCATAATTCGCCCCCAGTTTTTAATTAATCTTCTTAAAAACTTCCAGTGTTGGAGCATTCACAACTTCTGGAGGCCAGTTGTTCCACTTATTAATTGTTCTCACTGTCAGGAAATTTCTCCTTAGTTCTAAGTTGCTTCTCTCCTTGATTAGTTTCCACCCATTGCTTTTTCTTCTACCCTCAGGTGCTTTGGAGAATAGTTTGACTCCCTCTTCTTTGTGGCAGCCCCTCAAATATTGGAAGACTGCTGTCATGTCTCTCCTAGTCCTTCTTTTCATTAAACTAGCCATGCCCAGTTCCTGCAATTGTTCATTGTATGTTTTAGCCTCCAGTCCCCTCATCATTTTTGTTGCTCTTCTCTGCACTCTTTCCAGAGTCTCCACATCTTTTTTACATCATGGCAACCAAAACTGGATGCAGAATTCCAAGTGTGGCTTTACCAAGGCCTTGTAAAGTGGTATTAACCCTTCATGTGATGTTGATTCTATCCCTCTGTTTATGCAGCCTAGAAATAACAAGTAAACAATAACAAATAAAATAACAAGATATGCACACATGAAGTAGGCCTTGCTTAATTTGGGCAAGATCTGCTTCATTTGTACATTTGCACATAACTTCTATTTTAATTTTTTTAATTTTTATGTCATGTAGCACGACTTTCTTTCATTGTGATGCTTCTGACTCAATTAACCTGTTGTGTATATTCAAGATGCTTAATTAGAAATCCTCCCTCCCTCCCTCTCTCTCTCTTTTCTTCCTCTGCTTTTCTTTCCCCCTTTTCCAGGTGGGGAAATTCTTGAATAGCCAGGAATACCAGCAAAAAATCATCCCCGTAATTGTGAAGATGTTCTCTTCCCCGGATCGGGCCATGAGGATCCGTTTGCTGCAACAGGTTAGCCGGCATCCAAATCACAAAGAGTTGCATTTGGGGTTGTGTATTTGTTAAGAGAAAGGACATTGTTGCGTCCTTGGCTCTTTCTTTTAAATAGAGTCATAGATGATTTTTATTTTTTTTAAATTGATTTATATGCCGCCCTTCTCCGGAGACTCAGGGTGGCTTACAATGCGTTAAGCAAAAGCCTTCATACTTTTGTATATATTTATACAAAGTCAGCTTATTGCCCCCACAATCTGGGTCCTCAATTTACCTACCTTAGAAAGGATGGAAGGCTGAGTCAACCTTGAGCCTGGTGAGATTTGAACTTGCAGTAATTGCAGACAGCTGGTGTTAATCACCATGATTTTAGTCTGCTGAGCTATCAGGCCCGTATTTAAGCGATTGAAATCAGTGGGCTTCAAAGAGAAAACATCTGCTGTGAACTCTGTGTAGGCATGAGGAAGGGCATCCAGTCAGTAAATGCTCAGTCCTATTCAGTTGCCTTGACTCTATCCCGAATTAAGGGATTAACAGCAGAGTTCCCCAACCTTCCCGGGTTGGTGTCCCGGAGTTGGGAGGGGGAAAGAGGGGATGGTTTAGTGGGAGGAGTAGACACAAGCACCTGTTGCTTGCGTGAGTGAGTACCTAAACGCCTGCGATGCTCGCACGACGGGGGCCAGCCATTCATGCAGCCCGGTTGCGAATAGGCCATGGCCCACAGGTTGGGACATTAAAAAAAAGTAATAAGGGCAGGATACTAATAAGTCAAAAAATAAATTGCATGAATGCAGCCTCTGGAGTTAGCGCATGTTTTTAGTGCAAACCTGGGTCTATTCTGTATGTTTGTGCGGACCTGGCCCCTTCGTGCCTGGTGCAACTCAGGGAGAGAAATTGCGGTGGCTCAATTTTGTGCCTCAGGCACCAACTGATTGCCGGTGTTTCCCCTCCAGATGGAGCACTTCATTCAGTATCTGAACGAGCCCACGGTCAACACCCAGATCTTCCCGCATGTGGTCCACGGTTTCCTGGACACCAATCCAGCCATTCGGGAGCAGACGGTGAAGGTGAGGCAGAGGTGATAACCAAAGGATGTGAGAAAGGCCTTGGAAGGCGGGATGAAAAACACACTGCCAGATAAGAGACAGCTTCACCCTCAGCTGCATAACGGGTGGAGAAAGAGAATCTGGAGGGACTTTCTCAGACTAAAAGTGACAGTGGGAGATTTATACTTTCAGACTTGCAAAATTCTGGTTAATGTAACTTTACAGCCAAGTAAGGGACGCGGTGGCTTAGTGGCTAAGACGCTGAGCTTGTCGATCGAAAGGTCGGCAGTTCGGCGGTTCGAATCCCTAATGCCGTGTAACTCCCGTGACTTGTCCCAGCTTCTGCCAACCTAGCAGTTCGAAAGCAGGTAAAAAATGCAAGTAGAAAAATAGGGAGCACCTTTGGTGGGAAGGGAACAGCATTCCGTGCACCTTTGGCGTTGAGTCATGCCGGCCACATGACCACGGAGACGTCTTCGGATAGCGCTGGCTCTTCGGCTTTGAAACAGAGATGAGCACCGCCCCCTAGAGTCGGGAACGATTAGCACATAGGTGCGAGGGGAACCTTTACCTTTACCTTACAGCCAAGTAGAATTAGCTCATCCAGTTGGATTTCCTGACTGGGAAGACTGACAGATGTCAAAGGCAAGTTCTCTACCTCGGGGGAGGGGTTTCACCGAGCCCCTGACGCTCCTCCCTGCTGAGTGGGATAAGCAATCTTTTATCTGTTGGGAGTCACAATCCCCTAGGCGTGTTTTTGGGGAGGGGGACCGTCTTACATCATAATGGGGGGGATGGGAGGGAGGAGGAGCCTGATGCTGAAGTGAGTGAGGTCATCTATACTTTCCCCTCTGAATCTTTTTTTTGGTTGGAAAAAAGACCACAAAGTGATCCCAGTGTTGCTGTCTCTTAATATCCACTCTCCGTCCAGGGAGTGACCGGGCTCTTTCCCCCAAGCTATCCCCACCTCCAAGCATCCTCGCCCTGGGGCTCGTTCTTCCTGCCCTTGCTTGCCGGCCCTACGGCCTCTCGCTAAGGGGCTTCTGTTTTGTGTCTCTCCCACAGTCCATGCTGCTCCTGGCTCCCAAGTTGAACGAGGCCAACCTGAACGTGGAACTCATGAAGCACTTCGCTCGCCTCCAGGCCCGCGACGACCAAGGCCCCATTCGCTGCAACACCACCGTGTGCCTGGGCAAGATTGGGCCATACCTCAGTGCCAGCGTGAGTGGGCATGGCTTCAAGGAAGCAGAGGGGGGCTTTCAGACCAGGAGGTGGGCAGCTGAGAAGCTTTAGAGCAGGGATGTCCAACCGTGGCCATTTTAAGACCTGTGGACTTCAAGTAGCCAAGGCTGGCTGGGGAATTCTGGGAGTTGAAGTCCAGAAGTCTTCAAGTAGCCAAGGCTGGCTGGGGAATTCTGGGAGTTGAAGTCCAGAAGTCTTCAAGTAGCCAAGGCTGGCTGGGGAATTCTGGGAGTTGAAGTCCAGAAGTCTTCAAGTAGCCAAGGCTGGCTGGGGAATTCTGGGAGTTGAAGTCCAGAAGTCTTCAGGTAGCTAAAGCTGTCTGGGGAATTCTGGGAGTTGAAGTCCAGAAGTCTTCAAGTAGCTAAAGCTGGCTGGGGAATTCTGGGATTTGAAGTCCAGAAGTCTTCAAGTAGCCAAGGTTGGACATGCTTGTGTTTTAGAGAGAGTTGGCTCTGGGAATTAGGATGTGGGAAACTGGACACAGGATCACAGACAGGAAGTCCTCGACTTATGACCACAACAGGGACTGGAAAATTTGTTGCAGTGCTTAAATAAGGCATTGCAGGATTGCCCCTGATTTTGCAAACTTTTTTTTGCCATGGTTGTTAAATGAACCTCTATGGTCATTGAGTGGAGCACAGTGGTCATTGAGTAAGCTATCACATGATCGCGACTTGGGAAGTTCCCTGCTGGCTTCCCCAGTGACCTAGACAGTGATGACGTGAATTCTGGACACTGTGGAGTTGTACATCCATCCTGGGTACCAATCGCTGTGGCTTTAGCGCAGTGATGCTCGATTGGTTGTAAGTGTAAGGACCAGACATCAGTTCCCGTTTTTCATTGCCGTTCTAATTTTGAAAGGTCACTAAAGGACTGGTCATAATTTGAGAATCACCTGTAATATGTGAATGATCAATGGTTTAAATATGAATTAAGATTAGAATCATGAAACGGGAAAAGGACCTTAGAGGTCATTTAGTCCCCTGCTTAGTGCAATGCCACAGTTCTTTGTACCAGGGTTTTAAGCCTTGAACGATGAGCTTGCTGATATACAGGTAGTCCTTGAGCTACAACCACAACTGAGCCCACCATTTCTGTTGCTCAGCGAGATGGTCATTAAGTGAGTTTTAACAACCTTTCTTGCCACCGTTTCTAAGTGAATCACTGCAGTTGTTAAATTAGTAACACGGTTGTTAAGCGAATCTCTATTCTCCCCCGTTGAGTTGGCTGGTCAGATGGTCGCAAAAGGGGATCCCGTGACCCCGGGGACACGGCGACCGTCATAAATAGGAGACAGTTGCCAAGCCTCTGAATTTTGATGAGGTGACCAGGGAGAGGCTGCAAAGGTTTGTAACTCTGAAAAAATGGTCCCAAGCCATTTTTTTCTCAGCGCCGTTGCAACTTTGGATGGTCACTCAATGAACTGTTGTAAGTCGAGGACTACCTGTGTCAAATACCTGTGTTAAGTAATTTGCAGCGCAACCCTTGAGTAGCAAGGGTGTGCACATGAAAGCGATTGAGAGTAGTTACGAAATAACACAGCCCACACACAGATACACTGAGTTGTGTTTACTTTCAGGAAATAGTAATAAGGCACAGTCCAATAAACAGTCCAGGTCATACACAGATAAAGCAGGAGATAGTAAAACAATAGTCCAGGGATAATCCAATAACAGAGTCTTCTTACCAGTCGTCGTAGTCATACACAGTTATCAGTTCTTCTGTATTTGCAAACAGTAGCAAAAAGCAGTAAAGGGCAGTCACGATCAGCAAAGAGAAACAAACCATGTTTCTAGCTCCCTCTTAAGGGCATTGGCTACAGAGCTAACCAATCGGGACACAGTATGACGCAATACAGCAGCACAGCAGTCTTTACAATGATGGTTTATATGTTGCCAACCCAACAAGTTAGGTCAAGAAGAAGGCACTTTGGGGACGGAAGAGGCAGCCTGGGCCAGAATCCTGAGTCCCCTTTTTTTGCTGCGATTTCTTATTACAGGTGAGCTCAAGTTGTTTGCTGGGTGTTCTCTTTACAGACGAGGCAGAACGTGCTTATCTCGGCCTTCAGTCGGGCCACCAAGGACCCCTTTGCCCCCTCGCGGGCAGCCGGGGTCCTGGGCTTCGCCGCCACCCACAATTTCTTCTCCATCAAAGAGTGCGCCTTCAAAATCCTGCCAGTGCTCTGCACCTTGACGGTGGACCCCGAAAAAACTGTCCGGGACCAGGTGAGGGGTGGGGTGGGGGGTGGGGTGGTTGGGGGCCAAACTCCCCTCGGAGGTCTCTGAAGGGTGGGCAGAGAATTGAGTCCACAGGGGGAAGCAGATCCAGTTGAGGGATCCTTGGGGCTCTCTGAGCTTGCTTGTTTTCTGTGGACGTTTCATGACCAAACTAGGGAACATCATCAGGGCTAGTAAGAAGTGGTGTTTGCTGTTACGTTACTCCTTACTAGCACTGATGAAGTTCCCTAGGTTGGTCAGGAAACGTCTGCAAGAAAATAAGCAAGTTCAGAGAGCCCCAAGGACCCCACAGTTCTCTTCCTCCTCCTCCTCTTCCTCCTCTTATCTGCACACCCCACTCCCTTCTAGCACTGATGATGTTACCTAGGTTGGGAGTAAGACGTCTGCATGAAAACAAGCAAGGTCAGAGAGCAGCAAGGACCCCACAGTCTTCTTCCTCTTCCTCCTCCTCTCCCTCCTCCTCCTTCTCTTCCTCCTCCTCCTCTGCACACCCCACTCCCTTCTAGCACTGATGATGTAACCTAGGTTGGGAGTAAGACGTCTGCATGAAAACAAGCAAGCTCAGAGAGCAGCAAGGACCCCTCCTTTCAACCCTGAGCTACGAATCTTCTCCTTCATTGGCCGATCCAGTTCCCCCAGTCACTTGCTCCGTCCTTGCCTCATGCTGCACAGGTGCACGCCTGTAGGGCAGGTGTTTTGCCACCAAGTGAACCTTTGCCCTACAGATGTGCCCTTGAGCGATCCGAGGGAAGGACGCCGGGAAAAGGACGCCCAGACGCACCTTACTTAGAAGGTGGAATATGAATTTAATAAATGAAAAATAAAAATGCAGGCATCTTTCGGTGCATTGGAGCCACAAATGAAAGGGGAGGCTCTTCTAACAGAGGCAATCCTCGACTTACGACCAGAATTAGGACTGGAACGTCCGTTGCTAAGCAATGGGGTTGCTAATGTCTGAGGCCTGATTTTATGACCTTAAGTGAATCCGGCTTCTTCCGCATTGACTTTTCAGTGCCGTTGCAACTTTGAACGGTCACTAAACGAGTCGAGGACTACCTATAGTTTGTAGCGCCACGGGGAAGCTTGTGATTGTGTCTCTTTTGTGTCTCTCTCTTCGCTCTTTTTCGTCAGGCCTTCAAAGCCATTCGCAGTTTCATGACTAAACTGGAGACGGTTTCAGAAGATCCGGATCAGCTCTCAGAGCTTGGTGAGACCATCCTGACAACTCAATAGGTGCCGAGGAGTTGGGTTTGGACACCGGGCCTGGTGGTTTGTCTAAAGCAGGGTGGGCAACTGGCGGCCGAGGATTGTATGCCCGGCTTGGCCCACTTTGCAAACCCCGCCCACCTCTTTCCTGCTTTGAGCTCTGGCCACGCCTCCTGCTTAGAATGCGAGGCCCTGCCCAATATATTTGGGCTGTGTGGATTTGGTTCGCTGGAATCATAGAGTTCTAGGGCTGGAAGGAACCTTGGCCGTGTGGATTTGGTTCGCTGGAATCATAGAGTTCTAGGGCTGGAAGGAACCTTGTTGGGGGGGGGGTGTCTTCAACGCTGGCTAGGGAATTCTGGAGATTGAAGTCCACACGTCTTAAATTTGCCATGTTTGCAGAGCCTTGTAATCTAGTAGGAGACTCCCAGTGTCAGGCCTGTCCGAACTTGGACATCTAGGGAAGAAACACCCTCGACTCCCATTTGCAGCGAAAGGTATACTTTTACTAAAGCTAATTGGTTACAGCATAGGAAAGCCAGATTGGAAGATTCCCACATAAACCCAGGTTAAGAAGAGACTAGACAACCCTTGGTCTCCCTGAGCAGGGGGTTGGACTAGAAGACCTCAAAGGTCCCTCCCGACTCTTGTTACCCTGTTAGTCCAACCCACTGCTGAAAAAGCACTTCCTGGCATTACAACGGTGTGACTTGAACCCAGGATCCTGCCCTTTCTCTCTCTCTCTCTTTAGAAAAAGATGTCCAGGCTGCTTCTATCAGTCCCGGGGTGGGCTCAGCCGCCAGTTGGGCCGGCTGGGCTGTGACGGGGGTCTCGTCGCTGACGTCAAAGCTGATCCGGACAAACGCTGGAACGACGGTGGGAGCAGAACAGGCGGCTGAGGACGCCCCCGTCAAGAAGCCGTCGGAGGCCCCCAAATCAGGTCAGAGGGGCTGCCAAGCCCACCCTGGGGAGCCTACCAATTTATCCCGGCTTGGAATGCTGAGGAGGCCTCGGGAAGCCTGCCTCGTCTGTGTGAACGGGGCCAATTTTGCAATACAGGGATAACTCTTCGTTTAGTGACCATTCAGAGTTACAACCGGATTGAAAAGAAGTGACTCGTGGCCACTTTCCACAGAATTACGGCATTTGCAGCAGCATCCCTGTGGTCACATGATCAGAATTTGGGCGCTGGGCAACTGGTATTTATGACGGCCGCAATGTCCTGGGGTCACGTGATCCCTTTTTGCGACCTTCTAACGAGCAAAGTCAACGGGGAAGCCAGGTTCACTTCATAACCATGTCACTGACTTAACAATGGTAGTGTTTCACTTAACAACCGTCCTTGCTTAGCAGTGCAAATTTTGGCTCAGTTGGCAAATTGTGGTCATAAGTTGAGGACTGCCTGTATATTTAAAACATTTTATTTATCATCTATCTATCTATCTATCTATCTATCATCCATCATCCATTCATCTATCTCGATCTGTCTGTCTGTCTGTCTGTCTGTCTGTCTGTCTGTCTGTCTGTCTGTCTGTCTATCTATCTATCTATCTATCTATCTATCTATCTATCTATCTATCTATCATCCATCATCCATTCATCTATCTCGATCTGTCTGTCTGTCTATCTATCTATCTATCTATCTATCTATCTATCTATCTATCTATCTATTATCCATCATCCATCCATCTCTATCTATCTATCTATCTATCTATCTATCTATCTATCTATCTATCTATCTATCATTATCCATTATCTCTCCCTCATCCATCTATCTTTCTATATCTATCTATCTATCTATCTATCTATCTATCTATCTATCTATCATCTATCTATCTATCTATCTATCTATCTATCTATCATTATCCATTATCTCTCCCTCATCCATCTATCTTTCTATATCTATCTATCTATCTATCTATCCATCTATCTATCTATCTATCTATCTATCTATCTATCTATCTATCTATCTATCTATCTATATCTATATCTATCTTCTATTATCCATTATCTCTCCCTCATCCATCTATCTATCTTTCTATCTCTTTAAGTCTATCTACTATTATCCATCAACTCTCATCCATCCACCTACCTACCTACCTATATCTAAAACATTTATCTATCATCTATATATTTGTCTGTCTATCTCTCAACTTACTAGTATCTCTTGATCTCTCTGTGTCTAAAGCCTTGATCTCCCTGTGTATCTCTAGGTCCCGGCCCCCCTCCTGCTTCCGAGGGAGCAGCCCCCAGCCCCTCCAGCGGGTGGGAGGTGGAGGAGGAGGTGGGGGAAGAGGAGAGTGCGGCCGACCAATGGGACGATGAAGACTGGAGCAGCTTGGAGGTAAAAGGTCACAGTGGGGCTGGGGTTTGGAGGGGAGGGGGTGGGGGTGGGGGTGGGGAGGCAGCTTAAAATGCCTCTTGGTCCGGGAGCTGAAGAGCTGAGATGGATCAGAGATGCTAAATTGCCACAATTCATTGGCTGACATTCCTCGACTTACAGCTATTCGTTTAGTGAGCGTTTGAAGTTATAAAAGCACTGAAAAAAAGTGACTTATGGCCATTTTTCCCACTTAGTGACCGTTGAATGCAGGCAGGTGGTTGCCTCGTCCCCATGATTATCATTTGTATCCTTCCTAACCAGCTTCTCACCAGCAAAGCCAATGGGTGATGCCGGATTTGCTTAATGACCATGTGATTCACTTAAGAACTGCAGTGATTTGCTTAACAAGCATAGCAGTAAATCAGATCTGGTCACATGATCATGATTTTAAAACCATCATGACTGTCATGGGTAGACTCCCTAACGGTCATAAGGGGAGGACTATTCATGAATATGTTCTATTAATAAATTAATGGATGATAAATAGATGGGAGAGAGAGAGACAGATGATAGAAGATAGATACATAGATACATAGGTAGATTCATAGATAGATGATAGATGATAGATGGATAGATAGATAGATAGATAGATAGATAGATAGATAGATAGATAGGTAGATTCATAGATATTATTATTATTATTATTATTATTATTATTATTATTATTATTATTATTATTATTATTTTATTTCTATACCGCCCTTCTCCCGAAGGACTCAGGGCGGTGTACAACCAATTTAAAAAAAAAAAGGTAGATAGATGATAGATGGATAGATAGATAGGTAGGTAGATAGATAGATAGATAGATACATAGATAGATAATTAATTAATTAATTATATTTATATACCGCCCTTCTCCCAAAGGACTCAGGGCGGTGAACAGCCAAGATCAAATACATAAATATAAAAGTTAAAAACAATTTAAAACCAGATTAAATACTTTGGCCCACAATTAAAAACATCCCATTAAAATCCAATTTAAAATTTAAAACCGTTAAAATTAGGCTAGCCTGGCTTGCTGCAATAACAAAGTCTTCAGGGCACAGCGGAAGGTGCGCAAGTCCGGGATCCTCCGTACCTCCGGGGGCAGCTCGTTCCAGAGGGCAGGAGCCCCCACTGAGAAGGCTCTCCCCCGGGGGTCACCAGTCGACATTGTCTGACCGACGGCACCCCGAGGAGCCCCGCCCTGTGGGAGCGTACTGGCCGGTGGGAGGCTGTCAATAGCAGAAGGCGGTCCCGTAAGTACCCGGGTCCTAAGCCATGGAGCACTTTAAAGATGTTAATCAACACCCGGAAGACCACTGGGAGCCAATGCAGCTCGCGCAGGAGAGGTGTTACATGGGAGCACCCCGCCGCTCCCATAATCACCTGCGGAGCTGCGTTTTGGACCAGCTGGAGCCTCCAGATGCTCTTCAAGGGGAGCCCCATGTAGAGAGCATTGCAGTAGTCCAGTCGGGAAGTGACGAGGGCATGAGTGACCGTGCGCAGGGAGTCCCAATCCAGAAAGGGCTGCAACTGGCGAATCAGGTGAACCTGATAAAAAGCCCCCCAGGTCATATGCTCTTCTAAAGACAGCCGCGCATCCAGGAGGACACCCAAGTTGCGAGCCCCCTCTGTGGGGGGCAAAGATTCACCCCCAATAGCCAGCAATGGCACCAGCTGGCTATATCGGGATGCTGGGAGCCACAGCCACTCAGTCTTGGAGGGGTTGAGTCGGAGTCTGTTTCTCCCCATCCAGACCTGCACGGCCTCCAGGCACCGGGACATCACGTCAAGGGCATCGTTGGGGTGGTTTGGGGTGGAGATGTACAGCTGAGTGTCATTAGAGTACTGATGAAACTCCACCCCAAAACCACAGATGATCTCACCCAGCGGCTTCACATAAATGTTGAACAGAAGGGGCGAGAGGACCAACCCCTGCAGCACCCCATACATAAGCCGCCTCAAGGATGACCTCTGCCCCCCTGCCAACACAAATTGCGACCGGTCAGAGAGAAAGGAGGAGAACCACCGTAATACGGTGCCCCCAACCCCCAGTCCCTCCAGCCGGCGCAGCATGATACCATGGTCGATGGTATCAAAAGCCGTTGAGAGGTCTAATAGGACCAGGACAGAGGAACAACCCCTGTCCCGAGCCCTCCAGAGATCATCCACCAACGCGACCAATGCCGTTTCCATGCTTTACCCAGGCTTGAAACCGGACTGGAACGGGTCTAGCTAGACAAAGATAGATACATACATAGATAGATGATAGATGAATAGATAGATAGATAAATAGATGGATAGATAGATGATAGATAGATGGATGGATGGATGGATGGATGGATGGATGGATGGATGGATGGATAGATAGATAGATAGATGGATAGATAGATAAATAGATGGATAGATAGATAAATAGATGGATAGATAAATAGATGGATAGATAGATTATAGATGAATAGATAGATAGATAAATAGATAAATAGATGGATAGATAGATGGATAGATAGATGATAGATGGATGGATGGATAGATAGATAGATAGATAGATAGATAGATAGATGGATAGATAGATAAATAGATGGATAGATAGATAAATAGATGGATAGATAGATGATGGATGGATAGATAGATAGATGACAGATGATGGATGGATGGATAGATAGATACAGTAGATGATAGCTTGATAGCTTGATAGATAGATGATAGATGATAGATAGATAGATAGATAGATGGATAGATAGATAAATAGATGGATAGATAGATAAATAGATGATAGATAGAAAGATAGATAGATAAATAGATGGATAGATAGATGATAGATAAATAGATGGATAGATGGATGGATAGATAGATAGATAGATAGATAGATAGATAGATAGATGACAGATGATGGATGGATGGATAGATAGATACAGTAGATGATAGCTTGATAGCTTGATAGATAGATAGATAGATAGATAGATAGATAGATGGATAGATAGATAAATAGATGGATAGATAGATAAATAGATGATAGATAGAAAGATAGATAGATAAATAGATGGATAGATAAATGATAGATAGATAAATAGATGGATAGATAGATGATAGATGGATGGATGGATGGATAGATAGATACAGTAGATGATAGCTTGATAGCTTGATAGATAGATGATAGATGATAGATAGATAGATAGATAGATGGATAGATAGATAAATAGATGGATAGATAGATAAATAGATGATAGATAGAAAGATAGATAGATAAATAGATGGATAGATAGATGATAGATAAATAGATGGATAGATAGATGGATGGATAGATAGATAGATAGATAGATAGATAGATAGATAGATAGATAGATGACAGATGATGGATGGATGGATAGATAGATACAGTAGATGATAGCTTGATAGCTTGATAGATAGATAGATAGATAGATAGATAGATAGATAGATAGATAGATGGATAGATAGATAAATAGATGGATAGATAGATAAATAGATGATAGATAGAAAGATAGATAGATAAATAGATGGATAGATAAATGATAGATAGATAAATAGATGGATAGATAGATGATAGATGGATGGATGGATGGATAGACAGACAGACAGACAGACAGACGATGGATAGAAGTTTGAGAGAGAGAGAAAGATTTTGGCAAGTGAACCGCGGTGGCTGTGGGTTCTACATAAGTGAATGTCCGTTTTCCTCTCTGTGTCAACAGCAAGAAACGGAGCAGCCGAAGAGGCAGCCCAGCCCAGATGACTGGAACAGCTCTGGCTGGTCGGAACCGGCCCAGACTTTCGGCAGTAGGACAGTAAGTCTCCTTCAGGCTGCCTCAAACTTCCCTGCTTTGGCTTCCTCGATCTCCACAGGTGTGCTGTGTTTCTCCGAAAATAAGACCTCCCCAGATAATAAGCCCAATCGGACTTTTTTATTGCAAAAGTTTTACAATTACATTTTCACCCCTTTTTCCCCCCCCCACCACCCACCCCAAACTTCCCAACCTCCCTAACCCTCCCTAACCCTCCCCCCCCCCCACTTCCCTATATTATACTCATATTTGGTAAAGAAAGATAAAAAAAAAACAAAAAAAAACCCCTTAATATAAAACTTATGTAAAAACTTGAACCCCTCCCTCCCCTTTATAGTTTTTCTTTTTACCCTCATTACATTAAAATATTTCTAATACATTATTTTCAAATAAAAGCTATTTGATACTTTCTAGTTTGATATTTGTTCTGAACATATTCTATCCACCTTTTCCATTCCCACTCATAAGTCTCTTGTGAACAATCTTTTAAATATGCTGAGATCTTCGCCATCTCTGCAAAACTGGCCATCTTCAAAGTCCATTCCTCAATAGTAGGCAAAGCTTCATTCTTCCAATATTTACCTATCAACAATCTTGCTGCTGTTATCATATACAATATCAATTTTGTTTCACCCAATGTAAAACCCTTAACTATATCCAATAAAAACAGTTGTGGAGAAAATTGAATTTTTTTCTTCAAAACATTCTGCATGACCCACCAAATTTTTATCCAAAAAGCCTTAACTTTCCTACAGGTCCACCAAACATGATAATACGTAGCATCCAAACATTCACATCTCCAACATTTTGGCTGAACATTAGGGTACATACATGACAACTTTTTGGGATCTAAATGCCATCTATAAAACATTTTATAGAAATTTTCCCTCAAATTCTGCGACTGTGTAAATTTAACATTCTGAACCCAAATTTTTTCCCATGTTTCCAGCATCACTGGTTCTTCAAAATTTTGTGCCCACTTCGGACTTTTGAGCGCATGCACTAAAATAAGCCCTTTCTAAAAATAAGCCCTCCCTGAAAAAAGCTTTCCCCGAAAATAAGCCCCTCCCTAAAAATAAGCCCTCCCTAAAAATAAGCTCTCCCTGAAAATATTTAACCACATGTGCAGCCAGTCCCAGCCATTTCCTCTGGTTAGGGTTAAGGGGACAGAGCTGGAAAGCAGGTAAGACAGCAAGAGGAGCCCCGTCTTTCTCCATGCGCCCCAAAATAATAAGACCTCCCTGAAAATAAGGCCAAGCGCTTATTTCGGGGTTCAGAAAAAATCTAAGACAGGGTCTTATTTTCGGGGCAACAGAAGGTAGTTAGAATGACATACCAGCAGATGGCAGAGTGGGACCTGCTCTGCTCAGGTTCAGAAGATTGGGATTGGGATGGGAGACCACGTGGTGAGCCACAGCAGTAGGCTAGACTGGGAAGTACAAAAAAACGCCCCGTAGGAAAGCTGGACGGTGGGTGGGAAATCTGGATGGGCCAACGTCAATCCCCAAAATCAGCCTTGGCTCATTTTCATTAGAGTGAGGTTGGAGGACATTGGGGGCAATGTCCCAGGGATAACAAGGCATTTGTGGGGCTAGTGTCCCCCTCAAACCTCTGGAAACAATATAGGAAATCCCCCTTGTTTCTTTGTTCCAGAAGTTTCTGCTCTTTCATGAGGACTAGAAACTTCCCGTTTTAAACATTTCTCTAGATTTTGCTGCTTTGTCTTCTCTTTCGTAGGTTACCACCACAGCTTCCGACAGGCAGGACTCAGACTGGAACAGCTCTGCCTGGGATCTGGAGCCGTCCTGGAGCCCCAAAAAGGGGGCGGCTACCCCCACGGACCCGCTCCCCTCCAGCCTCGGCACCAAAGCAGCTGCAGCCCATCAAGACATCAAACCGGCGAGCGATTATAACTGGGGGAGCGTGGGCTCCGGGGACAAATCCGATCCGTTTTCCTGTCTGGCTGGGAAGCCAACATCGGAGAGGCAGGTGCGTGGCGGCCCTGGGGATGCAGCCTGTGTTGGGTGGATTAAACCATGGTTAGGTTCATCATGGATTGTCGCTAAATGAACCAAGGACCATCTGTATTGCTGAAAGTGGCATAAGGGAAGGAAACAGGCTGGGTAATTCACCTGGCTCTGAGCCAGAATGGGTTTGGGATGGATGACTAGCCTGGTTGTCTGGATTCACATCATACATGAAGTTAGTTAGATACAGATAAACAGAGTCAGAAGGGACCTTGGAGGTCATCTAGTCCAACCCCCTGCCCAAGCAGGAGACCCTACACTATTTCTGACAGAGGGCAGTCCAGGCTCTTCTTGGAAGCCTCCAGGGATGAAGCTCCCACAACTTCTGAAGGCAGCTTCTGTTCCACTGGTTGATGGTTCTCACCGTCAGAAAATTGCTCCTTATTTCCAGGTTGAATCTCTCCTTGATCAGTTTCCATCCATTCTTCCTTGTCTGGCCTTCAGGGGCTTTGGAGAATAGCTGGACCCCCTTCCTCCTCTCTGGGGCAGCCCCTCAAATACTGGAAGATGCTCTCCTATCTCCCCTGGTCCTTCTCTTCACCAGACTATCCAGGCCCAGTTCCTGCAACCGTTCATCGTATGTTTGAGCCTCCAGTCCCCTCATCATCCTGGTTGCTCTTCTGTGCACTTTTTCTAGAGTCTCAACCTCTTTTTTATAGTGCGGTGACCAAAACTGGATGCAGGACTCTAGGTGTGGCCTTACTAAGGGTTTATAGAGTGGTATCAGTACCTCCCTTGATCTTGGTTGTATCCAGAGGTTAATGCAGTTTAGGATTGCATTGGCTTTTTGGGCTGCCACTGCACAGGGCTGGCTCCTATTTAACTGGTTGTCCACTAAGACTCCAAGATCCCTCTCACAGTCACTGCTCTTAAGCCTGGTTTCACCCAGTCTGTATGTGTCCGGTCAGTTACAGCCTCAGCCTGTATTTCAACACGTGACAAACAAGGTTTTCATCTAAAGCCCATCGTACGATCCATCAGTGTGGACGTCCCTATTCCACGAATATAACCGTGGTGTTTGGTTAATCCTGGTTTGGCACGTAGCTTCACCAGCCTCCTTTGTGAAGTTAGCCATGGTGGATAGTAAACCCTGTTTCTTTGCTTAGCGTGATGTGCAGATGCAGCCACTTGAGTTTCATTCAGTAAACCCAGGTTAAATTACTCCATGTGGGAACCTAGGTAGTGAATATCTTTGCCTGGATAAAATAGGGGTTAAAATCAACTTTTTGCTGAACCACAGGGTGTTCTCACCCAGTTCCCAAAACACAACAAAGTGTGAACTCAAAAAATATTCTTTTATTAGGAGCGCCAGCAGCCCCGGCAAAAAGTTTCTCTCTCACCGTAGGCTAACAAGTCTGGCTGGCCAGAGGTTGAATAGTTTTCTACCCCATCTATTCATCTCCGCCCCCTGCCTTTTATCCCCAGAACTAGGGTGGGGCTTCACCAGCAGCAATGGCTCTTCCGTCCCAAGGACCGGCCCATAGATTTCCACTGCTCTCCTCTCCGAGAGTTCTCCGAGAGCTGTCGTGGGTGCACCTAGGTACACCCACATTACACCAATTCTCTGCGAGCTGCACTGGTCATTGGTTATTGGTCTCCGGGCACAATTCAAGGTGTTGGTTATTACCTTTAAAGCCCTACATGGCTCAGGGCCAGGCTATCTTCTAGACGTCCCTTTCTAGATTGGGACTCCCTACGCACAGTCACTCATGCCCTCGTCACCTCTCGTCTGGACTATTGTAATGCTCTCTACATGGGGCTCCCCTTGAGGTGCACCCGGAGGCTCCAACTGGCGCAGAGTGCGGCCGCGCGGATGGTTATGGGAGCAACATGGAGCTCCCATGTAACACCTCTCCTGCGCGAGCTGCACTGGCTCCCGGTGGTCTTCCGGGTGCGCTTCAAGGTTCTGGTTACCACCTTTAAAGCGCTCCATGGCTTAGGACCTGGTTATCTATGGGACCGCCTACTACCACCAACAGCCTCCCACCGACCAGTACGCTCCCACAGAGAAGGGCTCCTCCAGGTGCCGTCGGCCAAACACTGTCGGCTGTCGGCCCCTAGGGGGAGAGCCTTCTCTGTGGGGGCACCGACGATCTGGAATGAGCTCCCCCCAGAGATACGGAGGATCCCAGATCTGCGCACCTTCTGCCACGAGTTGAAGACGCTTTTATTTCATCAAGCGGGCCTCGCCTAAATCTTCTCCCTTTTAAGTGTAAATTTTAAATTTTTAATGTATTTTAAAATTAATGGGTATTTTAAATTATGGGTATTAATTCAGCCAAATTTATTTAATTCATTTTATTTGATTTTAAATTTTGTATATCTATGTGTTTTATTTCATGGCTGTACACCGCCCTGAGTCCTTCGGGAGTAGGGCGGTATAGAAATTCAATAAATAAATAAATAAATCTTCGAGACCGCCTTCTGCCGCATAGCTCCCAGCGACCGGTAAGATCCCAGAGAGTTGGTCTCCTCCGGGTCCCATCAGCTAAACAATGCCGGTTGGCGGGCCCGCGGGGAAGGGCCTTCTCTGTGGCTGCCCCAGCTCTCTGGAACCAGTTACCTCCTGAGGTCCGGACCATCCCCACCCTATTGGCCTTCCGGAAAGCGGTGAAGACCTGGCTCTTCCGGCAGGCCTGGGGCCGTTGATCTCGCTCTTGCGATCTGACGAGATCCGGCCATGGATGGTGTGAATGGGTTTTAATGTTTTTAATGTGTTTTTATAGTGATTTTTTGAGTATATTGTGAGCCGCCCTCGGTCTTCGGAGGGGGGCGGCATATAAATTGAATAAATAAATAAATAAATAAATAAATAAAATCTCCGCCCCCTGCCTTTTATTCCCAGAGTTGGGTGGGGCTTCGCTAGCAGCGGTGGCTCCTCCGTCCCAAGGACCGGCCCATAGATTTCCACTGCTCTCCTCTCCTCTGTCTTCTGCACTTCCACACGTCAGGCACTGGACCCAGCTGCTCCTCCTCTTCCTCATCAGCCACCTCCAGACCTGGGGTCTGGTGACTCTCCATCTGAGGGTTGATGGATGGCCCAGGCTCCCCCTGTCTCTGTCTCTCTCTCTGCCACCTCCATTCCCTCCTCCCCCTCGGAGCTCCCAGGTTGCCTTGACTCCTATGCCTCCTCCTCCTCTTCCTCTGATTCGGCTGCTGGAAGGACTGGCAGACAACAGCCCACAACGCAGGGACTAGAAACACGAGAATTCAACTTCTTTTTTTAAAGATTGACCGGATCACCACCCCAAATTGTAGTGTGGTACAAATGCCAGCCCAGCCTTTAAACTTGTATATTTTGTGTTTCCTTAGAAAAATGCCGACTCCCTGCGTGAATGGACCTTTGAGGAAAACTGGGCCACGCTGGACTCCGATCAAGGTACGGTGCTTTCCCATCAGTGTATTTATCCGTGTAGTAAGGATGTAGTACAGGTAGTCCTCAACATATGACCTCAACGGAGCCCAAACGTTCTGTTGTTGAGACATTTGTTAAGTGAGTTTTGTCCTGTTTTAGCAATAGCAGTAGCCCTTAGACTTATATACCGCTTCACAGTGCTTTCCAGCCCTCTCTAAGCAGTTGACAGAGTCAGCCTCTTGCCCCCAACAATCTGGGTCCTCATTTTATCCACCTCGGAAGACAGAAGGCTGAGTCAACTTTGAGCCAGTCAGGATCGAACCACTGGCAGTGGACAGAATTAGCCTGCAATCCTGCATTCTAACAGGAAGGAAGGGAGGGAGGGAGGGAGGGAGGAAGGAAGGAAGGAAGGAAGGAAGGAAGGAAGGAAGGAAGGAAGGAAGGAAGGACAGTAGCAATAGCACTTAGACTTATATAGTGCTTCAAGGTGCTTTTACAGCCCTCTCTAAGCGGTTGACAGAGTCAGCCTCTTACCCCCAACAATCTGGGTCCTCATTTTATCCACCTCGGAAGGACAGAAGGCTGAGTCGACCTTGAGCCGATCAGGATTGAACTCTGGCAGTAGACAGAGTTAGCTTGCAATACTGCATTCTAACAGGAAGGGAGGGAGGGAGGGAGGGAGGAAGGAAGGAAGGAAGGAGGAACGGAAGGAAGGAAAGAAAGAAGAAGAAAAGAAACAATAGCAATAGCACTTAGACTTATATACTGCTTTATAATGCTTTTACAGCCCTCTCTAAGCAGTTTACAGAGTCAGCCTCTTGCCCCCAACAAACTGGGTCCTCATTTTATCCACCTCAGAGGGATGGAAGGCTGAGTCAACCTTGAACCAGTCAGGATTGAACCACTGGCAATGGGCAGAAATAGCCTGCAATCCTGCATTCTAACAGACAGGAAGGAAGGAAGGAAGGAAGGAAGGACAATAGCAACAGCACTTAAGAGTTATGTACCGCTTTACAGTGTTTTCCAGCCCTTTCTAAGCCGTTTACAGAATCAGCCTCTTGCCCCCAACAATCCGAGTCCTTATTTTACCAACCTCGGAAGGACGGAAAGTTGAGTCAACCTTGAGCTGGTCAGGATTGAACTGCTGGCAGTGGGCAGATTTAACCTGCAATCCTGCATCCTAAATTGCATCCTAACTGCTGTGCCACCAAGACTTTTCTTGCCACGCTTGTTAAGTGGATTTGGCTTCCCCATTACTGACTTTGTTTGTCAGAAGATCATAAACGCTGATCACGTGACCCCGGGGTACTGCAAGGCGTCATAAATTCGAGTCAGTTGCCAAGCGGCTGGATTTTGATGACATGACCCTGGGGAGGCTGCAACAGTATCAGAAAAACGGTCCTAGGTGCCGTTGTAACCTCAGTTACTAAATGAACTGTTGTAACTGGAGGACTACCTGTATTATTATTATCCTTATTATTATTAACTTTTATTCATTAAACATGAAACTCAGTCAACTGAACATTTAAAAATGTATCACAAATATCATTGACTGGCGCTGATGGTCGATACGGGCTGCTGCCAGCATCCTAGGTATCAACCAGGTATCTTCTTAAAATGTACGTTGTTCCGAGTAGCGCAGTCTTTTGCAGTTCCGCTGGGGTTATTGCAGGAAGCTGCAATTTCATGATGATGATGATGATGATGATGTTGCTTTGGACATCAGAGTTCCTGCATGGGAGACAAATTCTTTGGGTGTCTAATCACACACCAAATAAAGCTGTTCTGTTCTGTTCTGTTCTGTTCTATTCTATTTTCTCTTCTTTTCCTCTTCTCTTCTATTTCCTCTTCTGTTCTCCTTTTCCATTCTATATATTATTCTATTCTATTCTATTCTATTCTATTCTCTCTTCCTTCTATTCTATTTTCTCTTCTCTTCTATTTTTTCTCTTCTCTTCTCCTTTTCCATTCTATATATTATTCTATTCTGTTCTATTCTCTCTTCTTTCTATTCTATTTTATTCTATTCTATTTTCTCTTCTTTTCCTCTTCTCTTCTATTTCCTCTTCTCTTCTCCTTTTCCATTCTATATATTATTCTATTCTATTCTATTCTATTCTCTCTTCCTTCTATTCTATTTTCTCTTCTCTTCTATTTTTTCTCTTCTCTTCTCCTTTTCCATTCTATATATTATTCTGTTCTGTTCTATTCTCTCTTCTTTCTATTCTGTTTTATTCTATTCTATTTTCTCTTCTCTTCTCTTCCATTCTATATATTATTCTATTCTCTTCTCTTCTCTTCTCTCTTCTATTTTCTCTTCTCCGTTTCCATTCTATATATTATTCTATTCTATTCTATTCTATTCTATTCTATTCTATTTTCTCTTCTATTTTTTCTCTTCTCTTCTCCTTTTCCATTCTATATATTATTCTATTCTATTCTCTCTTCTTTTTCTCTTCTTTTCTATTTTCTCTTCTCCTTTTCCATTCTATATATTATTCTATTCTATTTTCTCTTCTTTTTCTCTTCTCTTCTATTTTCTCTTCTCTTCTCCTTTTCCATTCTATATATTATTCTATTCTATTCTATTCTATTCTATTCTATTCTATTCTATTCTATTCTATTCTATTCTATTCTATTCTATTCTATTCTATTCTATCTTCTCTTCTCTCTTCTATTTTCTCTTCTCCTTTTCCATTCTATATATTATTCTCTTCTCTTCTCTTCTCTTCTCTTCTCTTCTCTTCTCTTCTCTTCTCTTCTCTTCTCTTCTCTTCTCTTTTCTCTTCTCTTCTCGTTGCCATTGGGCACACTGGGAAGATGTTATTTGATCAAATCTGAAAGCTGGATCAGAGAGCATCAGTCCATCCAATGTGCCTTTGTCCAAGAGCTTCAGACTAGAATACCCATCAATTTCTCTTTTCTTCTTTCTCTTCTAATTCTCTTCTCCTCTCCTCTCCTCTTCTTTATTTCTCTTCTATTCCTCTCTGCCCTGGCTACGCTCGGATGGAGTCAGCAGCCCCCCCAGGCCACTTTCTCTTTCCTTTTCGGATCTGCAGGTCCCAGCAAGACGGAGCTGGCCCGGAAGAAACGAGAAGAGAGGCGCCAGGAAATAGAAGCTCGGCGAGCCGAGAAAAAGGCAGCCAAGGGACCTATGAAGTTGGGGGTCAGGAAATTGGACTGACACTCTGCCCCACGCCCTGTTCTTCTTTCCCCCCCCCCACACCACGTTTGGACAGCTTGATGCCTTCAAAGAGACTGCAAGGAAGAGGCTGGAAGTGTCTGCAACTCTGGTCCCCCAACCCAGTTTTGAAACGGAGTGGGAAATTCGGGGTTCCCTCCATCCGGTCTTGCTCGACGTGGGGACTCACACAGTCAGGCCCACCTGCGCCACACGTTCCTTTGCAACCTGCTGGGCCAATTTCTCTGGTTTCGGATAGTTAAACATGAGACTTCTGGAAGCCTTGGGGTAGGGGGTGGGGAGAGAGGATTGGATCCGTCACACGGTCTCTGTGTGCAAAGAAAATGAGAGTTTTGCACAGGGGCAAAGTACCAGGCGGAAGTGTGCATGGGTGGGTGTGCGTGTGTGCAGGTGATAATCCATGCCTGTTTCATCAGCTGACACGTTAAGCAGAGAAATGAAATATGAATGAAAAGCTGCTCTCACTCTCTCTTGTCTCTTTCTGTCTCTCTTTCTCATTGTCTCTGTCTTTTTGTCTATTTTTCACTCTTTCTCTGTCTTTTTCTCTCTCTCTGTATCTCTGTGTGTCTCTTCCTCAGTCTTTCTTTTTCTTTCTGTCTGTCTGTTTCTCTGCCTTTCTCTTTTTCACACTATCTGTCTTTTTCTCTCTTTCTGTGTCTCTGTGTCTCTTTTCCTCAGTCTTTCTTTTTCTGTCTTTGTCTCTGTCTCTGTCTTTTTCTCTATTTTTTACTGTCTTTTTCTCTCTGTCTCTTCCTCAGTCTTTCTCTCTTTCTCTTTCACTCTTTTTCTGTCTCTTGTTTTTTTCTCTCTTTCTTTGTCTCTCTCTCTTCCTCAGTCGTCGTTCTTTCTCTCTCTTTCTCTTTTTCTCTCTTTGTCTCTATCTCTTTTCCTCAGTCTTTCTTTCTCTTTCTCTTTCTGTCTTTGTCTCTGTCTCTCTCTCTTTTTCTCTATTTTTCACTCTCTTTCGCCGTCTGTGTCTCTCTGTCTCCTTCTGTCTTTCTGTGTCTTTTTCTCTCTTTCTCAAGGTCTTTCTTTCTCTGTCTCTCCCTCTCTTTCTGTCCCTGTCTTTCTCTCTCTCCCCTCTCCCGGCAAACCAAACACCTGCCTTTGCTTGGCATGGCAAACTTGGGTTAAACTTGGCTTCATCCTTGGGTGGCTTTTGCCTGCAAAGTGCAGCTGCCTCAGTGTGATAGTTTGCAAATCTGGAAAACGGGTTAATTCTAAGAAGGAAAAAGAGATGCATTTCCTACTCCCCTCCGGCATAAATTTTGCAATTTGGCTGGTTTTCGGCAATCAGGTTGCCGAAGGGGGAGGTATATTTTGGTTTTCTCCCTCAGGGCTACCGAGAATTACGGCTGAGGTGGGGTGGGGAGGAACGAGAATCTCAATCCCTCTCGTGTTTTTTTTTTCTTTTAGTAAAATAGCTTGCGACTTTAGGAGATGGTTTGGCGCAATTATTTTACTGCTTTTACAACCTGATGAAAACAACACACTTGATTCAAAGGTCTGGGCTGAAACCAGGCAAGGAAAAACATCCTCAACCTTCTGTTACTTCTCACGTTACTCCGGAACTATTTCAAGAAAAAAGCCCTTCAGGCAGTTAATGTAATATATATATATATATATATATTTTAATGTGCATTCACCCAGAGAGGTTAGACCTCCTCCTGTTTAGGATATGGCTGGAAATAGCTTAGCTTTTTTTTTTTTTTAAAGTAAACATTAAAAGGGTCTTTAAGTGTCCTGACCAAAGGTCCTGACTCCATGACTATTTGTGCAACAAGCAGGACAGGGGAAGAATTGGTGTCAGCAGTGGGATCCACAAAGCAGCAGTTTCGGTTTCCTCCAAGATTCACAGATCTCCTGAGGGGGTAGTGCACGAGGGACACGGATCCACTGTCCCACCGTAGGATTAAGTGCAGCACAGGTGCGGCTTTCCTGCAGCAGACCCGGAATCCAGCTGCTGCCCATCCTTCCTCCCCTCCCTCCCTAGATAGCAACAAGCAGGCGCATCAAACGAGCTGGATGTTCTGTTGCAAACTGGCACCGGCGTACTTGTTTCGCATGTGGTGAGGCTGGGCACCGGCACCCCCGGGGCCCTCCTGTCATGTGGTGCTGGTGCTCCTTGGGCTGGACGGAAGACTGGAATCCGAGACCTATTGTGGGGGAAAAAAGCGAGATCTTAAAAGAAGGAACCAATCTGGGTTGTAGTATTTTAGAGAAGAAACTCCAACGGAAAGAGAATAACGAGTTGGAAGGGACCTTGGAGGCCTTCTAGTCTAACCCTCTACACAAGCAGGAAACCCTAGACCAGTGATGGCTCATCTTTTTGCCATCGTGTGCCAGGAAGGGGTGGGGTGGGGGAGGTTTGCCCGTGCATGTGCCCACACCCATAATTCTATGTGCCCCGCCACGCACATGTGAGCGCGACCCTCCACTCCTGACACACGATGGCCTGGCAGGCCCATTTTTCTTTCTCACCTGACTCCAGATCCTCTCTATGCATCTGGGGAGGGCGAAAACAGCCTTCCCCACTCCCTCGGAGGCCGGAAGTTGAGAAACGGGCCGTTTCGGGCCTCCGAGGGGGTGGGGAAGGCTGTTTTCACCCTCCCCAGATGCATAGAGAGGATCTGGAGCCAGGGAGAAAGAAAAATGGGCCTTCCCCTGCCCCCCCAGGCCCTCTTCTGGCCAAAAATCAGCTGACAGAGCTGAGCTGGTGTGCCAGGCAATATGTCTCCGTGTGCCACCTGTGGCACGCGTGCCATAGGTTCGCCATCACGGCCCTAGACGATGGCGAACCTATGGCATGAGTGCCTGAAGTGGCGCACGGAGCTATGTCGCCTGGCACGCCTGGCGTCACCCATTCCTCTTCCGGGTTTCTGGCGCACATGTGCACGCGATGATCAGCTGGCCTTATTGAGCGCGGCAAGTCCCGGAAACTGGAAGAGCTGGCCAGTTGATCGTGTTCATGTGCACCAGAAACCTGGAAGACTAGCTGGCCGGCATGCATGCACGCGCTGGAAACCAGAAGTTCATTTTCAGGTGCACGCATGTGCCCTGGACAGCTCCTCTTCCGGGTTGCGGCCCAGCATGCACGCACTCCCTTTTCAACAGTTGGTGCCGAACAGGTTTGCCATCACTGCCCTAGACCAGGGGTGTCAATCTCGATTTCCTTGAGGGCCACATCAAGGTTGTGTTTGACCTGGGAGGGCTGGGGGCGTGGTGTGGCAGGGGCATGGGCATGGCACGGGACTCATATCGGGGGCACCTGTGGTGGCCAAGTGCTAAGGCAGGACTTCCCCGAGACCCACCCTCCTCATAATCTCCTTTCCTTTTCCTCTTTTTCCTTCCCTCTTCCTTCTTCCTTCCCCTCTTTCCTTATTTTTCCTTCTTTGCTCTCTTCCCATCTTCCCTTCTTTTTCTTTCTTTGTCTTTCCTCTTTCCCTTAAGAATAGAATAGAATGGAATGGAATGGAATGGAATGGAATGGAATGGAATGGAATGGAATGGAATGGAATGGAATGGAATGGAATGGAATGGAATGGAATAATATAGAATGGAAGAAGAGAGGAGAAAATAGAAGAGAAGAGAAAGAGAAGAGAAAATAGAAGAGAAGAGAAAGAGAAGAGAGAATAGAATAGAATAGAATAGAATAGAATAGAATAGAATAGAATAGAATAGAATAGAATAGAATAGAATAGAATGAGAGAATGGAATAGGAAATGGAAGGGAAGGGAAGAGAAGAGAAGAATACAGAAGAGTATACAGAATTAGAATAGAAGAGAATAGAATAGAATAGAATAGAATAGGGAATGGGAAGGAGTGGAGTGGAGTGGAGTGGAGTGGAATAGAATGGAATGGAATGGAATGGAATAATATAGAATGGAAGAAGAGAAGAGAAAATAGAAGAGAAGAGAAAGAGAAGAGAAAATAGAAGAGAAGAGAAAATAAAATAGAATAGAATAGAATGAGAGAATGGAATAGGAAATGGAAGGGAAGGGAAGAGAAGAATATACAGAAGAGAAAAGTATACAGAATTAGAATAGAATAGAATAGAAGAATAGAATAGAATAGAATAGAATAGAATAGAATAGAATAGAATGGGAAGGAGTGGAGTGGAATGGAATGGAATAGAATAGAATAGAATAGAATAGAATAGAATAGAATAGAATAGAATAGAATAGAATAGAATAGAATAGAATAGAATAGAATAGAATAGAATTCTTTATTGGCCAAGTGTAATTAGACACACAAGGAATTTGTCTTTGGTGCATACGCTCTCAGCGTACATAAAAAGAAAAGATAAATTTGTCAAGAATCATAAGGTACAACACTTAATGATAGTCATAGGATACAAATAAGCAATCAGGAAACAATATCTATAAATTGTAAGGATACCAGCAACAAAATTACGGTCATAAGTGGGAGGAGATGGGTGATGGGAACGATGAGATTAATAGTAGTGCAGACTTAGTGAATAGTTTGACAGTGTTGAGGGAATTATTTGTTGAGCAGAGTGATGGCGTTTGGGGAAAAACTGTCCTTGTGTCGAGTTGTTCTGGTGTGCAGTGCTCTATAGTGTCGTTTTGAGGGTAGGAGTTGAAACAATTTATGTCCAGGATGTGAGGGGTCTGTAAATATTTTCACAGCCCTCCTTTTGACTCGTGCAGTACACAGGTCCTCCATGGAAGGCAGGTTGGTAGCCATGGTGTTTTCTGCAGTTCTAATGATCCTGTGAAGTCTCTGTCTGTCTTGTAGGGTTGCAGAACCAAACCAGACAGTTACGGAGGTGCAGATGACAGACTCCATCATTCCTCTGTAGAATCCTGTCCCTTCTTGGATGCTCAAATGCAAAAGGGGAAGAAACATTTCTCCTTTTGTTTTTAGCTTGTTTTGATAGTCCTCTGCCAGCAAAAATGGACCTGGGGAGGGGGGGACTGTGTGCAGCTCCCCGTGCCACTTTCTTGGTCTGGACAGCCTCCTGCAGCCCTCTGCCAGCAAAAACAGAGCCCGGGGGGGGCACATACGGCCCCCCAAACTCCCTTTTCATTGGCAGAGACAAAGAGGGTCGGTCCAGGCCTGTTTCCAGGCCGGCACTGTGGTCCAGATCTAAGCACCCCAAGGTCTTGGGCCTTGAGATTGATACCCCTGGCAAGACATTCCCAATTCCTGTAATCCCTCAAATGCTAGAATATCTGCTCTCATGTCACCCCTAGTCCTTCTCTTCACTAGACCGGCTATGCCCAGTTCCTGCAACTGTTCATCGTCTGTTTTGGCCTCCATCATTATCCTGGTTGCTCTTCTCTGCACCCTTTCTAGAATCTCCACCTCTTTTCTATATTGTGATGACCAAAACTGGATGCAGGACTCTAGGTGTGGCCTTACTAAGGCTTTGTAAAGTGACACTAGTAAATCTATGTGTGATCTCGATTCTGTCCCTCTTGTTAATGCAGCCTAGGATTGCGTTGCCTTTTTTTGACAGCTCGGCTCAACCACCTTCAAACGCACTTGGGACATGTCAAGAAAACCCCACCCCCGGTTCCGTGCTCCCAGTTTCCATTTTTGCCGTCCCTTACCTCTCCCAGTGACGAAACGGCGGAGAAGAGAGACTGCGGAGACACCGAGGAGTTGTCAGAGATTGAACTGGCTGACTTGAGTCTTACTGTGTGACGAGAAAACAGAGGAGGCAATTAGCAAGAGGCTGCAGGAGACGCTTTTTTCCAAGAGAGGCCCTGGGTGAATTTAGAATAGAAAGAGAAGAGAAGAGAAGAGAAGAGAAGAGAAGAGAAGAGAATAGAAGAGAAGAGAAGAGAAGAAAATAGAATAGAATAGAATAGAATAGAATAGGATAGAATAGAATAGAATAGAATAGAATAGAATAGAATAGGGGAGGGGAGGGGAGGGGAGGGGAGGGGAGGGGAGAGGAGAGGAGAGAGGAGAGGAGTGGGAATAGAATAGAATAGAATAGAAGAGAATAATATACAGAATGAGAGAAGAGAAAAGAGACGAGAAAGAAAAGAGAAAAGAGATTAGAATAGAATGGAATGGAATGGAATAATATATAGAATGGAAGAAGAGAAGAGAAGAGAAGAGAAAATAGAATAGAATAGAATAGAATAATATAGAATGGAAGAAGAGAAGAGAAGAGAGAAGAGAAGAGAAAATAGAATAGAATAGAATAGAATAATATATAGAATGAGAGAAGAAAAGAGAAGAGAAAAGAGAAGAGAAAGAAAAAAGTAGAATAGAATAGAATGGAATGGAATGGAATAATATATAGAATGGAAGAAGAGAAGAGAAAGAGAAGAGAAGAAAATAGAAAATAGAATAGAATAGAATAATATATAGAATGAGAAGAGAAGAGAAGAGAAAGAGAAGAGAAAATAGAATAGAATAGAATAATATATAGAATGAGAGAAGAGAAAAGAGAAGAGAAAGAAAAAAGAGAATAGAATAGAATAGAATAGAATAGAATAGAATAGAATAGAATAGAATAGAATCAGAAAGTGGAAGGGACCTTGGAGGTCTTCTAGTCCAGCCCCCTGCTCAAGCAGGAGATCCTATACCATTTCAGATAAGTGGCTGTCTAGTCTCTTTTTAAAAACCTCCAGTGATGGAGCATTCACAGCCTCTAGTAGCAAGCTGTTCCACTGGTTAATTGTCTTCACTGTTAGGAAGTTTCTCCTGAATTCCAGGTTCCTTCTCTCTTTGGTTAGTTTCCATCGTTTCTTGTCTTGCTTTCTGGTGCTTTGGAGAATCATTTGACCCACTCCTCTTCTTTGTGGCAGCCCCTCAAATACTGGAAGGCTGCTATTCTAATAGCAAATCCTTCATAAAAGTTATTGCATTACATTCTTGATTAAATTATCTTTCCATTGATATATCATTTTATGGTACTACCCCCCCCTAAAAAAAAGTGGTGTTCTTAGCTAGTTTTAGAAAATACACTTTTCCCAAAAGGTTTCCACACTTTTGGCCACTAACTGTAGAAGGGCACTGAAAATAATGACTTAGGATCATTTTTCACGCTTATGACCGCTTCAGTGTCCTTATGGACACCTGATCCAAATTCAGATGCTGGGCAACTGGCTCACATTTATGACAGTCGCCCTGTCCCAGGGTCACGCGATTTTCCTTTTGCAACCTTTCTGACAAGCCAAGGGGGAAGCCAGATTCATTTTGCGACCTTTCTTGCCACCGTTGTTAAGCGAAGCGTTCCGGTTTGTTAGGTTAGTAACACAACCGTGTGACTAACCTAACAAACCGCAACGTTTCGCTTAACAGCGGTGCCAAGAAAGGTCGCAAAATGGGGCAAAACTCACTTAGCAACGGAAATTTTGGGCTCCACTGTGGTCGTAAGTCGAGGACTGCACATATTCCCCACCCCGCTGCTCCAGGACCCCTTAAAAGCCCCTCCACACACATCCCAAGTGGCCCTTGTTTCCCAGGGTGCTTCTTACGTGAGGAAACAGACCCCAAAGGGGTCCCGTTGTGGCCCTCAGGCGATGGCCGCCGCATCTCGGAGAGGCTACTGCAGCGCATTCGGACATCGGCCTCCCGCCTCTTCTCTTCCTGCGCCTGGAAGTAGGGTTAAGAAGTAGGGTGGAGAATAAACAATGTTGGATTGACTGAATTATCTACAGCAGCAGTTTAAGAAACACCCAATTTTTGCATGCGGAATAAACCATAATTTTAAGACCGATCAATCACAATAGACCTGGAAGGGACCTTGGAGGTCTTCTAGTCCAGCCCCCTGCTCAAGCAGGAAACCCTATACAATTTGGGACAAGTGGCTGTCCTTAAAAGCCTCCACTGATGGAGCATCCACAATTTCTGGTGGCAAGTTGTTCCACTGGTTAATTGTCCTCACTGTTAGAAAATTTCTCCTTAATTCCAGGTTGAATCTCTCTTGGATTAGTTTCCATCCATTGTTTCTTGTCTGTCCTTCTGGTGCTTTGGAAAATAAGTTGACTCCTTCCTCTATGGGGCAGCCCCTCAAATACTGGAATCCTGCTATCATGTCACCCCTAATTCTTCTTTTCTCTAGACTAGCCAGACCCAATTCCTGCAACCGTTCTTCATATGTTTTGGTCTCCAGCCCTTTAATAATCTTAGTCGCTCTTCTTTGCACTTTTTTTTCCCAAACTCTCAACAACTTTTTGTAACGTGGGGACCAAAACTGGATGCAGTATTCCAGGCAGTGGTGAAATCCTCCGTGGGTTGCCACCAGTGGCAAACACATGTGTGCATTCAGTGTGCACCAAATGCACGCTGTGCACGGAAAAAGGAGCCGTTTGAAGGTAAGTAAAACAGCGAGGGGGGAAACAGCTGTGCCGCGCGATTTAGGAATATAAATCCCGCGGCACAGCTGATCGTCGGAAAGCTTTTTTTTAAATACTGAATCGGTAGTTTTTATTACTACGTAGCATTTCACCCCCGATTCCAGATGTGGCCTTACCAAGGTTTTATAAAGCAGTACTAATACTTCGGGTGATTTTGATTCGGTGCCTAATGGGGCGTAGATCGTAATGGGGCAGCATTTCCTTTTGCTGGGGCTGCAAAGCTGAAGAATTGCAGGCTGGGTTTGCCTCTTTCCAACCAAACCATCATTTGGCCCATCGTGGGTTTGGCTGTCAATCATGGTCCTAGACCAGCTGTTCTGAAATATTTTGGACTTGGCGGGGGGCTCTTTGCATTCTTTAAAACGATGGGAGGATCCCCAAAAGCGTTGGTTCGTTTTATCTATTGATTAGAAATAGAAACTGAGATGTTTTAAAAATGTTTCTCTGACTTTGGGGTGCCCAGGAGCCCCCAAACCACACTTTGAAGAGCACCGGCCTAGGCGATTATAATATAATATATTTATAATAAACTGTGGCTTGTGTATTACAGCTATTGGTTTCGCCTCTGGCATTCAGTCAGGAGGGCACAAAACATGATTTATGTTTTTTGTGGCGCCCCTAGATTTCCCATAATGTGGGGGCCAAACTTTGCAAGCTCTTTGCTTCCATGGGTGGGGCTGTTTTAACAGGCAAATGGCACCTACAGTTGCACAGCTGCACTTATTCTGGTTTCCCACACACCAACCATCACAGTCAAACGTGAGCTGACTCGTGTTGTGGCTTGGCGCAACACACCCTGACTGAACCACTGGATCAGCTGCCTGATCCGACGGGGAGGGAGGCTGGTGAGAGATTGGAAGAAGGGAGAAATCAGCTGTGTCATGCCCCCGTCGGAGCCTGAATCTGCGGAGGCTGACGGAGATTGAGGGGGCAGCTTCGTTGGCTTGGGAGGAAAATGGGGAGGAGCAGGGGCAGTCAGGCCAGGGCCTTTCAGGATCGGGACGGCTTGTAGGCAGGGAGGAATAGGGGCAGGATGAAAATGAGAGACAGAGCTCAGGTGAGGAGCAAGGACCATCCCCTCCTGATCCTCGAGCACGGAGAGTGGAGAGAAGACAGGAACAGCGTAGACTAACCCGGCTACTCAGGGGGAGAGCGCCAAATCTAAAATTTGTTGCTACCGGTTCTGTGGGCGTGCCTTGGTGGTGGTGGGGTAATGTGACTGGGTGGGCGTGGCCAATTAAAAAAAATTAAAACCATTTTTTCTACAACCTCTTCTAAAACCCTTTTTAAAAAGCCTCTGCCGATCAGGCAACTCAGCTTGGATCGTCAGAGGCATTTAAAAGAAAAAAGAGTTTTTCTTTTAAAAGCCTTTGACAATCCCAGCTGAGCCGCACGATCATCAGAGGCTTTTTTTTTTTTTTTACTTTTAAAAGCATTTTTTCTACAACCTCTTCGGCCAAAAAAATGCTTTTAAAAGTAAAAAAAAAATAAAAAATGCTCAGCTGGGCATGGGGGGGGGGGCAGGGATTTTTGCTACCGGTTCTCCGAACCACCCACCTCCATCGCTACCAGATCAGGTGATCCAGTCCGAACGGAGCATTTCACCCAAGCGCCCCACTCCTCTTCACAAGGCACACCTGGGGACTGAGACTTAAGGAGACACTGTGGGGAGGGGCATTCATTGGGAAGAAACACTGAATTCCTGGAGTGTTGAGTGCCGACGTTTGAACTTTCCTGGATTGCTTGCATTCTTTCTGGATTTCTTGCTTTGCAGCCGCGATGTTCACAGCATTGGGATGGACTATTTGCATCCAGAGGCTGCTTGAGGTTTGTGTGTGTGTCATCACTTTGCTCTGGGACTTGCCAGAAACGTGGGAGCATTTGGGGAAATTTGGAGCAATAAAGGGGCGGTTTGAACTGCCAGCTGCCTGTGTTACACCTTTGTGCCTTGTCATCACACTTGTGGTCCCCAACCTTTCCAGCTTTGGGGACCAACCATGGATGGAGAGGATATGGTTCCGTGTGAGCGGCAGGTGAAAATGTGCACCTGCCCTTGCATGGACCGCTTCCAAATGGGCCACAGCCCAGTACTGGCCCATGGGTTGGGGATCCCTGATGCAAAGGGTAGCAGAACCGCTTTTACTCACCAAGTGTAGATCCTGTAGTTGATGCTGCTTTTCGCTCGGTCCGACGTGGACCAGGTGATTGAAGTTACTCGGGGAAGAGATGAGCCTGGCGCGGAGACTGGGGTTATGCATCATCTCTCTGTGAGGGACAGAGGAGGGGCAGCGCCTAGCACGGGGCACCCTGCTCAGAGGTGCCAGCCAGCTGGCAGCAGATCAAAGCCACACAACTCCCTGAGATACTTCCTGGCTGGGTTCACACAACCGTCTTAACTTGCTCCTTCCATCTATCTTCCGGCACAACTTATGACGGTGCTCAGGATTAGAATTTCCGTTGGTAAGCGATGCAGAATTATTTCTTTATTTAGCATACCGGTAGTCCTCAATTTAGGACAACTAAATCCCAAAATGTCTGCTGACGAACGAGACGGTTAAGTGAATTTGGTCCCATTTTACGACCTTCCTCGTCGCAATTGTTAAGTGAAGCACCGCTATTGTGAAGTTGGTAACACGGTTATGAAGTGAATCTGGTTTCCCCATTGACTTTGCTTGTCAGAAGGTCAGAAAAGGGGATCAAGTAACAACCCCCCCCCCCCGGGACACTGATACTGTCACAAGTACATGCCAGTTGCCAAGCATCTGAATTTTTTGGTCACGTGACCATGGGGATGTTGCAACGGCCGTTAAGTGTGGAAAAATGGTCATAAGCAGGGGTGGGCTTCAAATTTTTTTTTGCAAGGGATTCTCTGCCTGGTTGCTGGGTGGGCGTGGCCATGGTGGGTGTGGCCTAGTTGGCCTTCTGCATCATGGTGGTGGTGGGGGGGGGCATTTTTGCCCTCCCCAGGCTCCAGGAGGCTTTCTCTGAGCCTCCGGGAGGAAAAATGGCCTCCCCAGGCTCCTGAGGCCTGTTTTTGGCCTTCCTGAAATTCTGGTAGGCCTGTTTTTCACCCTCCCCGAGCCTCCGCACGCGCCCTGCACTTCCCTGCATTTAAAAGGGGCCGTGTGGGGACTCCTGGGAGGGGGGGGCAGGGTGGGCGGGGCCAGCCAGGAGTGGGATTTGGGGATTCTCCGAGCTGCACAGAATCTTAGCTAGAGGTTCTCCCGAACCCCCAGCAGCCTATCCCTGGTCATAAGTCCCTTTTTTCAGTGCCATTGTAACTGAGCAGTAAATAATCTCTTGTTAAGTCGAGGACTACCTGTGAAGCAATATTTGTGGTAAGCTAGAGAGTCGCCTTGTGGTGAAATGGGTGGTGAACAAATTTAATAAATAATAAATAAGAATAAAGATATCCAGCCATTTGGATTTGCATAATATGCTGAGCCACATCAAAATTAACCAGGATTTCAATTAATCAAAAGTGGAAACTTTTCGCTAATTGAGGTAAAATGAGTACGGCACCGGATTTTGCGACAGCTTGTGTAACTTCTGAATAGCAGCAGTCAGAAAATCCCCGGGCTGCCCCTCTCTGATCAGCCTCACCTCCTCTGATGTTGCCGCTCCTCCTCGGAGATCCGGAAAGAGAAGCACCGCTTGTGTCTAGTCCTCATGAGGTACCGCCGGCTGTTATCAGTGGTCTGGGGGATTTCGAACTCATCCTGGTCTGGAGAAGGACAGGAAATTCAGGCTCCTCACATCAAATTTAGATTTGCACAGTGCACTGATGTAAGCGAGGCTGATTTAATTAAGAGAATAACAGAGTCGGAAGGGACCTTGTAGGTCATCTAGTCCAACCCCCAGCCAAGCAGGAGACCCTACACCATTTCTGACCAATGGCAGCCCAGTCTCTTCTTGAAAGCCTCCAATGATGAAGCTCCCACAACATCTGAAGGCAACTTCTGTTCCATGGGTTCATTGTTCTCACTGTCAGAAAATTCCTCCTTATTTTCAGGTTGAATCTCTCCTTGATTAGTTTCCATCCATTCTTCCTTGTCTGGCCTTCGGGTGCCTTGGAGAATAGCTTGGCCCCCTCCTCCTCTCTGCAAAAGCCCCTCAAATACCGGAAGATGCTCTCCTGTCTCCCTGGGCCTTCTCTTCCCTAGACTAGCCAAGCCCAGTTCCTGCAATCGTTCTTCGTATGTTTTAGTCCCCAAATCCTCTTGGTTGCTCTTTTCTGCACTTTTTCTAGTCTCAACATCTTTCTTCTTTCTTTCTTTCTTTCTTTCTTTCTTTCTTTCTTTCTTTCTCTCTCTCTTTTCTTTCTCTTTCTTCTTCCTTTCTTTCTCCTTTCTCTTTTTCTCCTCCACTCTAACCTTTACCTATCTCTCCTTCCTCCCTCCCTCCCTCTTTGATTTGCTAAGCCAGCAACTTCTGTTCCATTGGTTGATTGTTCTCACTGTTAGGAAATGTCTCCTTATTTCTAGGTTGTCCTTGATCAATTTCCATCCATTTTATTCCTTGTCTGGCCTTCAGGTGCTTTGGAGAATAGCTGGACCCCCTTCCTCCTCTCTGTGGCAGCCCCTCAAAATACTGGAAGATGCTCTCCTGTCTCCCCTGGTCCTTCTCTTCCCTAGACCCAATTCCTGCAACCGTTCATCGTATGTTTGAGCCTCCAATCCCCTCATCATCCTGGTTGCTCTTCTCTGCACTTTTTCTTAGAGTCTCCACATCTTTTTTATAGTGTGGTGACCAAAACTGGATGCAGGACTCTAGGTGTGGCCTTACTAAGGCTTTATAGAGTGGGATTAGGATCTCTTGGCTAGTTGGTTAGTCTCAGATGCAGCGCAATCTTAATAAACCTGTGCTTTATTGCAATTTTAATGTGAATTTTAAATTTATAAATACAGGTGGTCCTTGACTTCTGATCACAGTTGAGCCCCAAAATTTCTGCTGCTAAGTGAGACATTGTTTAAGTGAGTTTTGCCCCATTTTAGGACCTTTCTTGTCGTAGTTGTTAAGCGAATCAGTGCAGTTGATAATTTAGACACCCGGTTGTTAAGTGAATCTGGCATCTCTGTTGACTTTGCTTGCCAGAAGGTCGCAAAAGGGAATCACATGAACTTGAGACACAGCAACCGTCATAAATATGAATCACTTGCCAAGCATCTGAATTTTGATCACATGACCCTGGGGATGCTGCAATGGTCATAAGTGTGAAAAATGGTCATAAGTCACCTTTTTCAGTGCCCTTGTAACTTTGAACTATCACCGAATGAAGTATTGTAAGTCGAGAACTATCTGTATATATCAGTGGTGAAATCCAAATTTTTTTACTACCGCTTCTGTGGGTGTGGCAGGGGAAGGATACTGCAAAATCTCCATTCCCACCCCACTTCTGGGGGAAGGATACTGCAAAATCTCCATTCCCACCCCACTCCAGGGGAAGGATACTGCAAAATCTCCATTCCCACCCAACTCCAGGGGAAGGATATTGCAAAATCTCCATTCCCACCCCACTCCCAGGGAAGGATACTGTAAAAATCACCACTCCTAGGGGAAGGATACTGCAAAATCTCCATTTCCGCCCCACTCTGGGGCCAGCCAGAGGTGGCATTTGCTGGTTCTCCGAACTACTCACAATTTCCGTTACCGGTTCTCCAGAACCTGTCACAACCTGCTGGATTTCACCTCTGAGATATATATATATATATATTCCGAGGTGGGTATGTATGTATGTATGTATGTATGTATGTATATAAAAAGCAAATTTAATAAATAAATAAATAAATCTGGGATCCACAAAATAATTGTATTTAGACCCAGGTCAGATTATTGTGTGCGAATACAGCTCCTATTCCCTCTGCAAAGTCCTGGGTCTCACGCTTTTACCTGCTTGGCATCCCCTCCTTACCTGCGCCTTTGTTCCTGAGGTAGGTCAGCCGGACTTTTTCGCTGCCAAAGGTGCACAATGAGCCTTCGGGATTCAGTGCGCGCACCTGAACGAAGGAGACAGGGATGAGCCACGGTGGTCCAGTGGTTAGAGTGCAGTACGGCAAGCTACTTCTGCTGACTGCCTGCAATTTGGCAGATCGAATCTCACCAGGCTCAAGGTTGACTCAGCCTTCTGTCCTTCTGAGGTTGGTAAAATGAGGACCCAGATTGTTGGGGGCAAGAGGCTGACTCTGTAAACCGCTTAAAGAGAGCTGGAAAGCACTGTGAAGCGGTATATAAGTCTTAAGTGCTATTGCTATGCTATGCTATTCTTGCTGGAGTAGCACAGAAGGCAGATTGCAGTATCGACTCTGCCCCACAGCCTAGAGTTCAATCCTGACCGGCTGAAGGTTGACTCAACCTTCCATCCTTCTGAGGTTGGTAAAATGAAGACCCAGATTTTTTGCCGGGGGGGGTGGGGGCAATAGGCTGACTCTGTAAACCGTTTCGAGAGGACTGTGAAGCAGAATATGAGTCTAAGTGCTATTGCTATTCCTTCCTTCCTTCCTCCCAATTCATCTCTCATTCATGTTTTCTTCTACCTAATTCCTTCCTTCCTTCCTTCCTTCCTTCCTTCCTTCCTTCCTTCCTTCCTTCCTTCCTTCCTTCCTTCCTTCCTTCCTTCCTGTTAGAATGCAGCATTGCAGGCTATCTCTGCCTACTGCCAGCAGTTCGATCCTGATCGACTCAAGGTCGACTCAGCCTTCCATCCTACCGAGGTGGTTAAAATGAGGACCCAGATTGTTGGGGGCAAGAGGCTGACTCTGTAAACTGCTTAGAGAGGGCTGTAAAAGCACCATGAAGCGCTATATAAGTCTAAGAGCTATTGCTATTGCTCTCAATGGCTGAATCCTAAACCCACAATGAGCAAACTGCTCTTCTGTTATACCTTCAACATCAAGATAGACACAGGACTACACAAACACACATGCACACTAACACCACACACACACAAACATCCCCCCCCTCCCACGGAGGACAACATCCTTTCCTATCGCAAGCAAGCCAACCCCTCCTTCCTCTACAGCAGCCCAAAGAGAAAATATTTGGGGGTGTATCGCTTGCCGGCACATCCTTCGAGACACCCCACCTGTTCCCAGGTACACACCGAGTCCCCTGGCCTTAGAAGAAGCAGGACTGGGTACGACAACAGGTTGTATGTACCCTGTTGGCACCATCTTCACTTCACTTCCTTGAGTTACAACCATTCTTTCACTGACAGTTGGAAGATACAACAGTGGGGGACTTATGACCGTTTTTCACATTTAACAACCATTGCAGCATCCCCAGGGTCTCGGGTTCAAAATTCAGACGCCCGGCAACTGACTCATACAGTATTTATGACAGTTGCAAAATCCCAGGGTCACGTGATCCTCTTTTGCGACCTTCTGACAAGCAAAGTCAGCGGGGAAGCCAGACTCATTTAACGACTGTGTTACTAACCTAGCAGCTGCAGTGATTCTCTTTTAACAACTAGGAAGAAAAGTCGTCAAACAAGGCACAACTCACTTAACAAACTGTCTCGCTTAGCCACAGAAAGTTGTCAGAAGGTCGTAAAAAGGGGAATCACGTGATAACCCCTCCCCCCTTCCCCCCCGGGACGCTGCGACTGTTATAAATATGAGCCCATTGCCAAGTGGCTGAATTTTGATCACGGGGATGCTGCAAAGGTCGTAAGTGTGAAAAACGGCCATAAGTCCCTTTCTTCAATGCTGTCGTAACTTCGAGCAGTCACTAAAACAAAGGCTTGTACGTCGAAGACTACCGTACTGCTAAACTCATAGCTTAAAGGCCTGTTGTAGTCCGCCAGCAGCCTGCGGAGCTGGCAGCGGAGTCGGACAGCGAGGAGGCTGAGGAAGAACATGGCCCAGTCCTGGAGGCTGGAGAAGGCCCGGATGAGGGCTCTGCGTCGGAGGCAGAGATGGGGCCAGGGCCATCGGGGAGTGAAGTGCGGACTCCAGAGCCTCCAGAGGCTGACAGTAGAGAGGCAGAGGAACAGGGGGAGCCTGTTCCTAGTGGACGTATGAGAAGAGCTGCCAGAAGGTAAGAGCAGCTCAAGCAAAGAGGACGACTTGGGAGTAAGGCCAGGAGATGATTGGCCCCTCCCATAAGGTGAGGGCCTTGGTGGTGCAGCAGACTAAGTGCTATTAAGTGGTAGCACTTAGCTGCCAGCTGCCTGCAATTAGTGCGAGTTCAAATCTCACCAGGTTCAAGGTTGACTCAGCCTTCCATCCTTTCAAAGTAGGTAAATTGAGGACCCTGATTGTTATTTATTAAATTTATTATTTATTAAATTTATATGCCGCCCCTCTCCGGAGACTCAGGACGGATTGTGGGGATAATCAGCCAGCTTTGTATAGAACAACACCGCTTGGGGGGGGCCAAAAGCCCTAATAAGCAGGTATATACATAAAAGTATGCAGGCTATTGCTATAATGCATTGTAAGCCGCCCTGAGTCTACGGAGAAGGGCGGCATATAAATTGAATAAATAAATAAATAAATAAATAAATAAATAAATAAATAAGTAAGTAAGTAAAGCAAGTAAGTAAGTAAAGTAAGTAAGTAAGTAAAGTAAGTAAGTAAGTAAAGTAAGTAAATAAGTAAGTAAAGTAAGTAAGTAAAGTAAGTAAGTAAGTAAATAAGTAAGTAAGTAAGTAAAGTAAGTAAGTAAGTAAAGTAAGTAAGTAAGTAAAGTAAGTAAGTAAATAAGTAAGTAAGTAAGTAAAGTAAGTAAGTAAGTAAAGTAAGTAAGTAAGTAAATAAGTAAGTAAAGTAAGTAAGTAAAGTAAGTAAAGTAAGTAAGTAAGTAAAGTAAGTAAGTAAAGTAAGTAAGTAAGTAAGTAAATAAGTAAGTAAAGTAAGTAAGTAAAGTAAGTAAAGTAAGTAAAGTAAGTAAGTAAGTAAATAAGTAAGTAAAGTAAGTAAGTAAAGTAAGTAAGTAAAGTAAGTAAGTAAGTAAAGTAAATAAGTAAGTAAAGTAAGTAAATAAGTAAGTAAAGTAAGTAAGTAAAGTAAGTAAGTAAGTAAAGTAAGTAAGTAAGTAAGTAAAGTAAATAAGTAAGTAAAGTAAGTAAGTAAGTAAGTAAATAAGTAAGTAAATAAGTAAGTAAAGTAAGTAAGTAAAGTAAGTAAAGTAAGTAAGTAAATAAGTAAGTAAAGTAAGTAAGTAAAGTAAGTAAGTAAGTAAAGTAAGTAAGTAAGTAAAGTAAGTAAGTAAGTAAGTAAAGTAAGTAAGTAAGTAAGTAAATAAGTAAGTAAAGTAAGTAAGTAAAGTAAGTAAAGTAAGTAAGTAAAGTAAGTAAGTAAGTAAAGTAAGTAAGTAAATAAGTAAGTAAAGTAAGTAAGTAAAACAAGTAAGTAAGTAAGTAAAGTAAGTAAAGTAAGTAAGTAAGTAAGTAAGTAAGTAAAGTAAGTAAGTAAAACAAGTAAGTAAGTAAGTAAAGTAAGTAAAGTAAGTAAGTAAGTAAGTAAATAAATAAGTAAAGTGAGTAAGTAAATAAGTAAGTAAGTAAAGTAAGTAAAGTAAGTAAGTAAGTAAGTAAAGTAAGTAAAGTAAGTAAGTAAGTAAGTAAAGTAAGTAAGTAAATAAGTAAGTAAAGTAAGTAAGTAAGTAAAACAAGTAAGTAAGTAAGTAAGTAAGTAAGGCTTAAAAGACCAGCAACGGCTTTTGGGCTCTTTGCCGGAAAACAACTGTTGAGAGATTTGCTTCTTGTTTGGCTGTAGTTATTTCTTCTGTTCCTGAACTGTTGCCAAGAGAAGCCTTTGGCAGTTCGCCCAATTATCCCAAGGTCAGAGATAAACTGGAGAATGGTGTTTTGAGGACTTTGCTTTCATTTCACTTGGAATACACTGAGAACGAGTTAATTCTCAGCCGTTTTAAATAAAATCTGTTTGTTTTTTGGAACTGTTTTGCACTTAATATCAACTATGTGGGCCTGGGTCACAACACTACCCATCCTATCAAACTATTTTACGTCCAGGAAGGGAGGCCTTTCGGGTGGGCAGCAGCCTCACACACCGCGGCGTCCATTTTGTGAAAGTGCTCACGGCCGACTGCCAAGCCTGCATCCTAATCGCTGATCCGGCACTTTCCTTTAGTAAAGTTTTAAGATTTTTTTTGGGTGGGGGGGCGTGAGGGATAGAAAGCATGGTGGGCACCTTTTTCAAACAGATGGTCTGAATCCACTCGGCCCTTCGGACATCAAAGATATCTAGGCTGTTTTCGCTGAATACTGACAAATAAGGAGCATTGTAGCCTGAAACGGAAAAGAAGTTAAATGTCAGTTGCGCCAAGTCTACCCCTTATCCCCACAGCTACCTACATCCTCCCGCAACCCTGCTGATTACGCTGCAGTTGGCTTAATGCTGGTTTGCCAAATAAGCCAGGATGGGCTGGGCTTTGTAGCCGAGGGGGCCACGCCGCCTGCATTCATGGACGTCAAATTTTGAATTACAAATATTCTTACTTGGAACCTTGACAGAGCCCAGTGGCACGCACAGGTCCCACCAGAAGGGACGGACCCAGGGGTGAAATCTAAAATTTGTTACTACCGGTTCTGTGGGTGTGGCTTGGTGGAGGGTAATGTGACTGCGTGGGCGTGGCCAACTTTTTTTTTTTTAACTTTTAAAAGCATTTTTTCTACAACCTTAAGAGTTTGCAGAAAAAAAATGCTTTTAGAAGCCTCTGACGATCAGGCAACTCAGCTGGGATCGCCAGAGGCTTTTGTAGGCATTTTTTTTCCTACAACCTCTTCGGCTGAAGAGGTTGCAGAAAAAAATGCTTTGAAAAGCCTCTGACGATCCCAGCTGAGCTGCGCGATCATCAGAGGCTTTTTTTTTTTTTTACTTTTAAAAGCATTTTTTCCGGCGGAAGAGGTTGTAGAAAAAATGCTTTTAAAAGTAAAAAAAAAACAGCCTCTGATGATCGCGCGGCTCAGCTGGGCATGGGGGGGGGCCCGCAGGGATTTTTTCTACCGCTTCTCCGAACCACCCGCCGCCATCGCTACCGGATCGCGTGATCCGGTCTGAACCGGGAGCATTTCACCCCTGGAGGGACCACAACACCCATCATCCCCAGCCAAAGCCCCCACCACCACTACCAGCACCCTCTTCCAAATGTGTGACCCACTCACAGCAGCTGAGAGGAGCGGCCGGCCACATCAGCTCCTGGGCACGGCTGCGGTGGCCGTGCATGTCCACGTAGAGTCCAAAACTGCTGAAGCACAAGATGAATTCGCTCAGGCTGACCTCCACGGCTTTTAACGCTTCCATCTGGGCCACGGTGGTTGCCCGGACATTGTCCGCATGGGGCAGACTGACTGGGGACCCTTCGTTGAGCAGAGGGTAGAGGGAGAAGCCGGACGGATAGCCCACGCAGAGCCGGTCCCCCAAAACATCCAGGCACTGGACGTATCCCGGCGCTTGGATCTCCTTGATACGACGGTAGGGCGGGTGCGTGGCGGTCAGCTGGAAGCACAGGACCTGGCGTTTGCAGGCCACGCAGAGCACGGGGGTCGTGCCACGGCAGATCAGCCCCACGGCCACCGCCTGGCAGCCTTTGGCCTCCACCACCTTGGTTCCTGGCGCTTCGGGAGTCTCCAGCTCCGCCCACGAGAAGATGCGGAGTCCGTGGTTCTTGCCGCAGAGCACGGAGAGCAGCTGAACTTCAGGGGAAACCAGCAGCAGTTGCACCCGCCGGCAGTCGCCCACCCGCAGCACATCTGGAGGGGAGACAAGGGGTCAAGGCTCGTGGTCAGGGGTTGGCAGCTCCGGCCACAACAGCGGAAAATCAGGAGCAGGAAAATTGTGATGTCAACATTAGGAAGAAATACAGCTAGTCCTTGACCTACCATTGTTCATTCAGTGACCGAAATTACAACGGGACTGTAAAAAGAGACTGAGGACCGTTGTTCACACTTAGGACCGTTGCAGCTTCCCCACGGTCACATGATCAAAATTTGGCCAATTGGCATCTGATATTTATCGCCCCAACCCAAGCAGGAGACCCTGCACCACTTCTGACAGATGGCAGCCCAGTCTCTTCTTGAAAGCCTCCAAAGATGAAGCTCCCACAACTTCTGAAGGCAACTTCTGTTCCATGGGTTGATTGCTCTCACTGTCAGAAAATTCCTCCTTATTTCCAGGTTGAATCTCTCCTTGGTCAGTTTCCATCCATTCTTCCTTGTCTGGCCTTTGGGTGCCTTGGAGAATAGCTTGACCCCCTTCCTCCTCTCTGGGGCAGCCCCTCAAATATTGGAAGATGCTCTCCTGTCTCCCCTGGTCCTTCTCTTCACTAGACTAGCCATGCCGAGTATTTAACAGATTCAGAGAGTTGGAAGGGACCTTGGAGGTCATCTAGTCCAACCCCCGGCCAAGCAGAAGACCCTACACTATTTCTGACAGAGGGCAGTCCAGTCTCTTCTTGAAAGCCTCCAGAGGTGAAGCTCCCACAACTTCTGAAGGCAAGTTCTGTTCCATGGGTTGATTGTCCTCACGGTCAGGAAATTTCTCCTCATTTCTAGGTTGAATCTCTCCTTGTTCTTTTTCCATCCATTCTTCCTTCTCTGGCCTTCAGGTGCTTTGGAAAACAGCTTGACCCCCTTCCTCCTCTCTGTGGCAGCCCCTCAAATATTGGAAGATGCTCTCCTGTCTCCCCTGTTCCTTCTCTTCACTAGAGTAGCCAGGCCCAGTTCCTGCAACCGTTCTTCATATGTTTTAGTCTCCAGTCCCCTCATCCTCCTGGTTGCTCTTCTCTGCACTCTTTCTAGAGTCTCAGCATCTTTTTTATAGTGTGGCGACCAAAACTGGATGCAGGACTCTAGGTGTGTCCTTACTAAGGCTTTATAGAGTGGTAGTAGTACCTCCCTTGATCATGTTGGATACCCATTTGTCTGAAGTGGTGTAGGGCAGAGGTCTTCAAACTTGGCAGCTTTAAGACTTGTGGACTCTGGTGTAGGGTTTCCTGCCTAAGGAGGAGATTGGACTAGAAGACCTCCAAGGTCCCTTCCAACTCTGCTATTCTATTCTATTTGAATTTGATTGTATCCCTCTGTTAATGCAACTTAGGGTTGCGTTGGCTTTTGTTGATCTTAACAACTCAACAACTGCAATGATTCCCTTAACCATATGGCAAGAGAGTTCGTAAAACAGGGCAAAATTCACTTAACAACTGTCTCGCTTAGCAACAGGAATTTTCAGCTCAAGGCTGGTTGTAAATCAGGAACTCGCTGTACCATGATGCTTCGAAAACACGTGGGACCATTTAGCTGGCTTCCCAAATCAACTGAGCTTCTAGCTTTGCAGAACAAGCCAGTTTCAGAACACAATGCGAATCGAGGTAGTCCTTGACTTAGGAACACAACGGAGCTGAAAAACTTCGCTTGCTAAGCCGGGCGGTTGTTCTAGGGGCTGTGCCTCATTTTACAACCTTTCTTGCCACTGTTGTTAAGCGAATCCTGTGTTTGTAAGTGAATCCGGATTTTCCCATTGGCTTTGCTTGTTGGAAGCCGGCTGGGAAAGTTAACAAATGAGGATCCCGAGTTATATGCCAAGTGCCCGAATTTTGATCACGTGACCTTAGGGAATGCTTCAACGGTCGTAAGGGTGTTCAATGGTCGTAAGTCACTTTTTTCAGTGCTGTTGTAACTTCGAACAGTCACTAAATGAACAGTTGTAAGTCAAGGACCTCCTATGGGCCTTGAGTTACTTAGGACCATTTTCTTAGTGACCGCTGGAAATTACGACAGCATTGAAAAGAGGGTCTTACAACCAGACCTCACACTTATAACCGTCATTCCAGCCCCACGATCACATGATCAAAATTGGGATGCGTGGCGACCAAGAATGTATTTACGATGCGACTTTGGATTTGCTCAATGACCATGTGATTCGGTGAACAACCTCAGCAAGAAAGGTTGCAAACTGGGACCCACTTTACGACCTCACCTCTTAGCGATGGAAGTCGAGGACTAACCTGTGTGCTAAGCCTGTATGAGAGAGAAAGAGAGAGAGAGAGAGAGAAGAGAGACACAGAGAGAAAGAGAGAGAAAGAAAGACAGAGAGAGAGAGGTAAGGAGAGACACAGAAAGAGAGACAGAGAGAGAAAAGAAAGAGAGAAAAAGAGATACAGAGAAAGAGAAAGAGAAAGAGAGAGAGAAAAAGAGACACACAGAGAGAAACAGAGATGGAGAGAGACAAAGAGAAAGAGAGAGACACAGAGAGAGAAAGAAAGAGAAAGAAAAAGAGAGAAACAGAGAGAAAGAAAGAGACAGAGAGAAAAAGAAAGAGACAGAGAAAGGCAGAAAGAGAGAAAGAAAGAGAGGAAAAGAGAGACAGAGAAAGAGAGACAGACAGAGAGAAAGAAATAGGAGAGAGAGAGAAAGAGAGAAAGAGAGAGAAAGAGAGAGAGAGAGAGACACACACACACAGAGAAATAAAGAGACAGAGAGAGAGAAAAAGAGAGACAGAGAGAAACAGAGAGAGAGAGACAGAGAAAGAGAGAGACACAGAGACAAAGAGACACACACAGAGAGAGACAGAGAAAAGAAAGAAAGAGGACACAAGAGAGAGAAAGAGAAAGAAAAAAGAAAGAGAGAGACACAGAAAGAGACAGAAAAGAGAGAAACAGAAAGAGAAAGAAAAAGAGAGACAGAGAAAAGAAAGAGAAAGAGAGAGAAAGAGAGAGAAATAAAGAGACAGAGAGAGGAAAGAGACAGAGAGAGACAGAGAGTAAGAGACAGAAAAAAAAGAAAGAGGAGAGAGAGAAAGAGAAAGAGAGCAAGAAAGAGAGAGAAAGAGAGAAAGAGAGAGAGACACATACAGAGAGAAATAGAGACAGAGATGAAAAAGAGAGAAAGACACAGAGAAAGAGACAGAGAGAGAAAAAAGAAAGCGAGAGAGAGAGAAAGAGGCACAGAGAAAGAGAGACACTGAGACAAAGAGACAGAGAGAGAGAGAGACAGAGAAAAGAGAGAGAGGCACAAAGACAGAAAGAGAAAGAGAGAGACAAAAGAAAGAGATAGAGAAAGAGAAAAAGAGACACACAGAGAGACAGAGAGAGAAAAGAAAGAGACACAGAAGGAGAAAGAGTAAAAGAGAGACACAGAGAAAGAGAGACACAGAGACAGAGAAAGAGACAGAAAGAGAGAAAGAAAGAGAAAAAGAGAGACAGAGAGAAAAGAGAGAAAGAGACAGAGAAAGAAAAAGAGGAAGAGAGACACAGAGAGAGAGAAAAAGAGAGAAAGAGAGAGAGAAAAAGAGAGAGAGAGAGAGAGAGAGAGAAAGAGAGAGAGAGAGAGAGAGAGAGAGAGAGAGAGAGAAATAGCTCAGATCAGCTCACCATTTGTCCTGAGATTAACGAGGAAAAGTCCGTAATCCGTACCCAGGGTGAGCCGTTCCCGGTCTGCAAAAAAAGACACACCATCACAGTTAGTGTAGTCCTCGGGTCTCCAACTCCTAGGCTGCGCTACCGGGCTGTAGGCAGTTCGGAACCGGACCACGCAAGCCACGGGCGAGCATGGGAAGCTCCGTTTGCACGAGTGGCGCGTGCTCGTGTTTGGGTGGGAAGCTCCATTTGCACAAGTGGCGCACACGTGCATCCACCACTCATGTAAATGGAGCTGTGCATGCAAGTGCCCGCTCCCAATGCTTGCACCCAACCATTCCCTCCCCCACCCCGCCAGTCCATCAAGCCGGAAAGGCTGGAGACCCCGCGTGCGCTCCACCACAAATCAAGGCCATTCTCCCTGCTCCAGAGACAATGGACTGGTGGAGCAGACGAGATCCACCCACTCCGACCCCCAGAACCGTAATTTCAGGCAGCACCTATGATTGCGGCCGAGAGGGTGTGCGGGATGAAGGGCAGCCCGTTGTCGTAGGCCTCCTTCAGCACGTAGACTGCCCGGTCGGAGTGCCGGTTCTGTCGCAGCAGCTGCTGCAGCTCGCTCAGCACCTGTGTCCACCTCCGCATCTCCGCCTCGCTGTCGGCCAGGAAGAGCATGGAGCTGGTGGTGGGAGGGCAGGAGAGTTGAGTGGACGTCACCTGCGGAAGGAATGGGGTGAGCAAGCAGGACGCCAGCCGGTGCCCGAGAGAAGGAGCCAGACTGCATGCAGGAACTCGGACAAATCTGGACGCACATTAAAAACAGCTGGGCCCACTCCTGGACTTCGCGTTGAGGTGAAAAACCAGTGGTGAAATCCTAATTTTTTTACTACTGGTTCTGTGGGTGTGGCTTGGTGGGTGTGGTGTGGCTTGGTGGGCATGGCAGGGGAGGAATACTGCAAAATCCTCATTCCCACCCCATTCCAGGGGAAGGATACTGCAAAATCCCCATTCCCTCCCCACTCCAGGTTGCTTGGCAACTGACTCGTATTTATGATGGTTGCAGTGTCCTGGGGTCATGTAATCCCCTTTTGCGACCTTCTGGCAAGCAAAATCAATGGGGAAGCCAGGTTCACTCAACAACCCTGTTGCTAACTTCACAACTGCAGTGATTCACTCAACAACAGTGGCAGGAAAGGTCGTAAAACGAGGCAACACTCAACAAATGTTTCGCTTAGCAACAGAAATTTGAGGCTCAATTGTGGTTCTAAGTCGAGGACTACCTGTATATAGTGTCTTGGAAAAGTAAAAAGCTGAGGTAAGGCTTATTCTGTTGTGCTAAAAGAAGTCAGAAGTCTTTTTTCTCTCTTTTCTCTTTTACCATACACATTTTCCTCTTCTCCTTTCCCTCCCCCACTTTCCCATTATTTTCATTTTTCTTGATATTTGCTATTTTGATAAGCTAATAAAAATTTGAATGTCAAAAAACAGTTGGGGCTTTGAACACCTTCTTGCGGCCACCATGTAACTTTTTTTTTGACCGTATTGCCTTCAGACATTTTCAAATCCTGCTTTTTCAGAGGCTCTTTCCCCCAAAACCTGGCATAGACCCCCTTTTTTTGAGCTTTAGTCCTCAAAAACTCCTCATCAGCCCCTTGGTGACGAGAAGGGCCTCAGCAGCTGCCTCTTGTGGAGAAACCTCCGTTTAGGATTCCTGCTATCTTTGAGCTGGGGGAGCCTCATTGGCCGCTCAACAGATCTCGTTCATTGCTCTTAGGTCTTGCACTAACCGCAACTTGAAACATCAGCAAGGCCTGGACACTGGGCTTCTCTCGTCCCTTCTGGTTCTTACCCGAAAGATACAAGGCACGTCTTTATTGCTGGCGTGGATGACATCGGAGGCCAGGACAGGAGCCACGGAAAACTGCTCATCCCTGTCGCCGGGATAAAAAATGGGTGAGAAAAAAAATTCTACCTAGTTCCTTCTGAGGAGTGACTAACAGAATAATAGAGTTGGAAGGGACCCGGAGATCTTCTAGTCCAACCCCTTGCTCAAGCAGGAGACCTTGTACCATTTTAGACAAATGGCTGTCCAGTCTCTTCTTGAAAACCTCCAGTGATGGAGCACCTACAACTTATTAAGATAAATCATTTCACTGATTAATTGTTCCCACTGTTAGAAAATCCCCCCCTTAGTTCTAAATTGCTCCTCTCCTTGATTGGTTTCCATCCATTGTTTCTTGTCTTGCCTTCAGGCTGTCAGACTTCGATGCTATCTCAAAATAAAATGAATTTCCAAACTGCCAATCTTTAAGGAAATCTTTTCTTTAATTGAGCACAGCCACCGGATCATGACTCGATGCAGACGAGACTGACGTTTTGCCCCCCAATCCCTCCCTTTCTGACCCCCAAATCTCTGTTTCTCATTGGCTATCTTCCAAGTCATTCTTCAGACTTCTTTTCCTCGTCATTTCCCAGGAATGTCTCCCCCCTTCATTTCCACAACAACTCGACATCAAAGGGATTTAGCAGGCAGAAGTTCAGAGCTTATCTCTCTCTCTCTCTCTCTGCTCTCTATGCCAGCGTCAAAACACTGACACAGGCGCTTTGGAGAATAAGTTGACCTCCTCCTTTTTGTGGCAGCCCCTCAAGTACTGGAAGACTGCTATCATGTCACCCCTAGTCCTTCTTTCCATTAGACTAGCCATAACCAATTTCTGCAACTGTTCTTCGTATGTTTTAATTTCCAGGCCCCCAATAATCTCTGTTGTTCTTCTCTGCACTCTTTCTAGAGTCCCAACATCTTTTTAGCATCAGTGAGTAGAGAAAACGGTTGTAACATCAGAGGTTGGGAACTTCCATCCAGTGATGGGATTCAAATTTTTTTTACTACCAGTCTGTGGGCCTGGCTTGGCTTGGTGGGCATGGCTTGGTGGGCATGGTAGGGGAAGGTTACTGCAAAATCCCCATTTCCTCCCAATCAGCTGGGACTCAGGAGGCAGAGAATAAATGGGGGCGGGGCCAGTCAGAGGTGGTATTTACCGGTTCTCCGAACTACTCAAAATTTCCGCTACCGGTTCTCCGGAACTGGTCAGAACCTGCTGAAACCCACCTCTCCTTCCATCCCAGGAACCTATATCTGGCCCATCAATTTGACCCAAGCTTTATATTCCTCTGAGCCCCCTACGAATCATCGCTGGGTTGATACCTAACCAGGCAGCCAAAAATCTAACCCAGAGCTTCTCAACCTTGGCAATTTGAAGTTGGGTGGACTTCAACTCCCAGAATTCCCCAGCCAACCTGTTTTAAGATGGTTGGACTTCAACTCCCAGAATTCCCCAGCCAGCATTCTTTAAAATAGATGGACTTCAACTCCCAGGATTCCCCATCATGGATATACTCACCGCATATCTGTGACATGCATGACACCTTGAGAGATCTTCCCTTCTGAGGCATCGAAGAGGAAAATCTTGAAGTCGCTGATGACCACGAAGGCCTTCTGCCAACCTTTCCTTACCCCAGAGGGCTTGGGCACCTTTGGATAAAAAGAGAAACAGGCAAATTTGTCTTGCCCAGAGTAGCAGGTGCAAGTCCAGGAAATATTTGCATTCCTGCAGGGTAGAAGATCCACTTAGATAGAACATGGAACATAGCTATTCCAATGGTTAATTGTTCTCACCAGGGGTGAAATGCTCCTGGTTCGGACCGGATTGCCCGATCCGGTAGCGATGGCGGTGGGTGGGTCGGAGAACCGGTAGCAAAAATCCCTGCGTCCCCCCACCATGCCCAGCTGAGCTGCACGATCGTCAGAGGCTTTTTTTTTTTTTTTTACTTTTAAAAGCATTTCTTCTACAAACTCTTCCGACAAAAAAAATGCTTTTAAAAGTAAAAAAAAAAAAAAAGCCTCTGATGATCGCGTAGCTCAGCTGGGATCCTCAGAGGCTTTTCAAAGCATTTTTTTCTGCAACCTCTTGGCCGAAGAGGTTGTAGGAAAAAAAAATGCCTTTAAAAGCCTCTGGCGATCCCAGCTGAGTTGCCTGATCGGCAGAGAGGCTTTTCAAAGCATTAGAAAAAATGCTTTGAAAAGTTTTTTTTTTAAAAAAGTTGGCCATGCCCACCCAGTCACATTACCACCACTCCCCACCAAGCCACGCCTACCGAACCGGTAGTAACCAATTTTACATTTCACCCCTGGTTCTCACTGTCAGGAAATTTCTGCTTAGTTCCATGTTGAATCTCTCTGATCACCTTCCACTTCTTACTTCTTGTCCTATTACTTCATGTTCAGTCTGGAAAAGATTTACTCCTGTCCAGCCTTGGATCTCTTAGTGGTGTCCCATCCAGGCCAACCCTTAGCTTTATTTCAAAGTCAACCGAACTTTGGATTAAAATCCTGAAGTTGGAAAAGTGCCATTCCCAAGATCTGCCCTAGGCAAGGTTGGAAACCCAGTCTCTTACCGACAAATACCCCTCAAAGGCGGTGCCGGTTCCGTTTACCGGATTCACCCCCAGGGTTTTCTGAAGCTGATCCGGAGGCATGGGGCAGATGGAGGCTCCAGCAGCACAGGAAACGTGGCAGACAAAGTTGCAGGCTGAAGAAGAAGGGCGAAAAGCGAGAAAAATTATTTTCTTGGTCTGTTTAAATATCTTAGCCCTTGCAAGAAGAGAACTTTGATAGTACAGTGGTTTAGTGCACCCTGTCATTAACACAGCTGCCTGCAATTTCTGCTGGTTCGAATCTCTCCAAGGCTCAAGGTTGACTCAGCCTTCCATCCTTTCTAAGGTAGGTGAAATGAGGACCCAGTTTGTGGGGGCAATAAGCTGACTTTGTATAAATATACAAAAGAATGAAGGCTATTGCTTAATGCATTGTAAGCCGCCCTGAGTCTCCGGAGAAGGGCGGCATATAAATCAAATTAAAAAAAAAAAAAACTGTGTTGTCCTAGAGGGGCCAAAAATCAGGGGGAGGCTGGGCAGCCTCTCTTCCAATCTGTGTTTCTCAACCTCACCAACTTTAAGATGTGTGGACTTCAACTCCCAGAATTCCCCAGCCAGCCAATGTGTTGGTTGAAATGGTCCTTTAAGATGTTTAGAACAGAATAACAGTTGGAAGGGACCCTGGAGGTAGTACAGTGATCTAAAGCACCCTGTTATTAAGCCCAGCTGCCTGCAATTACTGCAGGTTCGAATCTCGCCAGGCTCAAGGTTGACTCAGCCTTCCATCCTTTCAAAGGTAGGTAAATTGAGGACCCAGTTTGTGGGGGCAATAAGATGACTTTGGAGAAATATACAAAAGGATGAAGGCTGTTGCTTAACGCATTGTAAGCCGCCCTGAGTCTCCGGAGAAGGGCAGCATATAAATCAAATTAAAAAAAAAAAAATCTAGTCCAACCCCCTGCTTAGGCAGGAAACCCTACACCACTTCAGACCAATGGCTATCCAATCTCTTCTTAAAAACTTCCAGTGTTGGAGCATTCACAACTTCTGGAGGGAAGTGGTTCCACTGATTAATTGTACTAACTGTTAATCAGTGTGGATTTCAACTCCCAGAATTCCCCAGACAATCATCATTTTGGCTGAGATCGCCCAAAACCTTTTGATGTACATCATAGCTAAGTTGTAGGTGAAAAACTACCATTGGTGCAGGCTGCTGGGAAATCATTTCCCTGACTTTTAATTGAGCTAGGGTCTGTTCTCTGGCAATCGAGTTAAGTTTCTAGTCCTCATGCACCGAAATGAAAATGTGTTAAACAGGATTGCCGTTATAAAGTGTTGGTCTGTGTGTTTTGGAAACTCCAGACGGGAGTCTTTCCCAACCTGCCCCTCCCTTTCCTTGCCCGCCCCCCCCTGCCCTCCTCCCCATGTTTTGTGCCCCAAAAGATGCCACTCACCCTCACAAGCCAGGCCTTGCCGAACCAGTCCAACCATCAGCGAGGTACAGCGCATGCACTTGGTGGGGGCCGAGAAGCTGTGGGTTTTGAAGCTGTGGGTTTTGGGCTAGGAAAACACAACGGGGAGAAAGTTTGCAGAGCGCTTCCAGGCCTGTCTTTTCTTTGCAGAAAAAAAACCAGCAAACTTTTAAGTTTTAAACTTTCACAATTAAGCCCTAAGTCTTCACCTTGAGGGGTGCAGAATAGCCACTCTCGGCAAGGGGGGCTCCAGCCTGCATGAGAAAAACAGAAAAACAACAACTAGAATTGTATATGCACAGCAATGGAAAAATTATGAGATTCTGTCTGTAAAGGTAAAGGTTCCCCTTGCACATGTGTGCTAGATGTTCCTGACTCTAGGGGGCGGTGCTCCTCTCCGTTTCAAAGCCAACGAGCCAGTGCTGTCCGAGGACGTCTCTGTGGTCATGTGGCCGGCCTGACTCAACTCCAAAGACGCATGGAACACTGTTACCTTCCCAACAAAGGTGGTCCCTATTTTTTCTACTTGCATATTTTACGTGCTTTTGAACTGTTAGGTTGGCAGAAGCTGGGACAAGTAACGGGAGCTCACCCCGTTACGCGGCGCTAGGGATTCGAACCGCTGAACTGCCGACCTTTCGATCAACAAGCTCAGCGCCTTAGCCACTGAGCCACCGTGTCCCATGGATTCCGTCTGAAGGGAATGTAATTAAGAAAATATTAGAATGTGCAGAAATGGATAGATTAACGCTCACTATTAAGGATAAAGAAGAAATTGCGTATTTTTTTGATATGGGATGTATTCAGTGGTTGGATTTAGCCAGTTCGCACCTATTTGGGAGAACCAGTTGTTAACTTTCTAAGCAATTCAGAAAACTGGTTGTTGGAAGAAATCTTATTTTGTTTTTTTTCCACTTTACAGGGCTAATCCTGTAAGGAATTACAACATTCTGGTGTTGTTTCTAGCCAATCTTTATTGCCCTGTTTACAGAAACTGCCTCTCTGGTTAACCCTTATTACATTGTAACAGCTAAGGCGAAGCACCCATTGAAGCGCACGTCGTCAGTGACGTTGAGTTGGCCGCGTCCACACAATCACATGACCACCAAGCCTCGCTTACTCAGCTGGTCATTAGGGCAGAGAACCGGTTGTTAACCAGCTGGCAAAGAGCAAAAGAAAAGGGGCTTTTGAATTGGCAGAGAAAATAAAAGGAATACAGCATAACAGATTGGAGGGAGCCTTCTAGTCCAGCCCCCCGTTCAGACAGGAAACCCTATACCATTTCAGGCAAATGGCTATCCAGTCCTTTTGTGAAAATTTCCAGTGATGGAGCACAACTTCTGGAGCCACAACTTCTGGAGGGAAGGCGAGAAAGATGGGAGAGAGGGAGAACAAGAATGGAGGAAAAAGGAAGGAAGGAAGGAAGGAAGGAAGGAAGGAAGGAAGGAAGGGTGGGTAGATGGGTAGATGGAAGGAAGGAAGGAGAACAAGAATGGAGGAAGGAAGAGAGGCAGAGAAGAATGAAGGAAAAAGGAACGAAGGATGGGTGGGTGGATGGATGGAAGGAAGGAAGGAAGGAAGGAAGGAGAAGAAAGGAGAACAAGAATAGAGGAAGGAAGAGAGGCAGAGAAGAATGAAAGAAAAAGGAACGAAGGATGGGTGGGTGGATGGATGGAAGGAAGGAAGGAAGGAAGGAGAAGGAAGGAGAACAAGAATGGAAGAAGGAAGAGAGGCAGAGAAGAATGAAGGAAAAAGGAACGAAGGATGGGTGGGTAGATGGATGGAAGGAAGGAAGGAAGGAAGGAAGGAAGGAAGGAGAAGAAAGGAGAACAAGAATAGAGGAAGAAAGAGAGGCAGAGAAGAATGAAAGAAAAAGGAACGAAGGATGGGTGGGTGGATGGATGGAAGGAAGAAAGGAAGGAGAAGGAAGGAGAACAAGAATGGAGGAAGGAAGAGAGGCAGAGAAGAATGAAGGAAAAAGGAACGAAGGATGGGTGGGTGGATGGATGGAAGGAAGAAAGGAAGGAGAAGGAAGGAGAACAAGAATGGAGGAAGGAATGGAGAAGAATGAAGGAAAAAGTTAAGTTGGAAAGGAAAGAAGGAAAGGAAGGGAAGGAAAGGAAAGGAAAGGAAAGGAAAAGAAAAGAAAGAAAGGAAAGGAAAGGAAAGGAAAGGAAAGGAAAGGAAAGGAAAGGAAAGGAAAGGAAAGGAAAGGAAAGGAAAGGAAAGGAGGTCCTCATTACAGGTAGTCCTTGACTTACAATCATTTTATTTAATGACCACTCAAAGTTGGTCACTGCTACATAAGGCAGTGAAAAAACAGAATCACAACCATTGTTCACACTTATGGCCATTGTAGCACCCCCACGGTCGGTGATGTCATCAGAACTGCAGCTTCCCAGGGTCATATGATCACCTTTGGCGACTTTGATGCTGGATTTGCTTAACGACCATGGGAAAAAGTTGTTAAGATTGAGTGTGACTCAACAACGGCATCGCTTAGCGGTAGATGTTTCAGCCTCTATTTATGGATTTGTTTTATTTATTCATTCATTAGATTTATTTGATGCTCAATTCGCCACCAGGTGACCGTGGGCAGTTTATCATGTTAGATTTTGGTCATAAGTTGAGGACTAGCTGTATGGGGAAAGATCTCTCCATTCCAGCCGGGACTTACATTGGACCGGAGGCTTCTCCTGCCTTCAGGGTGCAGCTGAACCTCCTCGGACGATCTCCGCGCCTCCTGAGAGTCGGGGCTGTTCCCAAAAGCGATGGCGTCCTTCTGAAAAACAAGGGGACAGATAGGCCTCGTTGCTCGTCCAGCGTCCGGATTTGGGTCGTACAGATTAACAGAATTGGAAGGGACCTTGGAGGTCATCTAGTCCAACCCCCCACCCATGCAGGAGACCCTACACCATTTCTGAGAGATGGCAGCCCAGTCTCTTCTTAAAAACTTCCAGTGTTGAAGCATTTACAACTTCTGGTGGCAAGCTGTTCCACAGGTTAATTGCTCTCACTGTCAGAAAATTTCTCTTTCTCTTTCCTCCTCTCTGGGGCAGCCCCTCAAATACTGGAAGATGCTCTACTGTCTCCCCTGGTCCTTCTCTTCACCAGACCCAATTCCTGCCACCGTTCATCATATGTTTGAGCCTCCAGTCCCCTCATCCTCTTGGTTGCTCTTCTCTGCACTTTTTCTAGAGTCTCCACATCTTTTTTATCGTGTGGTGACCAAAAGTGTGTGGATCACTAACGGCTCCCCTGTGGGACTCCTTGCATGCCCCAAACCTTTAGTAGGTTTTCTTCTTTCTTCCTCTGCTTTTTTGAGGCCTCAGTATAATTATTTTGCATCCTCTTAAATTTTTATAAAAAGGGGTTTCCCCATTCTGTGCAAGCGTGTCCCAAATCTGGTTACATTTATTTATTTATTTGTTCATTCGCATTTTATTATTTATGTGGTGCAGTGGCCTAGAGGGGGAGCTCTCGCCTCCCAATCAGGAGGCTGTGAGTTCGATCCTAGGTAGAGGCAGGTATTTCTCTCTCTGGGCATGATGAGATGAGAATATTATCTGCTGAACAAAACTCCACATTGGCGACAGGAAAGGCATCCGGGCAGTAAACACTCAGCTCCATTCAGTTGCCCAGACTCCACCCCGCAAGGGAGTACGGTGTCATGATGATTTGCATTTTGTTATTTGTGACAATCACCAACATTTAAGTTTTAAGACACCCACTCAAATTTCCGTAGACGAAGCTAATCAACAAGAAATCTATTACACTGATATATCTAAAACACGGAGACCAAATCAAATAATCCTAGCTGCAGTTTAATGCTTTCTGCAATTAGAGTCTCTTAGCAGATCAGCATTTATATGCAGATTAGCACAAACATTTTCTTGCATTTCCTTTTTAAAATGCAAGGCGTGAAATGCTCCCGGTTCGGACCGGATCGCCCGATCTGCTAGCGATGGTGGCGGGTGGTTCGGTAGCAAAAAATCCCTGCCCCCCCCATGCCCAGCTGAGCCGCGCAATCATCAGAGACTTTTTTTTTTATTTTTAAAAGCATTTTTTCTACAACCTCTTCAGCTGATGTTTTAAAAAATGTTTTTAAAAGCAAAAAAAAAAAAGCCTCTGACGATCAGGCAACTCAGCTGGGATCGTCAGATGCTTTTAAAAGCATTTTGTTACAACCTCTTCGGCCGAAGAGGTTGTAGAAAAAAGTGGTTTTAAAAGTAAAAAGTAAAAAAAAATGGTCACGCCCACTCGACTGAGTGGGCGTGGCCAACTTAAAAACCCCCCCAAAGCCACGCCCACAGAACTGGTAGTAACAAATTTTACATTTCACCCTTGCTTTAAGGTACTCGCTATTAGGATATAACCTGAAGAGCATTTTTGTAATTCTCCTGCTTGAGCAGGGGGTTGGACTAGAAGGCCTCCAAGGTCCCTTCCTCCTCTATTCTGACCGACTGATTAATTAGGAGACCACGGGGACTTATTTCCACTGTAGTTTTCATTTGACTTTGAGAGAATTTATTCTACAGATAATCCTCGATTTACAACACTTCGTTTAGTGGCTGCTCGATGTTACAGCAGCACTGAAAAAAAAGCGACTGTTTTTCACACTTACGACCGTCGCAGCATTCCCCAGGGATTCAAATTCAGATGCTTGGCAACTGATTCACATTAATGACGGTTGCAGTGTCTCCCGGGTGTGTGTGTGTGTGTGTGTGTCACATGATCCCCTTTTGAGACCTGACAAGCCAAATCAATGAGGGAAGCCGGATTCACTTAACAACCGAGTTACTAATTTAACAGCTGCCATGATTCACTTAACAACGGTAGCAAGAAAGGTAATAAGATTGCAAAATTCACTTAACAACTGACTGGCTTAGCGACATAAATTGTGGCCGTAAGTCGAGGACTACCTGTACCTGACCGAGGTGAAAACTTACACTGGTGCTTCGGAAGAAGAAAGAAATCAGTGGCGTTTGGGACTTGATACCTGTTAAGAAAAGGAGAGAAAAACAGAGAGGCTTTGTGGGTTGAGATGCCAAAGGAACCTGGATCTGTCTTGAACTATTCCATCTTTAATTAATCGCTTCCTGTTCCATGCCTGATGATGGAATTAACAGAATCCTGGATTAAGAGTAGTCAGAATTTCCGAATCAACCGCAAGACATTTTGGAAGGGAATTGCAGGAGTCAAAATCAAATTTCGCAAAACTTTAAGATACGTGGACTTTTGCCCTAGCAAAAGTAACATTGCCCTAGCTCAGCTGCAGCACGCATGTGTTTTCGGGCCTTCCGGCCCACTGGAAGTCAGCAAACAGACTGTTTCCGGCCTCCAGAGGGCCTCCGGGGAGGGTGGAAGGCCATTTAGACCCTCCCCAGGCTCCAAGAAAGCTTCTGGAGCCTGGGGAGGGGGAAAAACAGGCCCACCGTGCCATCGCATGCCAAAAAACGGGGGAGCACAGGGGGGGGTCATGCGCGAGGGGGGTGGGGCACATTGAATTATGGGTGTGGGCATACAGGCACACAACTCCCCCCACACTCCCCCCGCTTTTGGCACGCGACGGCAAAAAGGTTAGCCATCACTGGTATAGGTTCTCCTCCTGCTTGAGCAGGGGGCTGGACTAGAAGACCTCCAAGGTCTCTATTCTGTTCTGTTCTGTTCTGTTCTGTTTTCTATTCTATTGTAAAGTTCCCAAGGTTGAGAAACATCAAGTTAAAGCCTCAACAATCTGAACTGTGAACACTTGGAGTAAACTGAAAGTTGACCTAACATTAAGTCATTTCCTATTCTATTAGAGTTGCTTCTATATTAAGGTGTGATTAGAGTTAGACGGAAATAAAACAGCAACTCCTTGTGGACAGGAAGGTTTTAATTAAAAGACAATTTCAAAAGGGCAGCTTCTGTGTGTGGATAGAAAAAGTCATTTCTATTTTCCTTTTCAAACTCATTTTAAGAAGACAGAAAACATGTCTCGGTTTGCTAAGTGGCTCAAACCTTCAGGAAGTAAATCCCACCGAACTCAACGAATCCCTTTCCAACTGCATTATCTTTGGCAGAGAAATTTGTCAAAATAAAGTAGATAAACATTTAAGGGCAGGAGTACCACTAAATTCCCATTTTATTTTTGCTCGCTGCTATGACCAACCATCGTTTTCATTTCATTTCATTTTAATTTAACAAAAATGGCATGCCTTGGCTGATAAAAGTAAATGCTTTTATTTTTATTATGATTTATGGATTGATTTCTATCCCACTTTATTATTTTTACAAATAACTCAAGGCAGCAAACATATCTAATACACTTTCCTCCTCCTATTTTCTCTACCACAACAATCCTGCAAGGTTGGTTGGGCTGAGAGAGAAAAAGGGACTGGCTCGAAGACACCCAGCTGGCTTTCATGGGTAAGGTAGGATTTGAACTCAGGACCCCCGTTTCCCAGCCTGGTGCTTTAAGCACTAGACCAAACTGGCTCTTTATAATGAAAACAATCTTTTGAAATTTATGTCCATAGTTTGGGTTTGCCTAAATACTTGTCCCATCAAGTCTCAGCAGGAAAAAAAGCTGCTGCTTAAACTGGTTGGATCCCCAAAGCTCGCAGGGCTAGGCCTGGTTAATATTTTGGATAGGGTACCACCAGGAAATCCCTAGGAAACCATTTTCTGGATAAACTTCACAAGTTCTCCAGAAACTCTCAGGAACGTGCGATATGTCTGCCTTGCCATCTGAATCCCATCCTCGGTGGAGGAGAGCACTCTGCAGATGCTGAGGCCATCTTGTCTCCTAGGGCAGTGGTCCCCAACCTTTCTGGCTTGGCGGCCCAGCGGGGGGGGGGGGAGAGGGGAACTGGCCTGCGCAAGTCAAGACAGGTGCCGGCCTGTCGCTTGGGTGGCCTGGTTTTGAATGGGTAACGCCCCATGGGTTACTTACAGATTAACAGAGTTGGAAGGGACCTTGTGGGTCATCTAGTCCAACCCCCCACCCAAGCAGGAGTCCCTACACCATTTCTGAGAGATGGCAGTCCAGTCTCTTCTTGAAAGCCTCCAGAGATGAAGCTCCCACAACTTCTGGTGGCAAGCTGTTCCACTGATTAATTGCTTTCACTGTCGGGAAATTTCTCCTTAGTTCCAGGTTGCTTCTCTCCTTGATCAGTTTCCATCCATTCTTCCTTGTCTGGGCTTCAGGTACTTTGGAGAATAGCTTGACCCCCTTCCTCCTCTCTGTGGCAGCCCCTCAAATATCGGAAGATGCTCTCCTGCCTCCCCTGGTCCTTCTCTTCCCTAGACTAGACATACCCCAACTCCTGCAATCATCCATCGTATGTTTTAGCCTCCAGTCCCCTCATCATCCTGGTTGCTCTTCTCTGCACTCTTTCCAGAGTCTCAAAATCTTTTTTGATAGTGTGGGGACCAGAACTGGATTCAGGACTCTAGGTATAGCCTTACTAAGGGTTTATAGAGTGGTATCAGCACCTCCCTGGATCTTGGTTGCATTCCTCTGTTAATGCAATTTAGGATTGCACTGGCTGTTTGTTTGTTTGTTTATTTATTTATTTAATTTTATTTAACTTATATGCCGCCCTATCTCCAACGGACTCAGGGCGGCTCACAACAATAAAATCCACAATAACCACAGTACAAAGTTAAAATACCTAATTAAACCAGATAAAAATTAAAAACCCATATAAAACCCCATCAGTCCTGGGCTGCTGCCACAGACGACTGGCTCATATTTAGCTGGTTGGGAGACCCCTGTGCTAGGGTGTCCTCAGGCTACGAAAGGAAGCCTCAAAGACCATCAGCAGATGAATACCCGAGCCTGGGAAAATCCTTCAAAACTTTTGGCCAACTTGTATGAAGGGGATAGGAGATCTCGGAGGAGGCACCCAGCGGTCATCCAGACTGGCCTCTTACCTTCCAGAGAGCGGGCCTTCAGCTCCCCTTTGGTCTTCTCCAGGTCCTGGCGCAAAGTCCGGTTCTGCTGCTCCGCTTCCTGCAACTGTCTTTGGGGGAAGCCACGAAGGTGGGAAGAGAAGAGAGAAGGATTATCGTGGGGGGGGGGGCATGACCCCCTGGGACTCCCACTCCCATAATCCTTTGCCCCGGGCCACGCTGAAGTTCTCGCCCAGGTGTTGAAGGAAAAGCTCGGAAAAGTTTTCCTTCTCCCGCTCCTTTCCAGAAGCACAGGTAGTCCTCGATTTGCAACCACAACGGAGCCCAAATTTTCTGTTGCTAAGCATGTCCGTTGTTAAGTGGGTTTTTTTGCCCCATTTTTGGCTCCGGTTGTTCAGTGAATCAGTGCAGTTGTTAAGTTAGTCACCTTGTTGTTAAGTGAATCTGGCTTCTCCATTGATTAGAAGGTCGCAAAAGGGGAGCACACATGGCCCTGGGACACTGCGACTGTCATAAATGTGAGTCAGTTGGCAAAATGTTCAAATTTTGATCAAATGGGATGATGGAACGGTTGTTAAGTGTAAAAACTGGCCCTAAGTCACTTTTGTCACTGCGGTTATAATTTGGAATAGTCACTAAGTGAATGGTTGGAGTGGGGCGGTGGCCTAGAGGTGGAGCTCTCGCCTCACCATCAGGAGGCTGTGAGTTCGATCCTAGGTAGAGGCAGATATTTCTCTCTCTGGGTACAACGAGAATGTATCTGCTGAACAAAACTCCACACTGGTGACAGGAAAGGCATCTGGCCAGTAAACACTCAGATCCGTTCCATTGCCCAGATTCCACCCCGCAAGGGATTCTGGGGTCATTAAAAGATGATGATGATTGCCAGGCTTCATGAGAGTGGTGCGGTATTTCTGTTGCTAAGCAAGAAGTAAATCGGGCAGATCTCTCTCTCTCTCTCTCTCTCTCTTCTTCTCTCTCTCTCTCTCTCTCTCTCTTCTTCTTCTCTCTCTCTCTCTCTTCTTCTTCTCTCTCTCTCTCTCTTCTTCTTCTTCTTCTCTCTCTCTCTCTCTCTTCTCTCTCTCTCTCTTCTTCTCTCTCTCTCTCTCTCTTCTTCTTCTCTCTCTCTTCTTCTTCTTCTTCTCTCTCTCTCTCTCTCCTTCTCTCTCTCTCTCTTCTTCTCTCTCTCTCTCTCTCTTCTTCTTCTCTCTCTCTCTCTCTCTCTCTCTCTCTCTCTCTCTCTCTCTCTCTCTCTCTCTCTCTCTCTCTCTCTCTCTCTGGGCACAATGAGAATAGATCTGCTGTGAACTCCGCATTGGCAACAGGGAGGGCATCCGGCCAGTAAACACTCAGCTCCATTCAGTTGCCCAGACTCCACCCCGATACAAGGGATTAAGGGGTCGTTAAAAAAAGATGATGACTAAGTGAATGGTTGTAAGTCAAGGACTATATGTCTCTGATTTGCAGCATTATGTCGAGAGCCTGAAGGGGCACCGGACGTTCGCCAGGCTCAGCTTCCTCTGCAAAGAAGGGCTGTTGGGGGGGGGGAGAACAGGGGGCTTTACCCACCGTTCCAGCCCCAGGTGGGCCACCTTCAGCCTCTCCAGCTCCGTCTGGACACTTTGCTTGGCCCAGATCTCGGCCTCCAAGGCCGACTGGAGCTCCAGCTTGGCCGAGGCCTCCACCTTCTGCAGCCGCCGGGCTTTCCAGAGCGCGTCCTGCGGGGGAAGAAGGGCGGAGGGAGGGGGGAGTTGGTGCGAGGGGAAGGCTTGGCCTGTGGGGAGGGGGGGGGCAAAAGGGAGAAGGGGTCGCACCGGGCACTGGCCACGCTTGGCCCACGAAGGGGCTTTTGGGGTGGTGGGAAAAATGATGGAGTTGGCCTCGTGGGGTGTCGCTGGGCAGCAAAGGGTTTGCCCTGCAGGTGTGCCCCCCCCACCATGGGAAGATTGACTGGGAATAGGAGGGAGCGAGGGAAAAGAGAAGGAAAGGAAAAAAGGAAGGAAGGAAGAAAAGAGGGAGGGAGGGAAGAGAAGGGAAGGGAGGAAGGAAGGAAATAAAAGAAGAGGGAGGGAGGGAAGGAAGGAAGGAAAAGAAGAGAGGGAGGAAAGGAAGGAAGGAATGAGGGAGGGAGAGGAGAAAAGAGAGAAAAAAGGAAAAGAGGGAGGGATGAAAGAAGGAAGGAAGGAAAGAGGGAGGGAGGGAGGGAGGGAAGAGAAGAGAAGGGAAGGGAAGGGAAGGGGAGGAAATAAAAGAAGAAGGAGGGAGGGAGGGAGGAAGGAGGGAAGGAAGGAAGGAAAGAAAGAAAAGAAGAGAGGGAGGAAAGGAAGGTATGAGGGAGGGAGAGGAGAAAAAAGAAGGGAGGGTGGAAAGGAGAAAAGAAAGAACAAAGGAAAAAGAGAGGGAGGGATGAAAGAAGGAAGGAAGGAAAGAAGGAAAGGAAAGAAGGAAAGAAGGAAGAAAGAAAAGAGGGAGGGAGGGAAGAGAAGGGAAGGGAAGGGAAGGGAAGAGAAGGAGGGAAGGGAGGAAATAAAAGAAGAGGGAGGGAGGGAGGGAGGATGGAAGGAAGAAAGGGAACCAGCCACAAAGACTCTCAATTCAATTCCCCTCCCACCTTTTCTCTTACATCCCCCCTTCATCAAGTGACAAGGGGGGTGTCACTCCTGCCTCCCCCAGGGCCCTCTTACCGGGGTCTTAGGCACGGGGCTCTGTGCCCCTGCCTGCTTCAGGGCTTCCATCTCGTCCACCATGCGAGTCGCCATGGCCTGCAGGTACCCCCTGGACTCTTTCTCATCGCTCACCCTGGGGAAGAGGCAAAAGGGCAGGGACTGTCAGGGGAATCCACCTGGGGGGGGGGGCAAGGGGCGCAACACTTCTGCTCCTTCCCACTTGTCAGATCATTCATGAACTGGCAGAGACATGGTAACAAGGTCAGCCAATGAACAGGCACAGCAACTAAATCAGCCAATGGGAGCTGAGACAGACCGGAGCCAGGGCGTTTTAGTCTGCAGCTTCTGAGTCTGTGCAGAGAATTGAAACTGAAACTAAGCAGTCTGTGCATGCTTGTCTGCTCTGCTGAAATGAAACTAACTGTTCTCTCCTGCCTTGTCTTCTGCCTGTAACTTCTACCACGTTGGAAGAATCAACTATTGATATTGTAAATACTTCATCTGTTAATCTGTATATAAAGAAGTTAATGCATCCAGCTGAATCAGTTATCTGTGTGTACTTCTGGATTTGATTTTTGCAAGAAACTCTGATACCACTTACTTAACGACCACATTGCTTAGTGACAAAACTTCCGGTCCCAATTGTGGTCGTAAGTCGAGGACTTACTTTAATTAATTTCCACAAGATATAACTAAAATTATAATTTCCCTCCTGCTGATGTCTCTCAACATCTTGCTCTGAACGACAAATCCCAGAATTCCACTGGATGAGATTCAAGGGGGTGGGGTGTCTTGTCCCAACCTATCTGGAGGGCGCCAAGTTGGGGGAAGGCTGCACTAGATGTTGGGCTCCTTTAAAAGAGAAGAAAACGCTCCGCTTATCCTCAGAGGCAACTTTGCCAATTCAAACTCCGGAGGGATTCCCTCACCACTTCAAAATGTCGGCGATCTGAACCTCCCAGTTGGTGAAGGCAGCTTTGTGGAATTCGGACGTGCAGCTCCCTGGTCCTGGGTGCAAGGACTCGTTACCCCGAGAATCCACCTGTTGCAAGCCACAAAAGAAGCAGACTGCAGCCTTTAAAAGAACCATTGGGGTACAGTGGGGAAGGGGCTACAGCAGGAGTGGGGTGTCCTGGGTTCAAGTCCCACTCTGTTGTGGCCTGTCGGCCGCCGGCCCCTCAAGCAGAGGAGCCGAATCAGAGGAGGAAGAGGCGTGGGAGTCAAGGTCAGCATCAGGGCAACCTGAGATCTCCGAGGGGGAGGAGGGAATGGAGCTGTCAGAGAGAGAGAGAGAGACAGAGGAGGAGCCTGGGCCGTCTGTCAGCCGTCAGATGGAGGGTCAACAGCCCCCAGGTCTGGAGGTGGCTGATGAGGAGGAGGAGGAACAGCTGGGTCCAGTGCCTGATGTACGGATGCACAGAAGGCAGAGGAGAGGAGAGCAGTGGAAATCTAAGGGCCAGTCCAAGGGACGGAAGAGCAACTTCTGCTAGAGAAGCCCCACCCTAGCTGTGGGGATAAAAGGCAGGGGGCGGAGATGAATAGATGTGGCAGATAACTATTCATCTCCCTGCCGGAAGGACTTGTTAGCCTGAGAAACTTTTTTGCCGGGGCTGCCGGTATTCATAATAAAGGAATCTTTGAGTTCACTTCAAAGGGTTTTTTCGTGTTTGGGCAGCTGGGTCAGAACACAATCACAACAGCTCGGCTGATGCATCAGACTTTCTCAGCCCAGCCTTCCTCACAGGGTTGTTGTTGTGGAGCAAGGTGGCAGGTGAGCACCCTATTTTATGCACCTGGAGAAAAAAAAGGGGGGGCAGGTGGGGGGAATAGGTAATTTGGAAAACCATAAAGTTCCTCGGAATTTGATGCACGTCTACCTGGTCACCAGAAGGCCGGGGGCTGCAGCTGTTGCTCATGGCCGCTTGGCCTCCTCTGTTCGGCTCCATATTTTCGCACCTAGGCAGAAAAAAACAACATTCATGGTACAGATAGCCCTCGACTTACGACCACAATGGCCGGGATCTTTTAAGACCTGTGGACTTGTGGCTGGCTGGGGAATTCTGGGAGTTGGAAGTCCACAAGTCTTAAAGTTGCCAAGGTTGTTCGAGATGCCTGACAACGGTGATCGCAACTTCCATCTCTAAACAATGTGGTCATTAAGTGAGTCATCACGTGACCACACCCAATTTCATGGTTGTTAAGGGAATCACACAGTCGTTAAGGGAATCCCTTTGACTTTGCTTAGTGAAAGCTTTCAGACTGCGGTACTGTCTCAAAATTAAATGAATTTCCAAACTGCCAATCTTTAAGGAAATCTTTCTTTAATTGAGCTCAGCCACCGGATCATGATTCCGCGCGGACAAGACTGACCTTTTGCCTCCCAATCCCTCCCTTTCCGACCCCCAAGACTCTGCTTCTCATTGGCTGTCTTCCAAGTCATTCTCCAGACTTCTTTTCCCCGTCATTTCTCAGGAATGTGCCCCTTCCCCTGATCTCCACGACAACCAAGCTTCAAAGGGATTTTGCAGGCAAAAGTTTCAGAGTTTATCTTTCGCTGTCCTCTGCTCTCTCTATGGCAGTGTTGCAACGCTGACAAAAGCCAGCTGGGAAGGTTGCAAATGGTGACCAGTGATCCCGGGACACCTCCTCCCTTCTCTCGCCAGCCTCGCGCAGCATCCCGTTACATTGCTCACCGCTGCCTCCTGGTTTTCTCCAGCTGCTCCTGCAGTTGGGCCACCTCCTCCGTCAGAGCCTCAACCTGCCGTCCCTTGGCTTGCAGCTCCTCCTTCCACGCTCCGCACGGCTCCGGACGTCTCCTGGAACTGGACCGCTTGAAGATGGCCGTGCTTGGCTTTGCCTGCAAGAGAGCCCCAAATCAATGCGGTGAAGCGGTTTTAATGTCAGGGTTCCCCCCGAGTCCCTAGCCCTCAGCTCCAGTATGGCAACACTGAAGCTCCCAAGAATGGCTTCGATCAGGTCAGCTTCAGGGTTGGCAGGTTAATGCCGCCGTTAGGATTAAGATTCCTCCGATGTCTGCACAGCACAGCCCTACCCGCAACTCCTCCAGCTCGTCTTTCAATTTCCGCATTTGCTGCTCCGCTCTCTCCCGTCCCTTTCGCTGCTTGGTCACCTCACCCACCAGGTTTTCGATCCGGAGCTCCAGCTGCAGGAAGAGAAGAGAATTTCTCTCATGTTCTGGAGGAAAGGTAGTTTGAAGGGGGGACTGTCTTGTGTATTCCTGCAGCCCAGAAACTGCGGAAGGCAATCTAGGACAGGGGTCTCCAACCTTGGCAACTTTACGATTTGTGGACTTCAACTGTCAAATTAAATTTTAAAAATTATTTTAAAAAGCCACAGAGCTCTTAACATTCAGAACAGACACTCTGGACTCTTGGGAAGGAGTCCAGTGAGGAACATATACGTGTGTGTGTGTGTGTGTGTGTGTGTGTGTGTGTGTGTGTGTGTGTGTGCATGTGCAGAGAAGAAAGTACCTCCTTGCGTCCACTCTCAGTACGGGCCAGCTCCTTGCGTAGCCCTTCCACCCGTCGAGCAGCAGCTTCCGTCTCCTCCAGTCGTTCCCGCAGCAGGCGTGAGTGCCGCAGCAACTGGGCCTGCAGCTCCCCACACTTGGCCTCGGCACTCTGCAGTTCTTCTGCCGTCTCCTGATGGCGCTCCTGCTCCTCTTGCAGCTCCCAAGCCTGAGCCTGTAGCTGCTCCTGCAACTCAGTCTGACCCTATCGTGAGAAGAAGTCACTATCAGCACTGGACCTGAATACTTGGCCATATAGCAAGCTCCCTCTGGGTTGCCAAGTGGGAAAACACACAGGAACGAGACACTGACAGAGCATTCACAGCCGTACACCAGGCTCCATCTGGGTTGCCAAGTGGTAAAACACACAGGAACGAGACACTGACAGAGCATTCACAGCCGTACACCAGGCTCCATCTGGGTTGCCAAGTTGTAAAACACACAGGAACGAGACACTGACAGAGCATTGATAGCCGTACAGCAGGTTTCATCTGGGTTGCCAAGTGGTAAAACACACAGGAACGAGACACTGACAGAGCATTGATAGCCGTACAGCAGGTTTCATCTGGGTTGCCAAGTGGTAAAACACACAGGAACGAGACACTGACAGAGCATTGATAGCCGTACACCAGGCTCCATCTGGGTTGCCAAGTGGTAAAACACACAGGAACGAGACACTGACAGAGCATTCACAGCCGTACACCAGGCTCCATCTGGGTTGCCAAGTGGTAAAACACACAGGAACGAGACACTGACAGAGCATTCACAGCCGTACACCAGGCTCCATCTGGGTTGCCAAGTGGTAAAACACACAGGAACGAGACACTGACAGAGCATTGATAGCCGTACAGCAGGTTTCATCTGGGTTGCCAAGCAGTGAAACACACAGGAATCAGGTGTCGACTGAGATTTTGGACCACCTTCTGCAGTCCCCCAGGGTAAGGAACAGCAGGATCAGGAGTCCAAATTGCATACAGATAAAAAATTGCACTCCATAATGTTGAACTTTGCCTTGCATCAAAACCACCTGGATTTGAGCCGTCCCATGTGATATGGACAATACTGAACCAAATTCACATTGGCCGTGGTAGATATGCAGACCCCATTATAAGTGGAGCAAAATACCATGACTGAATTGTGACCGCATGGCCAAAAAACCAAACTATCCAACATATACCATGTTTTCCCGAAAATAAGACCCTGTCTTATATTTTTTTTGAACCCTGAAATAAGTGCTTGGCCTTATTTTCAGGGAGGTCTTATTATTTTGGGGCGCGTGGAGCAAGAGCTACATAATAATATAATTATGAATAAGAGCTATTCTGGAACGAGCTACCCCCAGGAATACGACTGATCCCGGACCTCCGTACTTTCCGCCGAGCGTTGAAGACCTTCTTATTTCAGCAAGCCGGGCTGGCTTAAAATTTTAATGGGCTATTTTATGGGTAAAGGGTTTTAAAATTTAGGGAAGCCAAATTGATCTAATTCTGTTTTAATTTATTTTAATTTTTATACTGTATGTATTTTAATTTTGGCTGTTCACCGCCCTGAGTCCTTCGGGAGAAGGGCGGTATACAAATTTAATAAACCTAAACCTAAACTTAAGACAGGGCTCCTCTTGCCATCTTATTTGATTTCCAGCTCTGTCTCCCTAACCAGAGGAAATGGCGGGGACTGGCTGTGCATGCAGTTAAATATTTTTGGGGAGGGCTTATTTGAGCACATGTGCTCAAAAGCCTGATTGGGCTTATTATCAGAGGGTTTCTTATTTTTGGGGAAACAGGGTAGTATCAGAGTGCCAAAACAGAATCTATAATGGAAACCTTGCTGGTTTCCTGGCTGTGACAAATGAAGCAAAAATTATACTTGTAATTTAGATATACATTTATAATACTTTAAACATTATATGTCATATTTTGTATTTTTATCTTTTGTGTTTCTATCGAAATACGATGTGAATCCGCCATACGATAAATAAATGCACACAGTCATTCATTCCTTGGTCATCTCTCGGCTGGATTACTGCAGGGCGCTCTACCTGGGGCTACCCTTGAAGAGTATTCAGAAGCTACAACTAGTACAGAATGTAGTGGTTCGACAGTTGTGTAAATCCTTAAGGAGGTGCGCATAACACCGCTGTTGCGCAAGCTACATTGGTTGCCATTTTTTTTTTCTGGGTCCAATTCCCATGATTTTCGTTCTTATTTTTCTTAATGTTAACGGCTTTTAAATTTACCTGTTTACCATTTTGTAAGCTGCCCAGAACTGCTTTATCGGTGTGATGGGTGGCATATTAATGTAATAACTAAATAACTTACATTGCATTACATTTTAAGAAAAACAGAATCCACAGGATTCCTTGGAGGAAGCAGAGATTGGGATTCACCCCACCAGTTCTGAGTACATCGCCCATCGTGTTCAAGCTCAAAACCGGAGAGAAACAGGAATGTGATCTAGTCAGTTTCAAAATCCTGTCTAGACAGTTTCACGGTACTGATTAGCAAACTCAAGTGGCCAGTCCTGCTTACCAGAAAATGCATTTTTCTTTAGGCTGCTTTGAGTAAATGAAACGAATAGTTTATGCCTCGTTTGGTCCAACTTGACAACTTTTAGATGCTGGACTTCAACTCCCAGAATTCCCCAGCCAGCCATAATGGCTAGGGAATTCTGGATGTTGAAGCCCAGCGTCTTAAAGTTGACAAAATTGGTAAACCCTGATTTATGAGTGAAAGAATAATTGAAATGATGAAACGTGTTAGTCTATATTGCCCCTTTATGCTCATCAGGCATTATTATTTCGATTTGTTACTAAACGTCCCGATTTGTTTGATCTCAAGATCTTATTGCCAGATCAATCTGATTTCATTTCCTTGACTGCAGCCTGGGAAACCCCCTTGTGGGACCAAGGTTGCTTCGTATACCTGGAGCGCATCCTTGTTCTCCTGCTCCAGAAACATCACCCGGTCCTCCAACGCCTTCACCTGACCCAGTGCCATGCGATTGTGATACTGTTTCTGCATCTTGTCATTCTCCAGCTGATTTTCTGCCAGACGGAAGAGAGGGAGAGCGAGAGAGAAGGGAGAGAGAAAGGGAGGGGGAGAGGGAGGAAGGGAGAGAAAGAGAGAGAGGGAGAGAGAGAGAGGGAGGGAGAGAGAAAGGGGAGACAGAGAAAGGGAGAGAGAGAGGGACGGAGAGAAAGGGGAGAGAAAGAGAGAGGGAGGGAGGGGAGGGAGGGAGAGAGAGGGAGAAAGGGAGGGAGAGAGGGAGAGAAAGCGGGAGAGAGAGAGAGGGATGGGGAAAGGGGAGAGAGGGAGGGAGAGAGAAAGGGGAGACAGAGAAAGGGAGAGAGAGAGGGACGGAGAGAAAGGGGAGAGAAAGAGAGATGGAGGGAGGGGAGGGAGGGAGAGAGAGGGAGAAAGGGAGGGAGAGAGGGAGAGAAAGCGGGAGAGAGAGAGAGGGATGGGGAAAGGGGAGAGAGGGAGGGAGAGAGAAAGGGGAGACAGAGAAAGGGAGAGAGAGAGGGACGGAGAGAAAGGGGAGAGAAAGAGAGATGGAGGGAGGGGAGGGAGGGAGAGAGAGGGAGAAAGGGAGGGAGAGAGGGAGAGAAAGCGGGAGAGAGAGAGAGGGATGGGGAAAGGGGAGAGAGGGAGGGAGAGAGAGAGAGGGAGAGAGAATGAGAGAAAGGAGAAAGAGGGAGGGAAGGAAAGAGAAAGGGAGGGAGAGAAAGGGAGAGAGGGACAGAGAGAGAGGAATGGAGAAAGGGGAGAGAGGGAGAAAGGGGAGAGAGGGAGGGAGAGAGAGAATGAAAGGGAGGGAGAGAGAGGGAGAGAGGGAGAGAGAAAGGAGAAAGGGAGGGAAGGGAAGAGAAAGGGAGGGAGAGAAGGAGAGAGAGAGGGAGAGAAAGGAGACAGAGGGAGGGAGAGAGAGGGAGAGAGGGAGAGAAAGAGGGAGAGAGAGGGAGAGAGAGAAAGGAGAAAGAGAGAAAGGTAGGGAGAGAGAGAGAAAGAGGGAGAGAGGGAGTGGGGGAGAGAGAAAGGAGAAAGAGAGAAAGGTAGGGAGAGAGAGAGAAAGAGGGAGAGAGGGAATGGGGGAGAGAGACAGGGAGGGAGAGACAGGGAGAGAAAGAGGGAGAGAGAGAGAGGGAGGGAGGAAGAGAGGGGAGAGGAGGGAGGGAGAGAGACAGGGAGAGAGAGACAGGGAGAGAAAGAGAGAGGGAGAAAGGAGAGGAAGGGAGGGAGGGAGAGGGAGAGAGAAAGGAGAGAGAAAGAGGGAGAGAACCTTAATATCCTCTTTTCAATGGCCAACCTACACAGAACATGCAGGGCACAGGTAGTCCTCGACTTACAGGCATTTGCTTAGTGACCGTTTGAAGTTACGATGGCACCTAAAAAAAATGACTTACGATCCATGTTTCCATTTAAGACCATTGCCACATCTCTGTGGTCACATGATCAACATTTGGCCTCTCGACAACGTGGGATTGATCCCCTTTTGTGACCTTCTGTCATCGGGGGAAGCCAGATTCATTTAACAACCATGTTACCCACTTAACAATGGCAACGATTCACTTAACAACTGTGGGTAGAAAGGTCGTAAAATGGGTCGAAACTCACTGAACAATCGTCTTGCTTAGCAACGGGAAAATTTGGGCTCTATTGTGGTCGTAAGTCGAGGAGCACCTGTACTTGCATCAGACACCACGATGACGCAAGTGTGCAATTGTGTCCTTTGCGTGATGAGGCAGGCTCTGTCGTTGACATCATGGAGTTTTACCAACGTCCCCGCAACAACCGAGAGAATATTCAGCTATTTCTCGCACACAGATTAGAACAGAGGAAAATATCACAATTCCTGACACATTTCTCTAAAGTGATCTTAATGTTAAGATTGACTTTTGTTGACAACGATTGGAAAAACATTTGGAATAGACGAGTATATGTCAGTTAGAATTAAGGAGAATGGATATAAAGTGATATGGAGGTGGTATTTAACACCACGTAAACTAAATCAAATCGATGGTAAATATACAAATATATATTGGAAGTGCAAGAAAGAGGTTGGAACATATAAGCACATGTGGTGGGATTGTGATAGTGCACAAAAAATATGGGACATGGTGTTTAGAGAAATTAGAGCACCATTGAATGTAAATTTAGACATGTCACCGAGAACTGCATTATTGTTGCTGGTGGAACAACGGGATATAAATGAAACAAAAAAAAAAGAAATGATTGTAAATTTGATAATGGTGGCTAGATTATTGATGGCTAAATACTGGGGACAAAATTGGAATATTCAAAGAAATGAATGGTATCATGAAATTTAGAGCATGGCAACAAACGGTAAATTAACAACAGAAATTAAATTTTAAAAAAGGATGATTAAAACAAACAATTATAATGAAATGGAGGGGGGATTTTATAAAATTAGTGTTGATGGAAAGCAAAGGGAATAAACCTACTCAAGAATATATGCTGTTTTGGAGGGCATAAGGGCATATTCAGAATAGATTGTATATTTTTTAGCTGTTATAGAAGAAGAAATATAAGGGGGGGGAATGATCTCCGGGGGTGGGGGATGCACTGTATTATTCGATTTTTTTTTCTTTTTTGTATTTAGATGTGTATGTATGTGTTTGTATTGTTTGCATTACTTGTATTATAAATAAATTAAAAAATATTCCCCCCCAAAAATGGACTTTTGGTGAAACCAAAGCGACTTTTCTTGGCAATCATATAGAAGTGATTTGTAACTAACCTTTTTTTTTTTTTTCTTTTTAGGTCTCTTTTCAGCCTGAGATCTCTTGGTGGTCTCCCATCCAACCACTAACTTAATCAAATCCCTTTTTAATTGAATTTTAATTCATTTTTAATTCTCAGACTAGGCAAGGTTGATCAAAGGCTTGCCGTTTCATTGTTCCGGACAGTAAAACGATCCAGAAACAACAACTCCCTGCCAAAATTAATATTTTACAAGTACCTGTCAATTGCCTCTTCAAAGTAGCCACCTCATTTTGGAGACTTCGGATCTCCGCGTCCTTGGCCGAGGTCTTGGAAGGGGATCTCGCCAGAGAATCTGCGCAGGGCGAATGCAAGGAGAGGGTAAGAGATCTCCCGTGGATTTCTGGATCGCATTACTCACTCGATTCATTCCGGGGTTGGCAAGATGCCCTGAACCATAAGCAAACACGATGGGGTGGGGTGGCCCCACCCGCTAAGCGAGGCAAAATAAATCAAGCTTGACATGTTGTGCAAATGCAGTTCCTGCATCTTGGGCTCAAACCTGATTCAGTGGGTTGTGTAAATCCATTTAATGAAGAACCGAGGGAAATTCTTGTGAGTGGGTGGGGTGATTAAACTGACTCTGCACTCTTTCTATGCTTAGCTTTCTCATTCTCACGTCACCTGATCCCAAATTACCTTGCCTCCAATGTAGGTAGCCCATAAGGCTAGGAAAGCTTGATTGGGGGAAGGGGGGCTGGACTAGTAGACCTCGAAGGCCCCTTTTCCGCCACCGCTTCTAAGGAATCCTTCTTCCTCTCCGCAGAGTTACCTACCTTGCAGTTTCCGACTCAATTCCAGTTTCTCCCGTTCCAGCTGACGGATCCTTTTCTCGAGCCGGCTGATGCTGGAGCTGGTAGGGGGGGACACCGGAGGTCTCTCGGGGAAGGGTCTGTCGGGGGACAGGGACACGGAGCTCAGAACCGATTCTGGATCAATAGGAATCAGTCTGCACCAAAGGGCTTTCTGAAAAGCAGGAAGGGGCACACGGGTGGGAAATCCATGGTCTCGGGAGGGACGGCGTACACTCCTTCATGAGCACTCGTGGTCCTGCTCATTGCAGTTAAGGTTTCCTAAAAAATAATGCAGCTCTGAGGTTTCCCGTTAATTTAACAGATGAACAGAGTTGGAAGGGACCTTGGAGGTCATCTAGTCCAACCCCCCCTGCCCAAGCAGGAGACCCTACGCCATTTCTGACCGATGGCAGTCCAGTCTCTTCTTGAAAGCCTCCAGTGATGAAGCTCCCACAACTTCCAAAGGCAACTTCTGTTCCATGGGTCGATGGTTCTCACTGTCAGAAAATTCCTCCTTATTTCTAGGTTGAATCTCTTGTTGATCAGTTTCCATCCATTCTTCCTTGTCTGGCCTTCCGGTGCTTTGGAAAATAGCTTGGCCCCCTTCCTCCTCTCTGGGGCAGCCCCTCAAATACTGGAAGATGCTCTCCTGTCTCCCCTGGTCCTTCTCTTCCCTAGACTAGACATAACTCAGTTCCTGCAACCGTTCTTTGTATGTTTTAGCCTCCAGTCCCCTCATCATCCTGGTTGCTCTTCTCTGCACTCTTTCTAGGTGTTGGTTATTCCTGCCAGCTTAGTATCATCCACAAATTTGATGAGTTCCCCTTCTACTCCCTCATCTAAGTTGTTTATGAAGATATTGAAGAGTACTGGGCCTAAGACAGAATCTTGTGGTACCCAGGTGCTTACTTCCCTCCATGTAGACGTAGACCCATTAAGGACTACTCGTTGAGTACAGTTTGTCAGCCAGTTACGAATCCATCTGGTGGTGAAGCTATTTTATCCCACTTTTTTCTAGCTTACCAAGAAGTAGATTGTGGTCTACTTAGTTGAATGCCTTTGCTGAAGTCTAAGTATATTATGTCCACAGTATTTCGCTGGTCTACTAATTCAGTCACTATGTCAAAGAATAAAATAAGATTGGTTTGGCATGATCTGTTTTTAACAAACCCCTGCTGGCTGCTAGTGATTACTTCACTCGTTTTTAGATGTTGGCAGATCTGGTTTTTTATTATCTTTTCCAGTACCTTCCCGTGAATTCATTCAGTAAAACTTATTTGCTGGGAAACAGACTAAGCCGGTCCGGTGCCTGCAATTTGCAAACTCCAGCAAAAAAAAAAAAGGGGTGGGGGTGGGGGAATCACAATATTGTGTTGTAATACACGTAGTCCTCAACGTATAACCACAATCGAGCCCCAAATTCTGTGGCTAAGTGAGTTTTGTACAACAGTTGTTAAGTGAATCACTCTGACTCACACGGTTGTTAAGTGAACCTGGCTTCACTTAACAACCGTGGACCCCGGGACACTGCGACCATCGTAAACATGAGTCAGCTGTTAAACTGACTCAAATTTTGATCACGTGACCACAGGGTGCTGAAATGGTCGTTAAATGTGAAAAATGGTCATAAGTCACTTTTTTCTGTGATGTTGTAGCTTCGAACATTGTAAATTGAGGATTGTCTGTCTTCACAATTCAGAGACCCTCCATGAAGTGGGGAGAATGTTCACCAGCCCCGACTAACACTTTGAACTTCTTTTTAATACATGCACGGTTGTCTGCAAAAATCAAAATTATGGAAAGCCTCAGAAATTCCCAACAGATTGAAAGACCAAATCACCCCGCCAAGCAGAAAGTTGATGGCTGCAGCAGCTCCCTATTGGCCGGCTGACAGCAGTTTTTGAGATAGACTGCTCCTGAAGCTGGAGGCGCCACGCTGCCCAGAGCACCAGAAAGGAACAGTCGAGCGGGAACGAAGATGCAAATCAAAGCAACGCCACCGTACTCACATCCCGGAGGTGTAGGTGAATCCGACGAAGGGGAGGTGGTGGGCCGAGAATGAGGCGTGGGAGATCGGCGGGAGCGTCTCCTAAAAAAATCAGGATTGGAGGAAGAAGATCAGGGATCATTTTTCCTCCCCAAATGCCCACAACCCTCCTGGATACGCAAGCAAGGACAGAAGGGGTCGTGAAGGGCTGGATGTCGCTATCTTGCAGGGGGTTCCTTGAAGGGTCTGTGTCAGTGGTGAAATGTAAAATTTGTTATTACCGGTTCTGTGGGCGTGGCTTGGTGGTGGTGGGGTTAATGTGACTGGGTGGGCGTGGCCAACTTTTTTCTTTTTTTTTTACTTTAAAAGCATTTTTTCTACAACCTCAAGAGATCGCAGAAAAAATGCTTTTAAAAGCCTCTGATGATCAGGCAACTCAATTGGGATCGTCAGAGGCTTTTAAAAGCATTTTTTCTACAACCTCTTCGGCTGAAGAAGTTGTAGAAAAAATGCTTTTAAAAGCCTCTGACGATCCCAGCTGAGCCGCGCGATCATCAGAGGCTTTTTAAAAAAAATTTAAAAGCATTCTTTAGGCCGAAGAGGTTGTAGAAAAAATGCTTTTAAATTTTTTTTAAAAAAGCCTCTGATGATTGTGCGGCTCAGCTGGGCACGGTGGGGCAGGGATTTTTGCTACTGGTTCTCCGAACCAACCGAAGCCATCGCTACTGGATTGGGCGATCCGGTCCGAACCGGGAGCATTTTACCCCTGATTAAAATACAAAAATTGTTAAATGAAATTACACATTGCCCAATAGAATTGAAGCCTGAACTGTTTCTTCTGGGGATCATTAAAGAAAAATACTCTAAAAAGATTAAATATTTGATCATTCATATTACTACAGCAGCGAGAATTGTACTCGCACAAGCCTGGAAAATGTCCACTACACCGACAGATGGTGTAAAAATCCGGAAAATTTTTGAATGTGCAGAAATGGACAAACTTACTATAGCATTAAATAATAAGGAAGACTTGGAATATTATTCAGCTTGGGAAAACTGGTATCAATGGATAGAAAATAAAAATAGGAAATATATAGATCAAAATAAGACATCAATTGTGTTTACATATATTTGATCAAGAAGGAATATCTGAGAATATAGGAATAGAGTTAAGTTTTTGTGTACTGTTAGAACGACGTTGGATTGTGCAACTACCATGGACCTATTTTTGTTACAGATGTATTTGCATTTTAATATTTTAAATTTTAATAAAGGTTTTTTGAAAATTAAAAAATAAATAAACAAACAGAGGAGCCCTTTCCCTGTTGCACAGCCACACATACACATACAGTCAGTAACATGGCCGCCCAATGATCTGGGGGAGACTCTAAGATAGGGTTTCCCAACCTTGAGCACTTTAAGGTAGGTGGACTTCAACTCCCAGAATTCCCCAGCCAGCTTAGTTAGTCGGGACTTAGCTGGCTGGGGAATTCTGGGAGTTGAAGTCCACGCGCCTTGAAGTGCTCAAGGTTGGGAAACCCTAAGCCCGTGATGGCGAACTGATGGCATGGGTGCCACAGGTGGCACGCAGAGCCATATTGGCGGGCACACGAGCATTGCCCTAGCACAGCTGCAGTGCGCATGTACTCGCCGGCCAGCTGATTTTCGGGCCTTCCGGCTTCTGGAGGGCCTCCAGGGGGGTGGTGAGGAAGGCCCGTTTTTTCCTCCCCCTAGGCTCCAAAGGCTTTCTAGGAGCCTGGGGAGAGTGAAAACGGCCTTCCCCACCACCCCCCGAGGCCGGAAACGGCCCGGGGCACATTGAATTATGGGTGTGGACACACGCGCGCACGAGCCCCTCACACTCCCTCTGTTTTTGGCACACGACGGCAAAAAGGTTAGCCATCACTGCCCTAAACTCTAAGAGATAAATGTTCTGCATTTTTTTTTCAAAATATTCAGTTGCTCCTGCTTTTTGACCTTGCAAAATGACTTAAAAAGTCATCGGTGTGTGCAGCCAGCTAGAATGAAGCTTAAACAACGGCCCCCCGCAGGATAATATCATCCTGCATTTATGTATTGGTGTAACCGACATTGGTGCAGGCACTCATGTCCTAGTATTTGCACAGTGTTCGTGCCACTACTTCCATTTTATCCTACGCCTCCTTGCAGGGGCCACTACAATAATCCTCGATTTACAAAGTTACGGTGGACCTCCCCAGGGGTTCTTAAACCCGGATTTGAACTTCCACTGGCCTCCCCCAATAATGTGATCGCATTTGGGGCTTTGGCGTTGATAGCTATTTGCAGCATCCCACCATCATGTCATCACAATTTGCAACATTTTTTTGTCGGAAACTGGGGGTTACTTCCAGTTTCTAGCAAAAAGCATCCACTGTGGACAAGGGATTCTGCCTACTTCCCTGACAGCTCTGTTCTTTTTACTTTCTACAGAGGCACGATGGAGAGCGTTTTAAACAAACTGCATCCCTGTTTGGTTTGGTGGCTGCAGTGCCTCAGATAGAAAGTCCCTACAGAGAGTGGTGAGGACAGTGGAGAAGATCATATGAAGCTCACTTCCCGTTATTCAAGATACTACTTATAAGCGCTATGTGCTTAGAGCTCGAAGCATTGTTAGAGACCCCACACATCCACTCCACGTTTTGTTTCTGTTGCTCCCCTCTGAGAGGAGGTTTCGAAGGATTTCTAGCAGGACTACCAGATTCTGTAACAGCTTTGCTCCTTATGCCATTGATCTTGTAAACTCACAAGATTCGTTTCTCTCGGCATGTACATGTAAACATCCAAACTAGACTGTGTTGTTTCTCTGTGTCATATAATATATGTGGGTATATACATAATTTTGTATTTATTTATACATCTTGTCATGTTTATGTAGTGTATATTAGAGGTGGTGACACTTTGAGTGCTCTATGCAACGAAATTTCATTTTAATGTATGCCAATTAGTGTACATTCAAAGTGACAATAAAGTTATTATTCTACTCCACTCCATTCTATTCTGAATTCTATTCTATTCAATTCTATTGAATTCTATTCTAAATTGTAAATTCTATATTTCTATTCTATTCTAAATTGTAAATTCTTTATTTCTATTCTATATTCTATATTCTATATTCTATATTCTATATTCTATATTCTATATTCTATATTCTATATTCTATATTCTATATTCTATATTCTATATTCTATATTCTATTCCATTCCATTCCATTCTTCTCTTCTCTTCCCTATTCTGTTCTGTTCTGTTCTGTTCTAGTCTAATCCTATGGTGGTGCACTGGTCAGAATGCAGGATTGCAGGCTAATTCTGCTGACTGCCATCAGTTCAATCCTGACCAGCTCAAGGTTGACTCAGCCTTCTGTCCTTCCCAGGTCAGTAAAATGAGGACCCAGATAGTTGGGGGCAAGAGGCTGACTCTGTAAACCGCTTAGAGAGGGCTGGAAAGCATTATGAAGCTGTATATAAGTCTAAGAGCTACTGCTATGTTACTAACGTTAACAATTGCAGCGATTCACTTAACAACCGTGGCAAGAAAGGTTGTAAAATGGGGCAAAATTCACTTAACAACTGTCTTGCTTAGCAACAGAAATGTTGGGCTCAATTGTGGTCGTACGTTGAGGACTAACTGCACGGCATCCCGCTTAGCGAGCAACATAATTTACCAGCATAATTCTGGGCTCGATTATGGTCCTAAACGGAGGACTATTCGTTATTGAAGGGTCCATGTGAATGTTTTGTTTTTCTAGCAGCAACCTCCCCTCCCCACCCGGTGACTCCCTACTTTCCCATTCACTCCCAAAGGGGTGGCATGGATGATGTCCTAAGTCATAAGTCAAGGACTACCTGGGTTTGAGAGCTGGATGCGACGAAATTTCATTTTAACGTATGCCAATTAACATACATTCAAAATGACAATAATAAAGTTATTCTGAGTTTAAGTCTAAAGTGTAAGCAAATAAAGGACTGGATTAGACTGGATTTCAGTGGCATCTTTGGGTTTAGGTCTGACCACATGTGGAGCCTGCAACCGAGGCAGTGGCACCAAGCGTGGCTTGCCAGCCTGCCGTGGCATCTCAGGTTTCTATCAGCCCTCAAATTTGGCCACCCGCACCCCTTTCTTGGGCAGGGAGGTCAGGGTCTGCTTGGCAACTGCTGGGGTTCCTGCCCATCTCATACGCGCCCCCTCCCAGCAGCCTGGCATGGGCCCTTGGCATCCGCACTCATTCGCAAGCACCGTCACGGATCGTTACCGCTTCTTTGAGGGTGTCGTCGTCGACATCGAAGTTGGAGGTGTCGGCCGGACTGGCCACCTCGGGGACCAAGGGGGGAGGACTCTTGCGGAGGTCCTCCCAGGCGATGCCCTCGAAGAAGGGGTGGCGCGTGAAGTCCTCGATGCCCTTCTGGCCCAGACGGACTTCTTGGCGGCACAAGAGTTCGCGGATCAGGTCCTTGGCGCTCTCCGAGACGTCGGTGATATCCGTGGGGAACTGCAGGTGGTCCTGGAAGAGGAAACAGAAGGGGGGATGCAACGGGGTCTCCGACATCTCAGGGGGTCTATCTGCTACCCTTGGGCAGCTAGTATCGATAGGGGGCGCTGTGCTCCACCAAGGACTCCAGAAACCAAAATTCCTGGACTAATTGGGATCATGAAAGCAACAGATCAGGGTTTAAGCACGGTAACTGAGATCGTGAAAGCAACAGATCGGGGTTTAAGCAAGGTAGCCGAGATCGTGAAAGCAACAGATCGGGGTTTAAGCAAGGTAACCGAGATCGTGAAAGCAACAGATCGGGGTTTAAGCAAGGTAATCGAGATCGTGAAAGCAACAGATCGGGGTTTAAGCAAGGTAGCCGAGATCGTGAAAGCAACAGATCGGGGTTTAAGCAAGGTAACCAAGATCGTGAACGAGATCGTGAAAGCAACAGATCGGGGTTTAAGCAAGGTAGTCGAGATCGTGAAAGCAACAGATCGGGGTTTAAGCAAGGTAATCGAGATCGTGAAAGCAACAGATTGGGGTTTAAGCAAGATAACCGAGATCGTGAAAGCAACAGATCGGGATTTAAGCAAGGTAACCGAGATCATGAAAGCAACAGATCGGGGTTTAAGCAAGGTAGCCGAGATCATGAAAGCAACAGATCGGGGTTTAAGCAAGGTAGCCGAGATCGTGAAAGCAACAGATCAGGGTTTAAGCAAGGTAACCGAGATCGTGAAAGCAACAGATTGGGGTTTAAGCAAAGTAATCGAGATCGTAAAAGCAACAGATCGGGGTTTAAGCAAGGGCAAGAGGAAAGTTGCACACCTGCTAGAATTCACCCTGCATTAATAGAATTAAAATGGCAAGCTCACCCTCCAAGAATGGACTACAGTTAGTCCTCGACTTACAATCATTCGTTTAGTGACCATTCAAAGTTGCAACAGCCTTAAAAAAACTGAATTTATGAACGTTTTTCACACTTACGACCGTTGCAGCATCTCCATGGGTCATGTGATTGCAATTCAGATGCTTGGCAACTGAATCATAGTTATGACAGTTGCTGTGGTCCTCCTGGGGTCACGGAATCCCCTTTTGTGACCTTCTGGCCAGCAAAACCACGGGGGTAGCTGGACTCACTTAACGACCTTGTTACCAAAGTAACAACGGCAGTGATTCACTGAACAGCTGAGCAAGGAAGGTCGTAAAACGGGGCAAAAACTTCACTTCACAGCTGTCTCGCTCAGCAACGGACATTTTGGGCTGAATGGTGGCCATACGTTTGTGCCACTACTGGACGCAGGACAAAGGCCGTGCAGTGGGATCATTTGAGGTGACTCGTGAAAAGCGAGCCAAGCTGTGTTGGGAAGGGAAGTGGGAGCGCTCACACCCAAGGCTGGCAGCCAATTTGACTCAGGGAGGGAGTTGCCTGAATTTTTGCCCAAGGCAAAAAAGTGCGGTCCATCAGCTACTGAACGAGTGCAAAATCTAGCTGCTGAGCCCGACAAATGGAAGATGTACGAAGGGACCTTGGAGGTCTTCTAGTCCAGCCCCCTGCTCAAGCAGGAGATCCTATAGCATTTCAGACAAGTGGCTGTCCAGTCTCTTCTTAAAAACCTCCAGGGATGGAACACTCACAACTTCTGGTGGCAAGCAGTTCCACTGGTTAATTCTCACTGTTAGGAAGTTTCTCCTGAATTCCAGGTTGCTTCTCTCCTTGATTGGTTTCCCTCTATTGTTTCTTGTCCTGCCTTCTGGTGCTTTGGAGAATAATTTGACCCCCTCCTCCTCTTTGGGGGAAGCCCCTCCAATACGGGAAGACTGCTATCATGTCACCCCTAATTCTTCTTTTCTTTAGACTAGCCAGACCCAAATCCTGCAGCCGTTCTTCCTATATTTTAATCTCCGGGCCTTTTAATCCTCTTAGTTGCCTTTCTCTGCACTTTTTCCAAAATCCCAACCTCTTTTTTGTAATGCGGGGACCAAAACTAGATGCAGAATTTCAGATGTGGCCATACCAAGGTTTTATAAAATTTTATACTAATACTTCACGTGATTCTATGCCTCTATTTATACAACCAAGGATTGTATTAGGTTTTTTTTAGCTGCTGCTGCACACGGCTGGCTCATGTTTAAGGGCTCATGTTGTGGGAGTCTCATCCCTGGAGGCTTTCCAAGAAGACACTGGACTGCCACCTGTCAGAAATGGTGTAGGGTCTCCTGCTTGGAAGAGGGGTTGGACTAGATGACCTACAAGGTCCCTTTCCGACTCTGTTAATCTGTAAAGAACAGAATTTGCCTCAGAAGTTGTGGGAGCTTTATCACTGGAGGCTTTCCAAGAAGACATTGGACTGCCACCTGTCAGAAATGGTGTAGGGTCTCCTGCTTGGAAGAGGGGTTGGACTAGATGACCTACAAGGTCCCTTTCCGACTCTGTTAATCTGTAAAGAACAGAATTTGCCTCAGAAGTTGTGGGAGCTTCATCACTGGAGGCTTTCCAAGAAGACATTGGACTGCCACCTGTCAGAAATGGTGTAGGATTTCCTGCTTGGGTGGGGGGTTGGACTAGATGACCTACAAGGTCCCTTTCCGACTCTGTTAATCTGTTATAATCTGTCTGTCTGACTCCAAGGTCCCTCTCACTGTTTCAGAGCCAGGTCTCGCCTAATCTGTACTTAGTACCTTTGTTTTTTTTCCCTGCCTAAATGTAGAAAATTTGCTTTTCTCCCCATTAAATTTCATTTTGTTGGATAAGGCCCCATTGTTCAAGTCTGTCCTAAGAATAAAAACTTTATTACGGTCCTCGACCAGCAATAGACATACAATAAATTAAAAATAATACTGACATCAATCTTGAATAATAACATCCCTGTTATGAAATACATGATCTCAAACGGTTAGGGTCACTCCCTAATTGACATGCGTGGAAAGCCGATAAAAATGTGAGTAAATTTTTCCAATATTTTTTTAAATTGGAGTATTTTTCCAATAATTGTTATAGACATCTCCAAAAAATTGGCACCGGTTCTGCAACCAATTTTTTTTTTTTTTTTTGTGGACATTTCAAGTCTGTCAAGATCTTTTGGATCCTGAGTTTATCTTCTGGGGTGTTGGCTGTTCCTTGAAACCAATTGCGAACCAGTGTTTGGCAATCATGTCTGCATAAGCACTTGCAAACAAGTAAATACAGGTAGCCTCGACTTACAACGGTTCATTTGGTGACCGTTTGAAGGCACTGAAAAAAAAAATGACTCATAACTGTTTTTCAAACTTACGACTGTTGCAGCATCCCTTATGGCATGTGTGATCAAAATTCAGAGTCTCGGCAACTGACTCGTATTTTACGACAGTCGCAGTGTCCTGGGATCGTGTTGATCCTCTTTTGCGACCTTTCTGACAAGCCAAGTCAGTGGGGGAAGCCAGATTCGCTTAGCAACCGTGTTACTAACTTAACAGCTTCAGCGCTTCACTTAACAACAGTGGCAAGGAAGGTCGTAAAAATGGGGGCACAATCGCTTCACAACTGTCTCGCTTAGCTGTCAGTGATTTTCACTGGGATCCCAGTGATGGGATTCAGCCGGCTCGGGTGAATCGGTAGTTAAATTTCTGGCTGGCCCCGCCCTGCCCCTTCTAGGACTCCCCACGAGCCCCATTTTGGCTCCCAGGTAAAATGGAGTCAGGAAGGCCTACTAGGCCCAAAATGGGGCATGTGGGAGGGGGGACGGCGTGTCCCCCCCCATGGCCAGTTTTTGCTCCCAGGGGGGTGCAGGAGGCCGAGGGCTGCCTGTCACACCACCATGGCCACGCCCATTAGGGCAGAGAACTGGTTGTTAAATTATTGTTAAATTATTTGAATCCCACCACTGGCTCCATTGTGGTCGTAAGTCGAGGACCACCTGTAAAACGTTTTTAAAAAACCATTCTCTCTAAGATAAACTGCCTTCATTTGCCTCCTGCGGCCTTCCTCACCTACGGTGCCCGCGTGACTCACCTCGTGGTTCATGATCTTGCCGTACGTCTCCACCAGGGATTCGGCGTAGAAAGGGGTTTCCCCGAAAAGCAGCTCGTACATGCAGACCCCCAGAGACCACCAGTCACACTCGGGGCCGTATTTGCCCTTGCGGTCCTCCATGGCTTGCAGGATCTCTGGGGAGATATAATCGGGGGTGCCCACCGCCACCGACGACTCCACCTGGGAGAGCAGTATAGAATAGAATCACAGAGTTGGAAGGGACCTTGGAGGTCTTCTAGTCCAACCCTCTTCTTATGCAGGAATCTCTACATTGCTTCAGACAAATAGTTACCCAACATCTTCTTTAAAACTTCCAGTGTTGGAGCATTTACAATTTCTGGAGGCAAGTTGTTCTACAGGTTAATTGTTCTAACTATCAGGAAATTTTCTCCTTAGTTCTAAATTGCTTCTCTCCTTGATTAGTTTCCACCCATTGCTTCTTCTTCTACCCTCAGGTGCTTTGGAGAATAGCTTGACTCCCTCTTCTTTGGGGCAGCCCCTGAGATACTGGAAGACTGCTCTCATGTCTCCCCTGGTCCTTCTTTTCATTAAACTAGGCCTACCCAGTTCCTGCAATTTTTCTTCATATGTTTTGACCTCCAGCTCCCTAATCATCTTTGTTGCTCTTCTCTGCACTCTTTCCAGAGTCTCCACATCTTTTTTACATCAAGGGGGGAGAGGGAGGGGGAGGGGGGAGGAAAGAAAACAGAGCCCGAGTTCAGATTCTGCCACCTTTCAAATTTATCCTTTGGATTAAGATCTAAAGAGCCTTTTAGATCCGTGTTTTTCAAACTCGGCAACTTTTGGAAGGGTGGACTTCAACTCCCAGAATTCCCCAGCCAGCATGGGATTCTGGGAGTTGAGGTCCACGTATCTTAAAGGTGCCAAGGTTGAAAAAAATGTTGCTTTATACCGGGGTGGGCAAATGTGGCTCTTTTACAACCTGTGGACTTCAACTCCCAGAATTCTGAGACAGCTGTCTCAGGAATTCTGGGAGTTGAAGTCCACAGGTTGTAAAAGAGCCACATTTGCCCACCCCTGCTTTATACAAATGCTTATTTATTTGCAGCATACCTGATGCCCTCTGTGGAAGTCTACGTAAGGCTTGATGACATCATCACGTGGTATCATTTGACACACAAGCATACTCCGTGTTGTGTCTCTCCTTCTACAGTAGACCCCTACTGTTAGAGAGTGTTTTTGGCTAGTTTTCAGAATCGGCTTAACTCTGAACCTGGTTTAACTCTAACACTGTCTTAGCCTCTAAACCTGGTTTAGCTCTAAGCCCAGTTTAGCTCTAAACTTGGCTTGGCTCTAAACCTGGCTTAATTCTGAACCTGGCTTAACTCTAAGGGTAGAGTTGAGAATTTTGTGCAATATCTGCATGATAAAATTGCTCAGATTCAGGATGGCCTGGACTCCGATTGGGTAGCCTCGGATGGGATGATAGGGTGGATCTTGAGAGTGTTATCTGGGAGGAGTTTGACCCTGTAGCTCCCGAGGACGTGGACAGGATTTTGGGGAGGCTTAACGCTACCACATGTTTATTGGACCCGTGTCCCTCCTGGTTGGTGCTGGCCTCCCGGGAAGTTACACGAGGCTGGCTCCAGGGGATTATAACTGCTTCTCTGAGTGAGGGTGCCTTTCCCGCTGCCTTGAAAGAGGCGGTGGTGAGGCCCCTCCTCAAGAAGCCTTCCCTGGACCCGGCTGTATTAGCTAATTACCGTCCGGTCTCCAACCTTCGCTTTGTGGCGAAGGTTGTTGAGAGTGTGGTGGCGAGACAGCTTCCTCGGTTCCTGGATGAAGCCATCTATCTAGATCCATGCCAGTTGGGCTTCAGGGCGGGATATGGCACGGAAACGGCATTGATTGCATTGGTTGATGATCTTTGGAGGGCTCGTTGGGATTGTTCCTCAGTCCTGGTCCTCCTCGATCTCTCAGCGGCTTTTGATACCATCGATCATGGTATCATGCTGCATCGGTTGGGGGGACTGGGAGTGGGAGGCACCGTGCTTTGGTGGTTCTCCTCCTTCCTCTCTGACCGTTCACAGTTTGTGTTGGCAGGGGGGCAGAGGTCGACCTCGAGGCACCTTACTTGTGGGGTGCCGCAGGGGTCAGTCCTCTTGCCCCTCCTGTTCAACATTTATGTGAAGCCGCTGGGCGAGATCATCCGTGGTTTTGGGGTGAAGTGTCAACTGTATGCAGATTACACACAGCTGTACATTTCTACCCCAGACCACCCCAATGATGCCCTTGACATGATATCCCGTTGCCTGGAGGCCGTGCGGATCTGGATGGGAAGGAACAGGCTCAGACTCAACCCCTCCAAGACCGAGTGGCTGTGGTTTCTGGCGCCCTGATATAGCCAACTGATACCATCGCTGGCTATTGGGGAGGAGATCTTGTCCCCCTCAGAGAGGGTTCGCAACCTGGGCATCCTCCTGGATACGTGGCTGTCTTTAGACAATCATATGACGGCCGTGGCCAGGGGGGCTTTCTATCAGGTTCGCCTGATTTCCCAGTTGCGTCTCTTTCTGGATCGGGATGCCTTACGCATGGTCACTCATGCCCTTCTCACTTCCCGTCTGGACTACTGTAACGCTCTCTACATGGAGCTCCCCTTGAGGAGCACCCGGAGGCTCCAACTGGTCCAGAATGTAGCCGCGCGAGTGGTTAGGGAAGCGACTCGTCGCTCCCGGGTAACACCTCTCTTGCGCGAGCTGCACTGGTTCCCAGTGGTCTTCCGGGTGCGTTTCAAGGTGCTAGTCACCATCTTCAAAGCGCTCCATGGCTTAGGACCAGGATACCTACAGGACCGCCTTCTACCACCGAATGCCTCCCACCGTCCGATACGCTCTCACAGAGAGGGCCTCCTCAGGGTGCCATCGGCCAAGCAATGTCGGCTGGCGACCCCCAGGGGGAGAGCCTTCTCTGTGGGGGCTCCTGTCCTATGGGATGAGCTGCCCCGGATATAAGAAGGATCCCCGACCTCCGCACCTTCCGTCGTGCTCTGAAGACTCTATTGTTCAATCAAGCCGGCCTGACCAAATAAATTAATTTTAATGGGTTTTAATTGGTTTTAAAGGGGTTTTAGCTAAGGGTTTTAATAACGGCCAAATTGCTTTAATTTATTTTAACGGTTTTTAATTTTTGTGATGGGTTTGTTTTAATATGGCTGTACACCGCCCTGAGTCCTTTGGGAGAAGGGTGGTATAGAAATGTAATAAAATTTAAAAATCTAAAATCTAAAAAATCTAAACCTGGCTTAACTCTAAACCTGGTTTAGCTCTAAACCTGGCTTAATTCTAAACTTGGGTGCGCTCTAAACTTGGTCTTAGTTTAACAAAACGTGCCATGTGCAACTAAACAGACCATCTTCAGGAAATGAACTGGTTCCCACCAAAGCTGGTGCCTACGATATACTGGCAAAGACCCTAGTTCACTGCCGGGGGGGGCCTGTCTACACCATCCAGGCCAGCCTTCCCCAATCAGTCCTGGACGCCGATCCCCATCAGACCCCAGGCCAAGCTCACCGTGCCGTCCGGAGCCAGGCGAAGGCAGGACCCAAAGTCCGCCAGGCGGATGTGCCCACTGGTGTCAATCAGAATATTGTCCGGCTTGATGTCCCTGTGGAGGGAAGGGCCCCCATTGGTAAGTGGTGGGACCTCAGAAAAGCAGAAAGGTTGGGGGACTGTGGGGCTCTCAGGGAAGGACCAGGTGGCCAACCCCTCAAACATGGGGAGGGTTGACTTTTAGAGCCACGGTAGTGCAGTGGTTAGAGTTCAGTATTGCAGGTTGACTCTGCCGACTGCCAGGAGTTCGATCCTCACCGGCTCAAGGTTGACTCAACCTTCCATCCTTCCCAGGTCGGTAAAATCCTTGCAATTATCGCAAGGAACTGATAAGGTCTGTTGCTGCAGTTAACTCCTTGAAGGACTCTTGCCTGGACTTTTCGGTGGGTGAACACCATTAATTCACAAGAGGTAAATAAAGAGGGATTTTTCATGACAAGGAGTCTGTTTCTTGTTTCTTCTGAGGCTGGGTCAGAACAGGAAGGTTGAGTCAACCTTGAGGCTGGTGAGATTTGAACTGCCAAACTGCAGTCAGCCGGCAGTCAGCAGAAGTAGCCTGCAGTACCGCAGTCTAACCACTGCACCACTGTGGCTCAAAATAATAATAATAATAATAACTATTGTATAATAATTGTATAATATTGTATAATAATTGTATAATAATGTATAATAATAATAATTATTGTAAGTCAAGGACAACCCACAAAGTGCAATTGTGCCATCATAAGTCGCTTTGTGGCTTTCTGACCCACCCCAGGGACCCCCCCAGTCCACGGCCAACGTTAACAGAAGGAAAAAGCAAGAGACGTACCTGTGCACATACTGGAGCTGATGGAGGGAATGGATGGCCAGGACCATCTCGGCCAGGTAGAAGCAGGCCAAGTCTTCCGGCAGCCGATCCTCAAACTTGCTCAGCAGGGTGAGTAGGTCTCCTCCGGCGTAATAATCCATCACCAGGTACTGTCAAAAGAACCGCCAACCTCTAGCATCCCTTCCCAACCTGCGTTCTGCAGGTGGGGACTTCGACTCCCAGAATTCCCCCCGGCAGTGAGGTTGTTTGCTGAGAATTCTGGGAGCTGAAGTTCACACCTTCTCTGCGGTTGGGGAAGGTGAAGTGAACACACCTGAGTGGCCCATAACCCGTTTCCTCCCTGAATTTCAGATGATGGCGGCTTCTGAGAATGTTTTGGGTGCAAAATCTCACTTGGTGGAGACGGCAAAGCCCAGCATCCTCAGCCCACAGAATTGTGGGACAATATTTGCACACGGCTCAGAGTGTGGAATTGTGCTCTCAATCTGGGTAGCTTTAAGACGGGTGGACTTCAACTCCCAGAATTCCCCAGCCAGGACAGCGCAGAATTCTGGGAGTTGAAGTCCATCCATCAGCACAGCTGGCTGGGGAATTCTGGGAGTTGAAGTCCACCCATTTTTATAGCTGCCCAGATTGAGGAAAAACTGGTGAGGAAAATCAGCCACTGCCAATCTCTTGTTTTTACCTCAGGTTTACCTTGTTACCTCAGGCTGCATTTAGAAACCAAAAGCTAGTGGCCTTTTCAGGTTTCTAGTCCACTGTGAGGAAAGATGATACGAATCCATTTTGCTGAGTCAGGTGGCGTTCAATCATTACTAGATTTACTGACACTACGTTCTTGCAAAGACAGATCACATTTTGGGGAGCAGGGCATCGAGAAAAGCCAGCACCTCCTTTTTTTTTTTAGAAAACTGAATGCTAGCATTGGGCAGTCACGATCGGTGGGCAGAGAGGTGACAGGTGAATTTTCTGAAATTTTGCAAAGAAATGACAGTTTTTCCATCCCTTTTAGCAACATCTGAACCCAGCACCACAGATGCTCCTGATTGGTAGGGTCGGGCTTCAGAGAGGACCATACCACGGAAGAGAAAACATTCACCCTCATATTCCGTCACGTGCAGACACGCGTCACACCCCCTCATTCACACGTAACCTCATAGCTAAATCTCCATGCTTGCAAAATGCAAGCAACTGGCTGAGTGCACCTTCCCCCCACCCTCTAATTTTTTATTTGATTCAAAAAAGATTAAAATGCAAAACCCCAAAGAAAGAAAAAAAAAAACATTTAACAAAGACAAAACAAAACTGGACAAGAACATTAAAAAATGTGAATTAGAAAAGACAAAAAAACCCAACCCCAAAATCCTTATAAACCCTCCTAGTGGAACCTTAACAAATCTATTGCCACAATTATAGCTCCCTCCCTCCTTCCAAAGCAGGTTCAAAATTTTACAAGCTTCTACCTCTGTTGGCGCCCGATTTTCTCGATTCACACAACACGCACACAAAACCTGTGACTTGGTACCCTGGCTGGGTTTAGCATGTCATGTGAATGGAGGAAATCAGGTTTGCAAAGCTAGCAACCGATTCGGAGGCAAAAATGGGGCCAGCAGCCATTGCACAAAACCCTTTTCTCTCTTCGCTTCGTCCCCATGCTCCACCCAAGAGACGGAAACCACCATTGCCAGTTCCCAACAGACTGACATCCGAGAGGAAACCCTGTTCAAAATTTCCTGGATTCGAAAACGTGTCTCGGCTCACCAGGTAGTGCTCGTCCTGGAAGGCGTAATGCAACGTGGTAATCCACTGCTGATCCCCATGCACGAGGACATCCCGTTCCTCTCGAAAACAAGCCGTCTGAAAGGAGACAGAAGGTGACACTGGGTGCGAATCTTAGCACAAAGCTTAGCACACCTGACAGCTCTGCTATCTGGCGCAGAAAAAGTACAGATGGTCCTCGATTTATGCCTACAATTGGGACCGGCATTTTGGTTGTAAGTCAATGTGGTCGTATGTCGAGGACTATTTGTCATTAAGTGGCGCGGTCATTAAGTGGTACAGCCATTAAGCGGGACATCCCATGACCACGACTTGCAATCTTTCCTGTCGGCTTCCCCTTTGACTTTGCTTGTCCGAAACTGGCTGGGAAGGTCACAAGAACTATAAAACGTAAAATATTAATATGAAAGCCATTTAATGAATCGCCTTAATAAACTAATGAAATCGCCCTTAATAAATCCTAATTATAAAAATAATTCTTAGATCCTTGGTTAGGGCTTTGAATTATTATGTTTTCTCACCCATCTTAGATTGTGAATCTAACTCTTCACTACCCACAATAATCACAATTTATTCCATTTATACGCCACCGACTCTCCACAATTCCGCAAGGCTCACAACCAAGAAAGAAATGACAATAATTTAATTTGAATTTGAATAAGAGCTTTGTGTGTGTGTGTATGCAATGGCGGGGTTGAGGGCCACTTTTTCCCATCTTCCTACAGCCCACTTGATGGCTAAGAAACTTTCTGGATTTACGAAATGAAGGAATCAATGAAAATTAGAGCGTAGCTAAAGATTCCCCAAATGGCCAAATTCCATATCTGTCATTTTCTTGACAACGGCACGAAAATGGTTTAAGGCCGCCTTTCTCCAGCTGCTTTCCTGGGCTAGCTTGGTGATCTCTTAGTGGTCTCCCATCCGAGGTCTAATCCTAACTTGCTGAGACTTTGGCAGATGGATCCCAGGGCCTGGGAATAGTCACCTCGGTTCTCTTCAGCATTTCCCACTTGTGCAGGATCTTCATGGCGTAGATTTTCTCCGTCTGCTTCATTCGCACGACGGCCACCTGGGAGGAGAGAGCAGGACAGAGATTGGGGTAGGGGCGGGGAGCCTTTAGAATAAGAATCATAGAATAACTGAGCTGGAAGGGACCTTGGGGGGTCAACCCCCTGCTCAAGTGGGAGACCCTATATAATATCATTCCAGACAAATGGTTGTCTTGAAGACCTCCAGTGTTGGTGCACTCACAACTTCTGGTGGCAAGCTGTTCCACTGATTAATTGCTTCTCACTGTCGGGAAATTCCTCCTTATTTCCAGGTTGCTTCTCTCCTTGATTAGTTTCCATCCATGATTCCTTGTCTGGCCTTCGGGTGCTTTGGAGAATAGCTTGACCCCCTTCCTCCTCTCTGGGGCAGCCCCTCAAATACTGGAAGATGCTCTCCTGTCTCCCCTGGTCCTTCTCTTCACTAGACTAGCCAGGCCCAGTTCCTGCAACCGTTCATCATATGTTTTATCCTCCAGTCCCCTCGTCATCCTGGTTGCTCTTCTCTGCACTTTTTCTTAGAGTCTCCAAATCGTTTTTACATCGTGGCGACCAAAAACTGGATGGAGTATGGTCTGACCAGTTTGGTATAAAATGGTACCTGCACTTAATGTGATCCTGATATAATTAACAATTAACCAGTGAACAATTATCCACTGGGATGACTTATCTTCAGAAGCCGTGGGTGCTCCATCACTGGAGGTTTTCAAGAAGAGACTGGACAGCTGTTTTTCTGGAATGGCAAAGGGTCTCCTGCCTGAGCAGCGGGTTGGACTAGAAGACCTCCGAGATCCCTTCCGACGCTGTTATTCTGATACTGTCCCTCTGTTGATGCAACCTAGGCGTTTTGCTTCGGTGGATGCAGATTCTGCCCCTCTGCAAATACCCCAGTGGGAAGCTTGGTCTGCTTAGGGCATTGTGTGAACCCGGCCAGATGTAATGCCCAGTCCAAGACCAGAAATGAAAAATGAATTTATGCAGTAAAGGGAGTTCTCAACATAGAACATCCATTTTTGCCGGTATTTTTGTTGCTAAGCAAGAAGTGAATCAGGCAGATCTCTCTCCCTCCCTCTCTCTCTCCCTTTCCCTCCCTCTCTCTCTCTCTCTCTCTCTCTCTCTCTCTCTCTCTCTCTCTCTCTCTCTCTCTCTCTCTCTCTCTCTCTCTCTCTCGGCACAATGAGAATATATCTGTTGCGAACTCCGCATTGGTGACAGGAAGGACATCCGGCCAGTAAACACTCAGCTCCATTGAGTTGCCCTGACTCCACCCCGATACAAGGGATTATGGGCTCATTATAAGACAAAAAAAAATAATGTTGCTAAGCAAGATGGTTAAATGAATCGGGCCTGATATTAAGATTTTTTTCCCCCTAGTTGCTAAGCAAACATTCAGTCGTTAAGTGAATCCAGCTTCCGCCCGTCACTTTGCTTGTCGGAAGCCGGCTGGGAAGGCCATAAATGGCGATCTAATGAATTCAGGATAATTCAAATGTCATAAATAATAGGCCAGTTGTCCAGTGCCCAAATTTTGATCATGTGTCCATGGGGGGGGGGTCTGTGACTGTGGCAGTCGTAAGTGCGAGGATCATCTTTTAAGTCACTTTTATCAGTGCCGTAGCAACTTTGAACGGTCATTAACAGACAACTGTAAGTCGAGGACTTCCCGTAATGCAAGTCAGGCTGTTGTGTGAATGCGGGGCTCTTCTGACGGGGCTCGGGGTACCCCAAAAGTGCCTCCTGAGTCAGCTGTGGCTTTAAATCCTTCGGGGGACTCACCTCCCCAAAGGCTCCTCTCCCGATCACCTTCAGGATCTCGAAGTCGTCACGACGCAAACTCAGCTGTTTTACCCGGGAAACCAACGGGGAGGCTTGGGAGAAAGAAAGAAAAGAAACTCGTTTTACGGAGTCCTTCGCCACAACGGCACCAGCGGAAAACCTGCTGAACCGGATGCGTTAAAAAGCCCAGCGGTTTTGCGTGTCAAGCTTGATTCGTTTTAAATTTGGTTAGGTTTTTTTTTTTTTTTTTCCCTGCAGCCCTTTTTGGGTGATTCAGGGGTAGCTAGAAGAGAGTGAAATCTGCACCCACATAAAGGAAACGGTCAGGCCCGGCTAAAATAAGGGGTTTTCTCCTAATTTTTACATCGCCTGTTTGATGTCATAAAGTTAACCTGGTTATTGGATGTTGTGGCTGAACACAAACGCAAGACTCGGTTCTTCAGGACTAGCCAAGCCCTGGTTTTCTTGGAAGTCATATGGAACGGATTTGCCCGTCATTTTCTTCTGGGCTGGTTTGTTTTCACTCTGTGGAAATACCCAGATCCAGGTGATCGCCTGGTGGCCTCCCCTCCCGAATCCCTTCCAATCCTTAGCTACATCTAAGCTGCAGAACAAGAAGTTTTTCTGAACCTGGCAGCTTTAAAATGGGTGGACCAACATTCATGCTGGCTGGGGAATTCTGGGAGTTGAAGTCCACCCATCTTAAAGCATGCTGGCTGGGGGATTCTGGGAGTTGAAGTCCACCCATCTTAAAGCATGCTGGCTGGGGGATTCTGGGAGTTGAAGTCCACCCATCTTAAAGCATGCTGGCTGGGGAATTCTGGGAGTTGAAGTCCACCCATCTTAAAGCATGGCTGGCTGGGGGATTCTGGGAGTTGAAGTCCACCCATCTTGAAGCTTGCTGGCTGGGGAATTCTGGGAACTGAAGTCCATCATCTCCAAACTCATGAGATTTAGAAACCCTGCTCTAACCACTAGGATCTGGGGGTTTCCAAAAGCTAGAGTCCTGCCTTCTGCTCTCTTTTCTCCCCTGGGAGATGCTGGAAGCACAGAAGCCACGGTGGAAACTGCGGTGAACCAACCCGTTTTCCTGCCCGCAGCTGCTCGGCCGCTGCCCTGGGCGGCCTTGCCTGTCCTGTCCTGCCTGGCTTGGTGAACCTGCTCCCCATCCAGGAGAAGGCCACCTCCCCACTGCCTTGCTCCAATCAGAGCCACCTGCAGCTTTGGGAACCACAGCTTTGCTGGTTGCTATGGGGAAAAAAAAACACAACAACCCAAGGTTCTAGTCCTTAAGGTGATAGAGAGCCCCTCAGTGGGCCACTCCGGATTCCTAGAGGAGAGGTGAGGAGACCTCTGGGGCCTTTGCAAGTTTTTTCTTTGCAACTCAAAGTCTCCACCTTTCCCAGCCGGTAACGGAGGTGGGAGTGAAATGTGCCCATGCCCATCAGTTGCCCGCGGGCACAGCCGTTCCTGGCACAGGCTCAGCCAGGCCTCGATCACGCAAGGCAAGGATTGGGTTCTGCTCAACCGGGAGGAATTCTTGGCACAGTTTACCAACCGGTTCCCCTGCCAGGATTGGGTTTCAGCCTTAAGATGTGTGGACTTCAACTCCCAGAATCTGTAGGAGATCCACCTTTGCATTTTCAGCTCCTTGAGCAGGAATGACCCTCGGCTTCTACCCACCGCGCAGAAAAGGATCCCAGATCCCTGATTTTCAATGCAGGCAGTCCTCGACTTACGACTACTTTTTTTTCTTTCTTTCTTTCTTTCTTTCTTTCTTTCTTTCTTTCTTTCTTTCTTTCTTTCTTTCTTTCTTTCTTTCTTTCTTTCTTTCTTTCTCATCCACCACCACTCCCCGGTCTCACCAAAGGCGACACCCAGCGCTTTAGAACCATTCTCAACTCGATGGGGACCAGAATTTCCACTGCTCGACAAAACAGGTGTTTGTTCAATGAGTCATGAAGCCCAATTCTACGACCTGTTCGTCACGGTTGTTAAGCAAATCACTTTAGTTACGAACGGAAGCACGCGGTCGTTCATTGAATCCGACTTCCCGCCCTTGGTTTGGCTTGTCAGAAGCCGGCTGGGAAGGTCAGAAATGATGATCTCAAGGACCCCGGAATGCTGCAGCGGTCATGGATATAATGGCTCAGATTGCCAAGCGTCCGAATTTTGATCGTGGGATCGCGAGGACGCAGCAACAGTCGTAAGTGCGAGGACCGGTTGTAAATTAAGTTTTTTTCAGTGCCATGGTAATTTTGAACAGTCACTAAACAAATGGTGGTTAGTCAAGGACTACCTGTAACGATAACACTACAATTGCTGGCTCCCTCTAATTTGTTTATTTATTGGTTCGATTTAGATGCCGCCCTTCTCCGGAGACTCAGGGAGGCTTACAATGCGTTAAGCAATAGCCTTTATACTTTTGTAGATACCTGCTTAGTAGGGCTTTTGGGGGCCCCCCAAGCGGTGTTCTTTTTTATACAAAGTCAGCTTATTGCCCACACTATCCGGGTCCTCATTTTACCTACCTCGGAAGGATGGAAGGCTGAGTCAACCTTGAGCCTGGTGAGATTCGAACTTGCAGTAATTGCAGGCAGCTGGCAGCTACGTGCTACTTAACAGCACTTTAGTCCGCTGCGCCACCAAGGCACTAATAATACAGATACAGATTAACAAAGTTGGAAGGGACCTTGGAGGTCATCTAGTCCAACCCCCACCCAAGCAGGAGACCCCCCCACCATTTCTGACAGATGACAGCCCAGTCTCTTCTTGAAAGCTTTTTTAAGAGTGGGGTATGCAGTGGTTCCATTCACACAACACACTGACCTGAGTCCCTTGAAGAACTCACAGGGTTCAAACCTGTTTACTTTTATAGCTTAGTATTTTGGACAAACCCTTGATTAGTTTGTCCATGTAGTACTCAACTTATGACCACAACATCTATGTTGCTAAGTGAGACAATAGTTAAGTGAGTTTTGTCCCGTTTTACCACCTCTCTTGCCACGGTTGTTAAGTGAATCATTAGAGTTAAGTTAGTAACCTGGTTGTTAAGTGAATTTGGCTGGTCAAGAAGGTTGCAAAAGGGATCTTGGGACATTGCAACAGTCCTAAGTACATGCCAGTTGCCCTCTGAATTTTGATTGTGGGACCACGGTTGTTAAGTGGGAAAAAGTCACTTTTTTCAGTGCCGTTGCAACTTCAGACCGGTCACTAAACAAACTATGATAAGTCAAGGTCTCCCTGTAGTTTTGCACACTGTATAAAAGTAATGCATTATTTATGTAATACTGTATACAGAGTCACCACCTGATGTGGTAGTGCAATTAGGATGCAATCACTACAATAACCGTGTTATACAAATGCAGCTGAAAATCAGAGAAAGCTTTAGGCTCAGCTGACCCTGTGAAGCCAGGAAGGAGAAAATGAATTACTGAAGGAAGAGCACGCGTTGAATTTTTAAACAAAAGCGTTATTTTTAAAATAATCCATTTTAAAAAAGCATTTTAAAAGGCATTTTATCCGTGCCATGAATAATGTCGCCTACCCAGCAACAAGTTCACAGAAGCTCTAATTAAAGGGATTTATTTGGATAAATCTTATTTTGGGTGTGGTCCCGCACTTGAGTTTCTTAAAAAGCTCCTATGCTAATATTGCAAGGAGGTGAGGAATGTTTTACCTGCATGGGGAATATATATATATATATATATATATACACCCCCCATGCAGGTAAAACATTCCTCACCTCCTTGCAATATTAGCATAGGAGCTAATATATATATATATTATCAGGGGCAAATGCCGTTTCAACTCATTTTGAAGCAAATTTCAATCACTCGCCTATTTTTCAATCTGCAGATCATGCAAAATGCAGTTTTAATTGATCTTAATTAACTGAATTAATGGATCTTAATTAACTGAATTAATGGATCTTAATTGAATTAATTCATCTCCATTAAATTAATTGGCTTTAGCTGAATTAATGGACCTTATTAATCTTGGGAAGAACTGCTCCAAACTTTAATCAGAGACAGATTATCAATCCTGATTTAAAAAATAAACAAAAAAATCCTGTAGAAATTTAACGTTGATATATTTTGGCCTGTCTCTTGGGCTGTGAATTTGCAGAACTGTGTTGATAAAAATATTTTGCAATTACAGGTAGTACCTCGACTTAACAACAGTTCATTTAGTGATAGTTTGAAGTTACAACGGCACTTAAAAATGTGACTTACGACCATTTTTCACACCTATGACCGCTGCGGCATCCCCATAGTCATGTGACCAACATTCTTAGCGTACTGACTCGTATTTATGACAGTCGCTGTGTCCCGGGAAAAGCAAAGTCAACGGGGAAGACAGATTCACTTAACAACAGAGTGACTAACTTAACAACTGCAGTGGTTCACTTAACAGCTGCAGTCAGTAAGGTCGTAAAAGGGGGCAAAACTTAACAAATTTCTCACTGAGCAACATAAATTTCAGGCTCAATTTTGGTCATAAGTGGAGGTCTACCTCTCCTGTTCTCATTTATATATCTAGAAGTTTCAGCTGAGATATATTGGTGATCGACTTACGACGGTGCATTTAGTGACCGTTCAACGTTACAACAGCCCTGAAAAAAGTTATTTAGGGTGATCGTTTTTCACACTTTACGACGGTTGCCACGCGATCAAAATTCAGATGCTGAGCAATTGACTCATATTTGATCCCCTTTGACCACGTGCTCCCCTTTCGTGACAAGCAAAGTCCACGGGGAAACCAGATTCGCTTAACAACATAAACAGATGCAGTGATTCGCTTAACAACGGTGGCAAGAAATGTTTCACTTTGCAACATAAATTTTGGGCTGGGATTGCGGACGTAACTCAAGGACTGCCTGTATATGATCTATGTTAGATCAGGGATCCCCGACCCCTGGTCTGTGGACCAGCACTGGGCCCCAGCGTGCCAAAAACAGGGCCGTGTCTGGCCTCTCCACGGAACCAGTCCCTGGCGCCCAAAAGGTTGGGGGGGTCATTGTGTTAGATCAGTGATGGCTAACTTTTTTGCCGTCGTGTGCCAAAAGCAAGCGCCCTGCCCCCCGCACATA